TAACTGAAACAATTAACGAGACTTTTAATTAGTGATAATCAAATTGGAGATTCAGGAGCTAAAATAATAAGTGAACTAAATCAATTGACTAATCTCCGTATCTATGACAGTACTATTGGAATTGAGGGAGCAAAATCATTAAGTGGGATGGAAAATTTAACCAAACTAAACCTTTCGGGAAATAAAATTGGAAATGAAGGACTCGAGGCAATTAGTGGAATGCTGAGGAAACTTTATATTGGTGATGATATTTCGGATAGAATAATCAAGGAACTGAGGAAAAAAATGAAAGTGGTTGATCATTACTAAGATGAAATCAATAAGGCGGGGAACTTTGAGTTGTAAACAAAACAACAAATGGGTGGAAGAGACGTAAAACTTGATCTTCATTGATCCAGGAAAGGGAATTGTTTAATTGAATTTTACACAACTAATGATTTAAATCGTGCAATATTTTCTAATAATTGAATTCCCTCTCCAGGTATCCTTTTAATTTTCACATCAAGTACGGTCAATTGTTCCATTTCACTCAAGAGTTTTGCGCCTTCCAATCCAATATTACAATAAACAGCATTTAGTGTTTCTAATTGTTGCATTCTGCTAATATATAACACTCCCTCGTCTCCAATATTATTCCAATTAATATCGAGTGAGATTAGTTTTGATAATTGGCAAATAAATTTGACACCATTCGCGGTTATTCTTTTAGTACTTATATCAAGATATTTCAGAGTTGTCAATTGTGCTATAAATTTGGCTCCTTCGTCATCAATATGGGTCTCACTTATTGATAAATTGGTCAATTGAACCATTTCTGATAATATTTTGGCTCCTTCTGAAGTGATTGGATTTCCGCAAAGACGAAGTGCATTCAATCCACCCAATTGACAAATATTTCTTATGCCCGTGTCCTCTATTTTGTTTTTTCTGACATCAAGGCAGTTTAATAAACCCAATTGACCAATCGAACTCAAATCAGAAATGTTATTAGAAACCATATCTAAATTTGTCAACTTTTCAAGTTTTGTTAGTAGTTTAAATCCTTCATTACCTATTTCATTTCTTCCCAAATCAAGATCAGTCAATTGGGTTAATTGAGAAATATACTTGGCTCCTTCATTTCCAATAGAATTGCCTATCAAACAAAGTGAAGTTAATTGATTCATTTCTCCAATGCTCTTTGCTCCAAACACTCCAAGTTCATTATCACTTGCCACAAGTATTTTGAGATTATTCAATTCTCCAATGTATTGACCTCCTTCAGCTCCAATTAAATTTCCACTAATATCGAGAATGGTTAAGTTTGATAGTTTTCCAATTAATTTGACACCTTCTGAAGTAATATTTGCATTAATAATGTTTAGACAAGTCAATTTTGAAAGATTGATTATTGAATTGATTCCTTCATTTTCAATTGAATTCAATCCCACAGAAAGTTTTGTTAATTCTGAGAGCTGACTAATAAATTTCATTGAATTTTTAGAAATTTCATTTCCACTCAATTCTAATAAAGTTAAATTTTTCAAATTTCCAATAGATTTTACATCTTCATCTTTTAAACGATTCCAATTGACATTTAGTTCAGTCAATTGATCCAATCGACTAAATTTATCAATTTCAGATCCGCTAGCAGCAAGTATTTTCAAGTGTTTCATTCCAGAAAGAATAATTTTAGACTTTTCTGAAATTTTATTCCAATCAATATTCAAATAGGTTAAATTTTTCATTTCTGATAAAGTTTCCAATAATTTAACACCTATTTCTCCTTCAATTTGATGACTTGCTATTCTAACCTTTCTTATATTTCCTAAAAATTGACTTTTTGAAAATTGATTAATTTGTTCTGAAGTAATCATTAGGAAATTGACCACAAGATTCGAATATAATTTTATGACACGTAAAAATTGATGTGAAATTAAAGAACACGTTTTGATGATAAATGGAGAATCAAAGTAATCGATAATTTCGAAACAAACATCATCGGGAAATAAACTATTGTTTCGAATAAGAGTACTTTCGTGTAGAGTCATTTTTTTTGGTTAATTATTTAGTGGGCAAACAAAATGAAAATATTTATCACTCGCTCGCTTACTTCTTTGAATTCTAATATTTTATGATCTTAAACTAATTACCATTCAGATTGACTAAAATGGCGCCAAAAATAACTACGATAAAAATTCTTTAAAAAAATGAAAAAGCACTTTGCTTCGCCTCTTCATCACGAATACAATTTTCATGTTGAGGAATCGCTCGGAGAGGATGAAACAACCATTAGATTGGCTCGGGAGGGTGGCGATGAGCTGTCGTTTTATTTGGAGGAAAATATTTTGGGAGTGCTGATTCCTGCTTTTCAATCCTTATTAAAGGAGTATTCAACAGTTGATCCGAAATCGGAAGAGGAACAAGAATATGAAAAATTAAAGAGTACTATCTACTCAAAGATCGATCCGATTAATTGGATTGCCATGTATCTTATTAGAAATAATCCAAAACATTCGAAAAATTTGGAAAATAATCCATACAGTAAATTATTAAAGGAACACATCGAGAAAATAAGACCAGAAATTATGAAGAATAGAGAAGGAAAATCAGAGTCACAAATCAAACAGGAAATCAAAGATATGGCGAAGGAAAAATTACCCAAACTTCTAGAACAATAATTGTACATAAATTATTTATTGAATTACTACTCAAAATCGAAAATGGAAGTTGAATAACGTCCTGAAATATTGAGAGAATCAAGGAAAACATCGGCCTTTCTATTCTTTTCCAATTCCTCAATCAAATCCTTTGTTGTTAGTGCTTCAATTTTCTTTGGAAGATTACGGATGACTGCCTCATTTCTCAAAGTTTGTTTCTTTTGTTGATTGAGGAAGTTATTCGAATTCGTGTAAGCTGCAGCCTTCTTGGTTTCCATTTTCAATCTCTTCATGTATCTTCTGGCAAGGAAGCTTCTCCACTGGCTTTGAATTTTTGTAGCTGCTTGATCTCTCATTGCTCTATCTTCTAATAGTTTAATGTACAATTCTTCTTGGAAGATGAACTTGTCTGATCTTCTCAATCTTTCCATGTAAGCGAAAGGCAAGTTGATTTTGAGAACACGAGGAATGTTTTGAAGATTTTGGTCTTCATTAAATCTATTGGCTTGTTTCTTGTCGTGATCTCTCTTAGATTGATAGTGTTCCACAAGAGTCAATGCGGTTTGGCTCTTATTGATATTCTCATCACCTTCATTCAAGATTTCATTCACATATTCATCGAATGAAATATTGTTATTTCCTCTTACATCATCAGGTAATAGTAATGGATTGGAATCAATTGTAATTCCAACAATTTCAAATAATGGAGCCAGTTCTGTAAGTTTCAAAAAGTCAACATCATTTCTCATCTTGAGCATGTAATTCTCTCCGTTATATAAAAATACAGTTTTCTTCGTAAGTTGACTTCTCCACAATAGAATAGATTCCACAAGTTCTATTGTTACATTTCTCAAATTGGAGACAATGGTCGGAATTTCATTCTTTACCATAGGATCTTGCAATCTACCCATGAGTGAAGATGCCCCAGCCCTATATCCGTTGAATTGCATTGCAATTTCTTTCAGTCTCTTAATGTAGACTTCTCTTTGTTCCAAACTCGTTAAGACATCGTGTTGAATGGATCTTACTCCAGTCAATCGCGTAATTTCTCTAAAGATGGAAACATAGTTAATTAGCGTTTCAGGGTAGAAGAATCTTCTGGAGAAATCTCTTCTCTCAGAGTCTTCAATGTTCATTTCATCCCACAAGTTTTCAATGAGACCTCTTGTTCTCAAAAAGATTTCCCTCAAAGAATTATCAAAGATACCTTCCTGTTGTTTTTCTCTCTTCTTCTGATCGACAAGATCAATTAATTGATTCAACATGAGATTCTCGGTCATGGCATTCAACTTGTTATTACTGGCCTTCTTCATGATGCTCGATGACATTGTTGTCGAGCCGAGTTCATCAAGCTTATCTGTCTTGATTCCATCTTCCTCACTAACTGAATCAAAGTTTCCAACATCACCCAAGGCAGATAATGGATCAGTATCATCCACCAGTGATTGTTGTTGATAGAGTAATGCCTTCGGACCCAACTTTTTCTTTGTCAAACTAGACAAATCACTCAAATTACGTTGTGCCTCATATAAAGTTCTTGTAAGAATTTCATTCAATTGTCGTTGATTCTTTTTTAAATTGTCCTCATCAGCCCTCCTATCATGAATATTCATAATTGTATATTCCACCTTATCATTCCTCGTAATTATTTCCTTCGCTCCGAATTCCTCTCTATTTTCCAGCTTGGAGGAAATTTTCTTTCTCATCATTGAGGTTGAATTAAAACTGTTTTTAAGCATTTTTTTAAAAAATGTAAGGAATAATTTTAAGGCTCCAAATAGTTCCGTTATGAAATTGTTTTAAAAAAATTATAATAAACTTGATGATGATGAATTTATTGTGATGAGGAATAATGACAAGAAAGAATGTATCAAGTTTTTGTTTTTTGATTTTTTGAAAGGTAGTGTTATTAAAGAATCATCACTTCCCATCATCACAAGAAGATAATATAAATTGTAATTTACGATCGTTGTTCAGTTAGAAGAGAGGTTGGTTCTGTTGAGGGTCGTACAGTTGTTGAATCGATGGATTATGAAACTTGTTGTACATTTTCCAAAACTTGTTACTTCCTTTCATTTTATATTGGAGTAGAGCATGCATCCTTCTCAATGGATGAAAATTAGCATATAATCAACAATTAAGAATCATCATATCTATTGGACAGGAACAATTCTCCATACGAATTTCCTTGTTTATTACATTGTTGAGGGTTTGAGGTAATTGTTGCGTTTAAAATAAACACACAGTGGTGGTAAAAGGTTGAAAACAGTTCGTTCGTGAGGCAGTTTCAATGGTAATTTGTCCCTTGAACAATAACAACAAGACAATAATTACATCATAGTTATATATTTTGGATCAACAAATCTACATTTTCAACAACAATAACGCTTAGATGCATCTACAGCAAAAATTTGGCGCCAATTCTTGAAAAAACCCAAAAAAAAAATTAGCTGTTCTATCTCTCAGGAATTGATTGAGGAAAATAGTGTGGTGGATATAATCTCTAATTGAAAAGAAGATTACTCTCTCCTGTTTACGTCATCATCAGTAGTTATTCTCACTTGTCGACGATAATAACTTGAGGATTTAATAAGAAAAATACATCACCTCGAGAGAATAATAGCTCAAATCATGAATAATAAGGACTCATCAAGTGGTGGAGTAATGCTGGTTAGAAATGGAGCCGATAAGCGAGGAACGTACATCATGATGCCAAGTCCTCCATCTAATAATACCAATACCAATAACCCGGTCCCTTCTTACCAAAGTCCAGGAAGAAAATATAAATCTGGCGTTCCTCCTCTGGAAATCGATCAACTAAACTCGACAACATCAATCTTAAATGCTCTGATTAGTTCGGATGAATTGAATCCTTTTTCTTCAGACACAGCTCCAAAAAAACAACCACCAAGTTTGAGTTTGAATCTGAATGGATTACAGAACTCGAAAAAGACACCTACTGGAGGACCCCCTTCAAGTAGAGGTTCCACAAATAGAGGTTCGGTAGGAGGATATAATTCTGCTCGACAAATGTACAAAACACCACCATCTCACAATGTAGCTAGTACAAATAACACTCCACGATATCAATACTATCCTTCCCAACCTCAAATCGGAGGGCTAGTTTCATCTTCAATAACAAATCAAAAAAGCACAATGAACACTCCAAGGAATATCAGTCCAAACACTAAGCAAAACACGGTAGGCTACACTAAAGGAACCACAAAACGAATAGGAACAGTCTCCAAAACCAACTCGACAAAATCAATAACATCATCATCTGGAACAAAAAAGGAAACAATCATCACTGCTAATATTGGAGCTGCTTCCTATCTCACTCCAAGACCTCCAGTGCCAAGAAAACCCTCAGTTTCAAATGTTGCTGTCATTTCTTCACAGAGCTATGCAACAGAAGAACCAAGCACAGTCAGCAGTGGTCACTCTCAAACGACAGCACCTAATAGTGCCAGAAGATATAACTTTGCCAATCCTTCCTCACAAAGTAATTTGGTTCCACATCCTCCAACTAGTGGAGCATCTGCTCAACCTCCAACCCTTAAACTCAATTTGAATTTGCAAACAGCCAACTATATGAAAGATGTGGAATTTGAAGGATTTGGGTCAGGAGTTCCAGAAACTGTCAAGACTGCTAGAAATACCACAGCCAAACAACAGCCATCAATGCCAATGAGTGCAAGAGCTGCCAATGCAGAAACCACTTCATTCCAAAATCTTCCTTTCAAATATACGTCGGAAGATAAAACAACAGTGTTCGATGTTGCCTCATCAACAAGTACAACAACTAGTAATCAACAATCAAATCCAAGTTCTAGGTCTTCCTCTGTGAGGTCTATTAGAACTTCTAGTTCTAATACAGGTGGAAATGTGAATCTTAAATTCCATGATCCAATCACTCCAGCTGCTGCCATAAAAATGTATAGTGATTACTTGACAGATTACGAGCAATCTGAAATTTTCGATTTCCACAAAGTGTACTGTATAGGTAGCACAGCGAGAAAGATTAAGGGAACAGTAAATGCCAACGAGGAGATGAACTTTGGTTATGACGATGAAAGGGGTGATTACAAACTTGTTTTGAATGATCATATAGGTTACAGATATGAAGTTGTTGGATTTTTGGGAAAGGGAAGTTTTGGTCAAGTAGTCAAGGCCCACGATGTTAAGGAAAACAAATTTGTAGCTCTCAAAGTGATTAGGAATAGAAAGAGATTCCACGCCCAAGCTCTTGTTGAAGTTAAAATATTGAAACATCTTAAAGATAACGATAAGGAAGGAAAGCACCACTGTATAGAAATGGTTGCTTACTTTACTTTCAGACAACATTTATGTATTGCTTTTGAATTACTGAGTATTAACCTTTATGAGTTCATTAAGAATAACAATTTTAGAGGATTAAGTTTGGCTCTAATCAGAAAATTCGCCTTGCAAATATTGAATTCTTTACAATATTTGAGTCAAGAAAAGATAATTCACTGCGATCTCAAACCTGAAAACATCTTGTTGGTATCTTCCACAAAATCAGATATCAAGATGATTGACTTTGGTAGTTCATGTTTTGAAAATGAAAGAATCTATACATATATTCAGTCAAGATTTTACAGATCTCCAGAAATTATTCTAGGTATTTCTTATGGTCGTTCAATTGATATGTGGAGTTTTGGATGTATTCTTGCTGAATTATATACAGGATATCCTCTATTCCCAGGAAGAAACGAATTGGAACAATTGTGTTATATTATGGAAGTTATGGGAATGCCTTCCAAGAAATTAATTCAGATCAGTACAAGAAGAAAGAAATTCTTCGACTCTAATGGTCAACCTAGGTTAGTGATTAACAAGAAAACTGGCAAGAAGAGAATTCCAGGAAGTGTCACACTCCAGCAAGCTCTTGACTGTCCAGACAGAAAATTTGTTTCCTTTATGGAAGCTTGTTTGAGATGGGATCCAGTTGAAAGAATGACTCCAGAAGAAGCATTCCGTCATGAGTGGATTTTGGAGGCTCTAGCTCCTAGTAAGTAGCTTTCAACAACTTGACATTAAGAACTTTAATAGTGAAGCCTCATTATTCTAGTGTAGAACAAAGAAATGATGAATATAAAGGTTATTCGACTGGTGATAATTCACTTCCTGTAAGTTATAATTGTTAAAAAAACAAAATTTACAAATTTATATTTTACAAACTGTCCAGATCATTGGCAATCAGGACGAAGACTATTAAACTCTAGATATTATAATAAATAATTGTTTTTTGTTCGAAATATCTAATTTCTAAGAGATGATAATCTCTTTTGAAGTTCCAATTCTGATTCATCCTCTTCCTCTTCTTCTTCAACTTGTTTTTGTGGAAGTTTTGATGATCCAACTCTTGTTGATTTGACATTTTCCAAAATTTCATTCAATACTTCAGAAACTTCCTCATCAGCAGCTTCTTCAACATCCTCATCTTCAAAAACATCTTCCATCATATCATCAACCATTTCCTCTATTAAACCTGCCTTTTCCATTTCCTTGGACATGTTTCTCATCGTTGCTTGTAAATCTGGTAATTTCATCATTTCATTCATACATTTCATTACATCGGCACTCTTCTGTAAAGCTCCCATCACTCTGAGTTGTTGCACTTGTTGATCCAATTGTAAAATAACGGAATTCATTTGAGCTTTTGTTCTGATCAGCCTTTCCTTTGCCTTTCTAGTTTTAATTAATTCTCTGGCAACAATTTTAGCATTATCTTCTTGTCCCTTCTTGACCATCATTTTAATATTATTCTTTACCTTTATTTCCTCCATTTCAATCTTTCTAATACCTCTATCCATATTTCTCACTTCCGATTTTAATCCCTTCTTCCATTCTTTAGCCAACTCTTCCGGAGTCTTTTTATGAAATATATCCATCAAGCCCATCCTGTACTGTGATGATTTTTAAAAAGTATTTTTCTATTATTATTATTTAAAACTGATGATAAAAATCACAATAGTTGTGTGATGATCTGTTCAATTTTTTTTTAATAAATTATTTTTAAGATTTACAAGATGGAATTTGATTAGAACCTCAAGAGGAGCAGAAGATTGAAACGACCACTATTATCATCTCCCGAAACATTGACTGTCTTTTCTACTGCTCTTCCTTTTTGATATTACTGGAGGACGAGAACGACCACAAGTTGAACCTTTTGATACGACATGTGGCTTTGATGAACATTGTTGATGATGCAATGGAGGCCATGTTACCCAGTAAAAATGTTGTGCTTTAGCTTGCGTAAAAGATTGTTTTGACCTTTTAACAAGAACAGAATTAAGAATCCATTGGATGTGGATGAAATATTCTTTGCTGTGTGATGGCTTGCTGTAATTTTTTTTTAATTTGCAAAAAGAAATTATGCAACGGTAACTTGTGGCAAAACAAGATTTAATCTTTGGATAATACAAATTCATCAATCAGCATTCCAACACTAATTCCAATATCTTCTATCTAAAGGGAATTCTCTTCATCAATTCTTTTATTAGCTTCACCAACAAATAAAATTGTACATTGAAATCAAGAATGCATTCTTCAACACGATCCAAAAATAACTTTGAAAAATATTCAAAAAAAAGAAAACTTCTCAGCAAACTTCAACAAATTCACTTCAAAAAAAAATAATTTTATTCATAGAACAACAAACACACCCGAATAAAGTGACTTACCTGAATACATCTCTCTCTGGAGCAACAACAAGTCATTATCCATCCCGATTTAAATAGATATCTACTCATCTTTCAATATAGAGGGAACTAGTAGTCATCCCATATAGAGTTTCATCATCATCAACAATACAAAGAATGGATACATTAAATCCAAACCAATTTTGTCGTATTTCTAGTTCCTTTATACATAGTACTTTATCATCAAATTCATATTATGAAGCCTATCTTGCTTTAACAGACATGATGGATCCTTCTGTTCAATTTGATCGACAGGAAGGAACCAATTTCTTGAGAAATATTATTCGTAAGAACCTTGGAGACTCTTATCAGGAAGGAATATTCCCAGGACCAATGGCTGTACAGCTTTCCAGGACTTCCCTTCATCTATTGAGTGAGCACGATTATTATATTACAGAAAAATCAGATGGTATTCGTGCCATGTGTTTAATGTTGAGAAGCAAGGAATTTCCTAGATGGGTTCATGATTCGGATAATACTCAACAATTTGATTTGAAGAATAATTGTGCTATTGAATGTATTTATCATCATGCTAAACAAGCTGGAAAGGACACTACTTTAAAAGTAACTTGTATGGAAAATACAAATTTACAATATTTAAGTAGAACCAATACAGTACTGCTGATTGATACAGTAACAAACTCTTCAATCAAGTTGAAAAGATTGAAAGGATGGTCCTTTTCATTCTTTTTTGATAGAACTTTTGAATTTTATCTTAGTATTGAGGAAATTGCATTTCCATCAAGAGATAATATTAATAGAAAAACTAAAACACTCGAGGAATGTCGCTATCAAGATATTGTAATCTTGGATGGTGAAATAGTCTTTAACTTGAAAGAACAACGAAATAATTATTCAATTTATGACCTAATTACATTTTGCAAAGAAAAGGTAATTTCAGCAAGAGCAGAATCTATGAACAACCGATATGAATTCATAGAAAAATACATTACCGATCCACATTATCACTATTATAAAATCATTTTAAAGAGAGATCCACCAAAATGTTTAAAACTCATCCGTAAACATTTCTATGAAAAGTCTAAATTGATGGAAGTAATGGAATGCATTAAGGAGGATCCAGAAACTGGTGAATACTTGTACAAAAATTACAATAAGAATGATGGATTGGTTTTCACTCCAAAGGATGCAGTCCTGAGTGCTTTCAAACCAGGTGCTAATAACTACCTGTTAAAGTGGAAATGGCCAAACAAACTAACCTGTGATTTCCTAGTTTCACCAGATGAAAATTCAAGTTTGAAAGAACATGCAGAAGGTGCCAATGACAATTTATTCCATGTATATTTCCAATTTTCAAAGATTAGTCACTTTTTCGATACTGTTCAAGTGAAGGATATTAGTCCACATATTTTGGCTAAATTCTTGGATCTTCAAAAGGGAACTGGATTAATTGTTGAAATGGGATTCGACTCGACTAAAAGTGGATGGTATTTCCTTCTCATTCGTGAAGATAAGACTTCACCAAATGCCTTTAAAACTGTTGCCAATACTGTTGAGAATATGATTGAAAATATCACCATTGATGATTTGAAACATTACATTAGCCCAAATTCCAACTCTGATAACTACCATAAATATGTCCAATCAAGAGGCACATTTACAGAACTATACAGAGAAAGAGTCATTAGAATGAATCAAGTTGCTTATTTCAGACTGCAACACGTTGCACAAAAACTCTCACTTCAATTCTGTATTAAGGGTGATGAAGGTGATATTTGGAGAGTTCATTGTATGGAAGTTGATGTTGATGCTAATTTTGTTAATACCATCGATTTGAGTTCAATTAGAAATAGGAATGAGCAAATTGCCAAGGCATACTTCCATCCTCTAGATGGTAGATACAAGATTATTGAACTTGTAGATTCACGTTATGCTGAATATTGTGAAGGATCTTTCCTTTTGAAACAACTCTTAAAGATGGAATCAACCAAGAATGAAATTCAAAAGAGATTGAAACGAGAGGATAATCCAACCAATAATTCCAAATATGAACCATCCCAAAAGAAGGTCAAACAATAAAAGGTTATGGTGATTCTTATTGGAATAGAACTTTTCACAATTTTTCTATTTTTCAACATTGAAACAATATGTGAGAGATGACATTCGTTAAAATTGTGAAATAATTAGAAGAATTATTGAAAAATTGTTTTTATAATTATTTGAAAATTTTACTGCATTGATCATAACAATTGACCATAAATTCAATGGTTGTCGACTGATCAGCTTTAGGTTTTTGAGGAGATGAATCCGATTTCTTTGGTCTTCCTCTATTTCTCTTTCCACTAGTTGGCGCCGAAGTTTCATGAAATTGTAAACTGGCAGCCAATTCTTCACTTGTTACTAGATTAAACTTGATTGACTTGTCAGTTTCCTTTTGGAATTTGAGCCTAGGTCTTGTGGTTCTCTTCTTTGAGATTTTGCATCTGTCCTTTCCGATAGAATTACTCGAATGTTGACTACCTGTGCTATCACTATCGGATGAAGAAGAAAGTGAAGTATTGAGTTGGGATTGACTTGGCAAAGTATTGTAATTCTGATGATGCACTTCAGCAATGGATTGAATTGGATTATAAGTAAAATGGGCAGTTTGGTTAACATATGTGGAAGGAATCGTTTCCAAATTAGAATGTTGGTAAGAAACAGAAGGCATTTGGCATTGATTAGACTCTGGATTGACACCATTCATTATTAATATTCTATTCAGCATGGTAATCATTCCATCAAGACTAGAGGCGTTGTTAGTTGTATTTGTTGTGTTTGTTGTCGTTGTTGTTGAATAATTATTGAAACTATTTTCGGTACAGTTAGGGTTGATTGTAATTTTACAGGAAACTTGTTCACGGGAAGTTGGAATTGCTGTTACCTTAGGTTCGTAATGACATGAAGAAGGAGCAAAGAAACTCTCCCAGTCAATAGCACTGCAGCTGTCACCACTCACTTCTTGAATGACATTTCCTGATGATGGCATTGAAATCAAATTATCATATTGTTCTTGTTGAGCAGAACTACCAAAACTTCTCCACCAAGCATTGGGTGCAAAAATTTGATCTTGATTCAAATCAGTTGATCTGTTACTACTAATCGATCCACCATTATTGGATGTACGAGCAATAGTTGAAGTATTATTACTATTGCACGATGAGGAGGAGGAAACAGTAACAATTCTTGACGAGAATGAATTAGGATTCATATCGATTATCATATAAATTAGTTTTGTAAAATCAAAAAGAAGAAATTGTGTGGGTGTTGTTGTTTCTTTTTTTTTGAATATTCTGCTGAATTGGGACATGGTGTTGTTGTCTTCTTATGCATTCCTCCATTCCCTCACTACTCTAGCTCGTATATTCATGTCATTGTTCATGAATGTTATGGAGAATCAGCTAGTATATTCGAGAATCACCATAGTACAAATAAAAAGCGGTGTAACGAAAAAAACCAGTGCGACAGTAATGTTTGGACTCTTGGATGAAAAAGGAGCGATTGGACGAGATTGGAAGTGGATACAGCTAGATGCAGAAAAATGTTTTCAACTATTTAGAGGCCTGACTGGAAGGTTTTTGGGAAAATTTGATAAATTGTAAAATGAACAAAATTGAAATGAACCTGTGATGCTGGTTTTGGAGAATTGGAAAGATCTTGAAAAGGAGAGTAGAGTTGGTTGACTGAAACGATTTCGTTTTGTATAATTGAGTAGGATTTGAGGGAATGGTTTCGTCTGGTTTAGAATTTAATGAAAAGGATGCAATTTTGAATACATGATTTGAGGATAGAAGTGTGAGGTGGCAACTTTTCGAATGTAGAAAGTTTCTCTTTCAGGATTTCAATGGAGATTTCAAAATTTTTTCTTTCGTTCGATAATGCCATTCGAAACTTTGTTGGAAAGGACAATGTACAGAATTGATGAAATTTGGAGATTGAGGATGATCGTGAAATGTATTCCTTGACCGATTAAAAAATACATAGAAGTACATGAAATTAAACTATTAGAAACAGCAATGGCACTATTCGAAAATGTAACGATTGATCGAAAAGGGTAAATTACTTCAAGATGAGTTGATTGTTGTGATATTGTTCCATTCTATGTAAAATCTTCGGATGTGGAATATTACCAATTTAGAATTTGTTTTAGACTATTCTGAACGAATTACATTGGACGATTCGAAACAACAGGAAGCAAAATCTACAAGTTAGATGATCTAACCATATGGAGGCCTTACAGGTTCTTAAAAGTATGTTTCGCCACCATTCGTTTAATTTCTTCTTATTCATATTACAAGTTTTCCTAAATTGACTCTGATCAAATTATACAATCACCTAAACTTGATCTACAGTTTTGATCTACTGTGATTACAATAAAACTGTAGTGGTTCGAAAAAATCTCATCACCGGTGATTTGGAATGAAATCTTTGTATACAAAGATTCGAATCTGAAAAATACATGAAATTGAGATATGCTGTTGTTTTGGAATATTCCTTCTCGGAGAATCAATAAAAGGAATTGCCATAGATAATGATAAACTTCTTCATCCTTTTCTTATCATTAAATAAAGTTTACAAAAATAAGGATGGAAGTTGGATAATTTTCAGCAATTGGATTGAAATATGTGTTGAACCATCCTTAATATTTTTAACTCAATTTGACCAAAATAGCCAAAATAATCCGACGAGACGGACTCGAACCGCCGACCACGGGAGAACTGTTACAACTACAGTACCATGCTCTACCAGCTGAGCTATCACCGGAATACATATGTATCATAAAATACACAACGACTATCTAAGGTTCTATCTTATGGTATCCATCTTATATAAAAGTTAAAGTGTCTCGACCAAATTCAAGTGTAAACCGGAAAAAACCAGGTAAACTGTAAAGTTATATCAATATTCAACAGGGAATCTTGTAAACAATTGTAAATGCCAGAATTGATAAAGCACAAATTAAAAAATGCTACCACGTGCATTGTGTGCTCCCGTGAGTGTAGAATTAACGTCAGCGAAGGCTATTGAAGCCATCTATCCCTCCGATCGAATGTTGAGTGAGTCCAAACTTGCTCGATTACAGTTGGATTCTGGTGGATCAAATGTTGTAAAATCCTCCGATGAAAATATTAATTATTTAATGTTATTTGAACCGTATCAAGTGAGAGTGAATGAAAAGGAGAGACGATTGTATTTTACAGATGTGAGTGAGGGATTTATCTATATTTTGGATTTAGATACACGACAAGTTTTGAAGAGAATGTTGGTGGATGGTCTTCCAAGTTATTTTGATTATTTTGATGATAAATTTGTGTTGAGTACTGATCGAGGAATTGTACAATGTATTAATATGGAGAATGGAAAGATTAATTGGACTACTGAAATACCTGGAGCTAATGGAGTTTCATGTTCAAGCGACCAAATTTATGTGACTTGTAAAAAAACGAATTCAATTAAGGTTTTGAGTAAGAGGAGTGGAGAAGTATTGTCAGTAATTTCTGAGAGGGGAAGAAAAGAAGGTCAATTATTATTCCCTCATGATTTAACTTTGGATTTGGAGGAAAATATTATTGTCTGTGATTCTGGAAATCATCGAATTCAAGCTTTCAAGAAGGATGGCACTTTCTTATACTCAATTGGGAAACAGGGGAAAGAAAATGGTTGTTTTGAATCACCGAAAGGAATTGCCTATGATAAGAAAACCAACATGATCCTTGTTTCAGATACAATGAATAATCGAATTCAATTATTCGATCACAAAAAGGCATTTGTTAAGAGTTTCAAAGTGAAAAATGATGATTTAGCATTCATGAGACCTGTAGGATTGGCAATCTCATATGGGTTGGGAGAACTCTTTGTTGCTGATTTTGGAAATCACATGATTCACATCTTTGTCAATTGGAGTAAGAAAGTTCACAATATTGAACATTTACTTTCTCCAAATTCGCCATATTCTGATCTTGTCTTTAAATTTGAATCTACTCTTCCATAACAAGACATTGTAAACAATTAAATAATATATTTAAATAATTAAATATTTAAAAAAAAATGCATGAAGAAGGCAAACCCTCACTCTCAAATCTTCCCTCCGAAATTCATCATGAAATTTTCTCCTACCTCGATTACATTCGTGATATTTGTGCTCATCCACTTCTCTTTGTACCAAAAATCAACTTTCCCGAAACTCTTGAAGAATTTGATCAAATCTTATGCTCTGATGATTTCATTGCTTTTGAGGAGAAACCTCCTTGCCATGAAAGTATTGGTCTCTTTCTAGTTTGTAAATCAATTTTAAAATCCATCAAGACTTTCCTTCCGAAAAGTTTGAATATTACAATCTTTGATACGCCCAAGATTAAACGTAACTATTTTCTTGATGAGGTTTATGTGCAACATCTCAAGAGGCATCCATGTGTTAAAATTGTAGATTTGTTGCGACAATATGAGAGGGAATCGTGGATGCAAGTGTTTTCCAAATTCATGTGGAAATTGAAAAAGATTTGTCATGGAAAGCAACCTCTTCGTCAGGTGGAATATGTTTCGTTTCATTCAGTAATGGGAAAGAATTATTTCAATGTCTCGAGTGTAAGAAATTTTGGAGTAGATTTTATGAAATTAATGCCGAGTGTGAAGCATTACTTTTTGAATTTCAATTCAGATTTTAAGCCTGAAAGTAGTGATGTATCTGTTTATACTCTACCTGTTTATGGAGTTTTACAACCTAGATTGTACAGGAGTGGTAATTGCTATCGTAGCTATAGGTTCACACAGGAGTATGAAATCATACCAACTACAGAATTTGCCAATATTATCCCAAAAACTTTTCAAAAAGTAGAAAACCTTGTGTTTTACTGTATTATTTGTTTGCAATTTGAAGATGCAAATTATCTAATTGAAAATTTCAAACTTGACATTGAATATTTTACATTTATTTTGCAGATCGAATTTACAAATTGGAATTATTTAGAAAAAGAGGAAAACTTGGAGCAGGTCATGAATTTATTGCAACAGATACATGCGAAATATCCAACATTCAGAATTTTCAAAATTCCTATTTACTCTATTCAATGTTTGAATATTATTCTAAAATATCCATTTGTGAAGATTAAGGTTGAAAGAAACATTACCAAGGAATTTCTAAATAATACTATTGATAAGGAGGAAATAATATCTTTCTGCAGTGAATATAATATAGATCTGTCACATTTGGGAAAGTACCAATTATCAGCAGCTAGTTTAGTTTCGGATTGTTTTCAATTTAGCAAGATAAAACTGGACCCAAATAGTAGAGACGTGTTTGGAATTAATCCATGTATGATGAGATATCATGTTACGAACAATTTTGATCCCAGTTCCAAAGATAACTTTGGAAATAATATTTTACATTGTTATTATTTATTTTCAACTGCGACCACTTACAAGAAAATATCATTTCTGGCAAAATTATCAGATACTGAAATAGATCGCCTTAGTGAGGAGCCAAATAATTATGGAATTACACCTAAAGAGGTTGCGTTCAGCCGTTACACTAAAATGATAATAGGAAATTTCTCAAAAGTTTTTAATTATGAAGCGTTTAAGAAAGTATGTGGAGAAGTTTATTCAAAAGTAATCTTGTTAGATGGATTACTGATAGATATGCGAATTCTATTTGCAACTATTAATCGAATGCCAGAACATTATGATTACCAAGAGTTCAATGATATCAATTATAGAGATATGAATGGGAAACATTTGGTGCATTATTTTGGAAATTGTTTCCTTTCTAGTTTAAACATTAGTTTAAGGGAAATTGTTTTATGCAAAGATAGAAATGGAAATATGCCAATACAAACCACCTCACTAGGATACTACAGTCTATTAGACAAATTGACTTCAATAGAAGATTTTCCTAAATTTAATTTTGTTGGATATTCGGACGATTGTGGAATGTATAGAATAATGTTTCAAATAATTGATAGATTATATAATTACAGTATTCAGGAGTGCAATTCTCTTGCATTTGATTATGTGGAGGGTCAACCTCAATTAGTCTCACTCTTCTTCCACTATGACGGAAATCGTTGTCACTTTTCATTAGAAAGATCTCCACTCCAACAGTTACGAAATGTTAATTGTTTTGGCTGTGTAGATGGAGATGATATATCTCACTTTATTGTCAGAGCTTACATGCATTGGGCACAAACCTTTATTCATGATGATTTTCTAACTTGCAGTGCACTCATTAAAAGGGGTTTGAAATTCGACATTGTTAGAAATAGTCAAGGTAAAACAGCTTTTGATTTATTCGATAATGTGGAAGGGTCCCCTGGCTATTTACAGAAGATTGAAAAACTCAAAAAGATTTGTAAGAGAGGATTGAGTACCAAATCAAGAGCTATCAACAAGTTCACTATCAAGTGTAAAAAGAACTTTGGAGAAGAATTGATTATCCATAGGAGTGGAGAATCTTTAATAATTGATACTTCCATTCCATCTCAGTATCTTGTACAAGTGCACAGAAGTTTATATTTTGAACAGAAATCTGTTCCTTTATTGAAACAGGAAACAAATGAGAAATAATTGGATCCTTGGTAATCCTGATTGCTTGTGCCATGACCATGCGTATTTACGATTGGACAAAGCTTACTTTTTTGGATCAATTTACCCTACCGTGTCACGTTATCCTTCAAAAAAATGTACAAATCAGCTGCTCTGAAACCAACTAACTTTCTTATTGGAATCTTGTTGGTTTGTTTGTTTGGTGTAGTTGCTATTACTGCTGCGAAATCATCAAAAAGATCAGACAGTAATGTTCAGATCATTACATTGACCTCTGCCAGGTCATTTAAAAGTTCATCAAGAAGAAGAAGAAAACAAACTATCAAGAAAAAAACAAAGAACGATAAGGAAATTATCATCAAGGTTATTGGGAAAAAGAAGAAGAAAACTTCACGTAAATGTTACTTCCCAGGTAGAGAACTAGTTGTGAATGTTCCAGTGCCAATTCCTCAAACTCCACAAACTATTGTTCTTCAACAGGCAAGTAGAGCTGCTTCCTCAGCATCTTCCTCTGCTACAACTAACAATCCTGGTGGAAGTGTGAATATTAATTTGGAATTGGAGATACCAAGAGGAAGAAGAAGAAGACGTGAGGTCATTATTGTGCCAAAACCAAAACCATCACCTATTCCACCTTTGCCACAACCCTCTCCTATTCCACCCTCACCTGATCCATCTCCTATTCCACCGAAACCAGAGCCATCTCCAATTATTCCTATTCCACCTCCTCCAAAACCAACTCCTATTCCAGAACCATCACCAATTATTCCACCAAATATTTGCTCACCAGGATATATTCCATCTCAATTCCCGTTATTGAAACAATGTGATTCTACTTGGGGATCTTTCAAATTGGGAACCTCTAGTGAAACTATTTGTAAGGCAGGTTGTTTGATCACATCCATTATTTCAGGATTGAATGGAATTGGAAAAACCAAAATGAATCCCTATGAATTCAATGAATGGTTGAAGACCAATGGTGGTTTCCAAAACAAGAACTTGTACGTTTGGGCAGCAATTACTTCCAAGTTTGGAGTTAAATATTATGGAAGAACAACTGATATTCTTGTGGTGGCCACAAGAAATTTATGTGAAGGAAAGTTGGTCATTCTGAAACTGATAAAACCACCTGGAAAGAAATCAGAGCATTTCGTTTTGGCCACAGGTTACGATCCGGTAAGCAAGACCTTCTCAGTGATGGATCCATACTTTGATCGTACTAGCTATACTGTTTCTGAGATTTCCAGAGCTGATTCTTACACTTTTAAATGATTTACAATTATTTATTACAAGAGTACTTGTTATTTCAAAGACTAGCTCATTATGATTTCAGTCAAAAATCAAATTGTAATGAGATTATTCCTTTTCAAGTAATAAAGCTCTTCTCAATGTTCTGCACACAACATACAAGAAAATAAATGCCATTGGAATCAATAAGGCCATACCAAGTGCAATCAAAAGGTTAATATTTCCAACAGCTCCACCAATAACCATCCCCAAAAAAGTCAAGATAAATAAAATAACCATTCCATAACAACATGCATCATAAATGGTAATGATCTTTGCAACATTTCCAACAAAATCTAAATCTGTATAAGCATACGAATTTCCACAATTCTGTTTTAAAATATAAACTGAAAGTATGATTAACATAGTTGAGCCAGCAATCAGGCAAATAAAACCAGCAATTGCACAACCAAGACGAACACTGCACGAGACAGATTCAGTCGATGATTTACAAGCAGGTAATGAAAAGCAAACTGGTAGAGAAACTGCTGCATAGATCATTGTTAAAATAGGAGTGAAAAGGATATTGAGCCATGCCAGAATGTATCTAGTTCTATTCGAAATGGATAAGAAACGATATGTTTTGGAACCGTCACGAATGGATTCTGTGGTTTTGTACAATTCAACAATATCAAGCAATAGAATAGCAAGGCCGTTTGCATCAAAGGTATAGACAGTCATTTTCTTTTAAATTGTTGGTAGATTATCCGTGATTTGGTTTCTTTAAACGAAATTGACACAAATCACGTTTTGTTCAGAGTGCACATCTTTTGCTTCTAATAGAAACGTGATTTGGAGAGGCTTAGGCTAAAATAATAATTATATTTGATAAATAATCCTAGATTGGCTTACTGAAGATTGATCAAGTAGATGATGAATAAGGTTAGGAATCATGTTCAATTGAATTCAATTCTTGCCAATCTTTGCAAACAGTTGTAAGAAAGTACCCATATGATATATCGTACGATAACAAATCTTATTCCTAATGTTGAAATTGAACAAGATTTGACATTTCTTGAATATGAATATCGATATGTTCTTATTGTTTGCATAATTATTGCTTACCTTCAATTGTAATGTTTAAAATTAAATTTAAGTTGATGAAAATAATCTGTATTAATGTTGAATAGATGTAAATGATGTGGTTTTTGAATCATCCAATCCAACAAAATTTTCCATTAATTTAATCATTGCTTTTTTATAATTCATATTCAAATCCAATAAAATCAACTTGTACACATTCCATATAATCCTATCCTATCCTATATTGCCTGAAAATATTTTTCACCGTGATGAAGAATTGCCTTTGAAAATCATCAAAGATGGTGATGATTTTTTGATAAAAAATTTATTAAAAGTAACGGTAATGGCGCCAAAAATATATTTTTTTCGACTTTTAAAAAATGTTGATAGATGCAGGAGCAATTTATCATCCCGATGAAAAATAATTTATTCTTTTGAATGTTTGTGTAGGGAAATTAATGATCAAATCAACCCTCTATAATATTCTTCTGCTCCTTACCTATAAGGCCATAAAATTAATGGTTGAAATTAGAGGACGATTCCGTTGTCTTGATTTATTGCACTTCGTAGTGCAAACGATGATGTATCCCCGATACTAACAACCTTAATAAGATTGAGTTGTTATCCATATTCTTATTATTGGATCTGTTGCTGGTAAGAATGCATCCTTCAAATTGTTGAAAACATTTGAACAAGATGAGAACACAACGTTGCATCTGTATACTAGTAACAATAATACAATGATTCGTGTTCTCTTTCATTGTGACATACCACCTCACTCACATTAGATTTAGGCAAGTCATTCCACTAAGATTACAATACGAACTACTTTAAGGGCTTTTCGAGTTACAATCCATCAATATCGCTCATCAATTTCGGTTCCAACAACATACAAGCTGGCATATTTTTGCTTAAATTTTCAACTTCCATGCCAAATGTCATTCGCTAATGTCAAAGGACCAATTGTTTCACTTCGCCAATCAACATTGTAGTGCAGACTCAACACGGCAAAAAGTCGCTCAACAACGTTATTCTCTCACATCATCAACAAAAAAATGTCCAACAAGCAGCGAGTACTGACAGGTTTAGTATTCTTTATCCTGTTGGTAGTTGGTTTGGTAAATTGTCAAACCAATTGTCCACAAGATGCACAAGGTTTAACATTGTTTTCCAGTGTTACTGGATTCTCTGTTGCTGATAGTCAAATTACTATTAGCACAGCTGTCAAGGTTGACAAATCTCCACCAAACAAGCTTCGTTCCATAACCGTTTTGAATGGTGGTTCTCTAATTTTCGATAATACCAACTTGACTTTGAATGTTGATTTTATTAGAGTGGAATCAGGCGCTAGCTGGATCATGGGAAGTGCCACATGTCCAATTACTAGCAAAATTGTGTTGACATTCTATGGCGCTCGTACTACTGAGAATGATATTGGAACAGATCCATTTGATAACGTTAACATGGGCTCAAAGGGTATTGGTTTCCTCTCTGGATCAAAGGTACAAATCTTTGGTCAAGTTGATTATCCAACATTTACTGATCTGGCTGTTACTGCTGTCAAGGGTTCTAATCAAATCAAGTTGAGCGAAAGTGTTTCTTGGAGAGTTGGTGATTCTATTGTTATTGCTACCTCAGATTATGGTGAATTACTTGACTATACCAAAGTAACTTCTTCATTAATTGGTTGGGCTAGAGGTGTTAAATTCCCAGATCAAAATGAAGAGCGTATTATTACTCAAGTTTTAGATGGCGGAAAGACTATTGTCTTGGATGCTCCACTCAATTACACTCACTACAGCGATGGTAACAAGATCAAGCCAGAAGTTGGTTTATTGTCTAGAAGAATTGTCTTCCAAGGTGACAATTCATCTGATGCTTCTCAATTCGGTGGTCATTTCATGGTTCGTTTGGTTACTCAATTCCAAGTTGAAGGTATTGAAATTAGAAAGTTTGGTCAATATGGTTTGATGGGAAGATACTCATTCCATCTTCACCTTTTGGAAAATACTGCTCAAGGTACTGCTTTGGGTACTCAATATTATATCAAGGGATGTTCAGTTCATGACTCTTTCCAAAGATGTTACGTTGTTCACGATACCAATTATTTCTTGCTTCAAGATAATGTCTGCTTCAATGCCAATGGTCACTGTTACTTTTTGGAAGATGGTTCTGAAGTCGGAAATGTTTTCAAACATAATTTGGGAATTCGTCCAAAGCCAGTTTATGATTTGGCATATCGTTTAATTCCATCTGACAGTGATGTTGCTGTTTTTTGGATTACTAATCCAAACAATACATTCGTTGATAACCATGCAATGGGTGGAAAGCATTCTTTTTGGTTTACGTAAGTTATTACAATTTGTTCATAGTTAATGTTTAAATTTTACTTTAGAATGCCAACATTCCCAACAGGTGCAAGTGCCTCCCTGTATGCTCCAGGTTCTATCAATCCTAGAACTGCTCCTCCAAAGCCATTTTCAGGAAATGTAGCTCACAGTGGTCAAAATGGTCTATTCATTGACGATATGGAAAAATCTGATGGTACAACTGAATTGGCAGGTTATTATCCAGCTATTGAAGCACTAATTGATAACTTTACTGCTTACAAAATGAGAGGTTATGGTATTTGGGCTCGTTGTGGTAATATTGTTTTCAAAAACTTGTACTTGACTGATAATATGAGACAAATGAACTCTCCACCTGGTACTTCATACATTACTGATTCTATCATGATTGCTGAATCTGAGAATGTTGGTGATTATACTTTGAGACCATCTGTTGATATTGGTAATAGAACAAGACCAAATGCTTACTACTCAACCACTACTGTTATTAAGGGTTATGAAACTTATGATAATGGTGGTGCTGAATTATTGAGAAATGTCACTTTCAGAAACTTTGTCACTGACAAGTATAAGAGAGCTGGTTGTTTGTCAGTCCTTGATAACTTCTTCAGACTCCATACTAGAAATAGATATTGTGATTTAAAGTTTGAAAACTCGCCCCAAAGAGTATTCTTGGATACTGTCACTTATGAAAATCACAAGGGTGCTGCTCTCATGGATATCGATGGTTCAATCACTGGTGTAGAAGCTGGTGCTTGGATTAGTGGTACTGACCCAATTCAAAACTTTGAAGGTTGTATCACAAGATATGACTGGAATAATGCTTCAGTTTGTCCATTGATGGGAGAATCATACTTCCAATTAAGAGTAACTAATTATAACATTTCTTCTTCAGTAATTATCGATCCAAATGGTGTTTCACATCCTGATTTTAAGGATAATTCAAAGAGAGTTCCGAGATTAATACTCACTGATCTCTTGAGAGGTATTCAAGGTACAGTGTCAGGTGTCCAATCCAGTGGAGGCGACTTTGCCATGCAGGCAAACATTCCAGCTCGTGGTTTCTATTCTATCAAGTTTAACTGGGATCTTCCACCTCCAAATCCAATGAATTTGAATATGCAATCATCTGGTGCTGGTGATTGGGCTGTTTTTGTTGCTCAATATCCACTTGGTACTACATTCAGTGTAACAAGTAGTAACGATCCAAAAACTCTCAATTTATGTGACTCTCTGGAAGATGTCATTAACTTCCCAACACAATGTTATTATTTCAATGCCACAACTGGTCACTTTTATATCAAGTTGAAGAATACCAACTCCAAGAGTGGTAAGAAGGAATGGTATGGCTTTGTTGATTATGGTAATTATGGTAGTTCAGCTGCAATCAATGTTACAGCCACTTGTCCAAATGATTATTGTGGAGCCACCCAAAGTCTTCCATCAAATCCAAGAGAAACTTATAGAGTTTACATGAAGGAAGATAGATTTGTAGGTCGTTTGGAAATGTGTCAACAAGCTGCTGTTTCTCCATTGGCTTCTGGTTCTTCCCAAGCTGTTGGTTCAGTTTTTGCCTTCCTCAATTATAATGACAGATTATTGGATATTGTTCTCCATCACAATATGAATAATAGGGCTACTTTGGTTGAAGTTGGTGTCGGTGCTCCTGGTTCTGTTGAAAGAATGATCACTATAACTATGTTCCATCTCCATATTCTCAAAGTAGATTTGGTTTGCAATTGTCTTATGGAGAATGGGTTGACTTGTTGAAGGGAAGAATTTTCGTAAAGGTTTCCAGTATTGAAAATCCAACAGGTCACTTGAGAGCTCAATTGTACTGTAGTGGTAAATGTAATTTGCCACCAGCAGTTCCAATCACTTCTCCATGTACTGTCAAGAATGCTTCTGAAGTTATTACATTGTATGATGAAGGAGCTACTTTCAAGTCAACTGGATTCACCAATGGTCCATATGCTGGAGCTAGTCCTGATTACTACGTTGCCAACATTACCTATCCATTCAATCCAATTTGTGGTAATTCTTCTTATTACTTTGGACTCAAGAAGGGAGGTTTCCAACTTTACAGAGGTTCAGTTGTCAATGTGGATACCAGTATTTTCAAATACTTTGAATTCTTCATTAAGGGAACCAATAGCTCTGGATCCATTGATTTGAACTTGGCCTTTGCTTGGTACAATACTACATCCAAGGCTTTCATTACCATTGGTAGAGGTATTACAACCAATGCAACCTACATTCAACACTACAAGATTGATGACACTCGTGTTACCAGAGTTAGATATCCTCTCACTGATTTGGGATTCCAAGGAGTTCAACCATTCAGTAGATTTGCCTTCTCCTTAAACAACAATGGACAATACAGAGAAATGATCCTCGATAATATTCGTTTCGTTGGAGATCAAGGCACTGAAGAGACATCCAGATATATCACTTCAAGTGAAATTAAGACCTGGGATTCTGTTTCATCTTGTGGTGTTTCTGCTAATCCAGATGTTGATCCATTGAAGATGGCCTCTCTATTCTTTGATGTAACCAATGAAGTAAGATCAGGACAAGATACTGTTCCAGAACCAGGCACTTCAACTACTCCAATTTCACCTTCAGCAAGTAATAATACTGTCATTCCAAGAAGTTCTATTGTTTCTGGTGCTTGTTCTATTGGAATGAATATGCTCTTGATGGTGATTATTGTATTGGTTTCTGCTGCCTTCTAATTTAGTTGTTAGTTACCGTTGGATTAATAAATAATTTTTAATAAAATTATTTTCTATTTTAAAAAAAATAAGACAATCCAAGAATGATTAATTTCCTTTTCCCTTCCTTCATGAGAAGTTGATGTGTGAGTAGAAGGTTGGTGATGATCAAATAATGATAGTAGATGTAAACATCGGATTATTATTCTTTTATTGATGTTTTGGAGCAGTCTTTTACAAGACAGAAATTGGCTTCTAACCAGTAACATGACTATTAATCCACAATAACATCTACTGGTTGTACCAGCAAACTCGCAGCCCAGAGCACTGCCTCTCTTTCTTCAGCATACGTAACATATATGAACCATCTAAAAACATTATATTTTGTATATGATATGTAAGGGACCATGGTCTAGTGGTATGATTCTCGCTTTGGGTGCGAGAGGCCGTGGGTTCGATTCCCACTGGTCCCCGTTTCCTTTTAAATCATGGTATTTCTTTTTTAATTTTCATAACCTTTATTCCTCCTCATTTGTCTCATTCTCACTTGTTGTTGTAATTACTGGTACAATTCTATTCTTTTTAAATCTGGACACTTCAAAATCTGAATCCATTGGAATTTCTGGATTTGCAACAGTAGACTGTGGTGGAATTGATTGTGGTCCCTTCTCCATACCATCTTCCTGATAACTCTGATAAATCTGTTGATCTGGAACTGTTCTAAAAGATTGAGTATTCGTTCTTGTCATGAGTGTTCTAAATGCCTTACTATCCTGAGTCACGCTATTGCTAGATGATTGACCATTCAAACCAAAAACTGCAGCACTTTGTTGAGATAGCAACAATGGTTTAGATGATGAAGCTACAGTCACACTCTTCAATGCTGGATAATTTCTCTTGGCCATGATGGTTGACTTGATTTGGAAAAGTCTTGTTGTTCCTTCCAAACCTTTCAATGTGAATTCTCCCATGTCTTCAGCTAAATATCTCCAACCACGTGCATGTCTTGTTCGCTTCCTCTTTGTAACTTGATTTGGATCTGAAAGATCGTAAGCTTGTGCTGAGCTAACTGAGGAATTCCTGGATGAGATGGAATTTCTCGATAATTCAGAACTCTTATGACTGGATCCTCCAACTGAGACAATGTCCTTATCATTCTGTTCCTCCTGTAAGGTCAATCCAGTCATGATTTCACTCACGTACGAGTTGTTATTTCCCTGAAGGAATTTGATAAAGGAATACAATCGGCACTTGTTTGTTTTCCATGTTTCCAATAAGAAATCCTCAGAAACCAATATTTGTCCACCAATAGCCACACTCTCAACTCTTGCGGAGGTATTTACACAAGTTCCGAAATAGTCCGGTCTTTTCACAACCTTATCAAAGACATATTCCGCAGCTCCATAATGAAGTCCCATTCTAACTCTCACTCCTGACCAAATTATTTCCTTAGTTGCATTATCCCACTCCGGTCTACAATCCCACAATCCCAATAAATCAGATGGCCACTTGGCTGTCAACAAATCATGTTGGACAGAGACACACCAATCTAAGGCATCAGTTGGATTCTTGAAAACCACAAAGAATGAATCACCCTGTGTCTTGACTTCAAATCCATTACATAGATCGAGATTCTTTCTCATAATTTGGTTGTGAATGATCAAAGCTTCTCTCATGGCTTTCTCATTGGATTGCCACAAGACAGTCGAGTTTTGGATATCGGTAAAGCAACAAGCTAATTTACCATTCTTTGATTTAGGAGCGTGTTTGATGGCATTTCTTGCTACATAATATCTATACGAAAGTATTGGAATGATTGTTATGAGAAGGAGGAAGGCAATACCTGAAAGGACAATCATGACAATGGCAACAACAGACAGAGAAGGAACAACAGCAACCAAACCACATGTTCCAAAGGTATTGGTTGAGATAGTATTGGAATATTTGAAGAGAGCGGAAGAATTCACAGTTGGTTGACTTGTTAGAGTTGATAAGACAACTTTTTTAGCTCCTTCATTACAGGAACAGCCCAAGGAAGTGGAAGAATCACAAGTTGTACTTGCTGTTGTGGTATTGGAGCAGGCATATCCAACTGGGCCAACTTTTTTCATGTTCAAATCAAAGACGGTATTACTATAAATGGAGTTCAATAAATCTGAAGGGGTAATGTTTGAGGTTTGACCTGAAATACTCTTTGCTTGTTCAATGGAGGTGATGAGAATATCGATAAAGTGGCCAAGCGAGTAACCTTCAAATGTTAAATGATTAATATTGGAATCAAAGTATGAAATAGTTTCGGTTTTGAATAATTGGACGAAAGAGGCGCTATCTGAACCAGAAAAGTCATGGAATGGAGAATCCATTGAGCTAGCCATTACTAGCTTACCTTCTTTCACTCCATTTAAAACAGATTGGGACAAAGTTGAAAGGGAAGAACCTGAAATTGAACTAATCCAATATGAAAGGTCAGAAGTGGAAACAAGAGATTGTTCGAATATCCTTCCACTATTTTCAATCAAAATACCAAAATAGAGTTTCTTATCAATGTTCAATTTCTGAGCAGCAAGAATTGAATGCTTAATAATCGAAGCACTATTCGAATCTCTTGCCAAAACCATAATTGCCACATCCTTCTCAATTCTTGCATTCGAAAACAATGAAATAATTTGATCAGCTATCGATGTATTATAAACTCCCTGAGTGAAACTTATTGGAATGGATTCAATTCTACAATATTCAACAATTTCACTAATTGCCATATTAGTATAAAATGGATCATTTTCATAAACAAGAGCCAAGTTGACAGTTCCATTCTGTTTGAAATAATTAAAGAATGAAATGGCTTGATCAACGACAGATGGTCCAACATTGACAAAATAAGGAGTGTACGGTTTTCTCAATTCCATGGAACCTGAATAGCTGTTAATCCAAGGAATTTGTTTTGTTTCGAGGGTGGATCTGATAGAATCAAATTCTCTACTGATATCAGATGAAGTAAAAATAAATTCTGATCCAATAATTGCAAAAACTCTATTTTTGTCAATCAAGGAATTTACCTTATTTGGAAGATTGAATTTCTCCTCATCAGTACTATAATATTCAATAACAAGTTGAATATTTTTAGAGGAATATCCATTATTGAATTTCTGAGTAATTTTTTTAAAATAGGTGGATAGACCCTTAGAAAATTGAGTATGACCAGAAGTGTCCAAATCTGAAACCTGGCTCAACAAGTCTAATTGTCTTTCAATTTGAGAATTTCCAATTTTTCTATAGGGAGCTAGATATCCAAATAGTAATGGCGTGTTAATGTATGATTTGATGGCTGTCTCAACAGAGCTTGCCAATAATCCACAACCTGAATCATAACTTTTCGTATAAACTTTGGAGAAACTATTCGAAACGAATGTGAAAACATAATTTTGACGAATACCAACATTGCAACCATCTTCACTGAAGGGACCATATGTCGTTTGCTGAGAAATGAAACTCTTGACATCATAAATAGTTTGCAATACTTCCTTTGAAGTCAAACCTGAATCAATATTGATTAGAATAGAGGTAATCAAGTTTCCAATATAAAATCCTTCCAAAACTTTGTTGTGATAGAGGGTAGTTGAGTTGGAATAATCGTTTGGGAAGAAATTCTTCATGGTTTGAATGAATTTGACGATGGAAAGTTGTGAGGATGAATAAACCGAATCTAAATGAGAAACAAACGAAACTTTGAAGAAACTCTTGTAATTTTGAGCGAGCCAATCTTTCATTTCGTATTCTGCATTAAGGGAAAAGAAGGAATTCATCAAAACAATATCCAAGTTTCGACCAAATTTTGGTGAATTCTGATAAGTAGTTTGGAAAGCTCCAATCAAGGACGAAACTACATCGACATTTGATGGGAATGCAAATATAACAACTTGAGGATTAGAACCATTATATCTCAAACTATCAACAATTGAATCTATACTGGCATATGAATAACTATTCGAACCATCAATACATGCAGAAGAATCTAAAACTAAACCCAAAGCAGTCAATATTTGATTGAGTAATCCAAAAGCTGCAAATGAATCTTCATTTCTCTTACTGTAAATAATTGAAAACCTTGAAGATGCTTCTTGATTCATTGAATATTCCACAATCGTTGCCAATTGTTCGAAAATGGACGAATGTGCGTGAATGATATTCCTTGTGAATGGATTTCTTAATTTCATTGAATTAATAGTTGAAGCACCTCCAATCAAGGAAATGTTTGCAAATTGTGGATTAGTTGCAATATTGATCTTTCCACTACTTTCTACCAACGAAAAGTGATCTGTCGAATAGCCAACCAGAGCAAGTGCATCATGAGTTTCAATGAATTCCTTTGTATTCGAAATTAATTCATCCTTATTTGAGTGATATTGTGTTAAAAGTTCTAATTTGGAATCAGAACTTGACAATCCTTGGTTATATATGGTAAAGGCCATTAAAATTCCTTTTCTCAGCATTAGTTCTTCAGTATAGTCCTTATTCGAATAGATTGATTGACCGAAAATGAGAGGTTTCTTAACAAGTGAAGGATCTGAAATGCAATAAATACCTCCCTTGTAATCATACCATGAAAAACTATTCCCTAAAATAGAAAATGAAATTTTAGAGTTTTCAATTTGAGCTGAACTTTTGTAAACAACTTTCAAACCTTGATTACAATTAAAATTAGAACAAGTAGTATTCGAAAGTGCCGAAACATTCAATGAAATCTTATCCGCATATGGTAAATTCAAATCCATGACATTGACACTTTCACACCAACGATACGGACCTACCCTAATCCCATCCACAAGTGAAACACCTCCTGAACTGTCACCAGTCGATGACGAATCCCCAATATCAGTTCCCAACCTATTCCCTCCAAAATAATTCGTTGCAATAAAGTTGGATCTCGTTAAATTTCCAACCATTTTCTGAAATATCGAAAAAACCAATCTTCCCGCCATGTATCCTTCCAATTCTATAAAGGAGGGAGTGAAGGAATTGTAAGAGGATGGATCGTTGGCTAGTAGATAGGATCTTCTTGCATTCTGATAGGATCTCACTATTGGAATTGAGAGATTGAAAGGGCTGGGGACGACTTGTGTGATGACTACATTGTCAATGTAATACGAATTGCCATAGTTATTCGAAGGTAAACTGAAGGAGTTTAATCTTTCAATGAGAGCTCCTGAGCTGACGAAACTCAAAGTCATGAAAATAATTTCGCTCGGTTTCTCATAACCGTATTGATTGGCAGTTGAATTGAAGGCCAAATCTTTTACCATCTTGATAAACTTGGCAATGGGAGCAAAAGTTCCAATGCAAATAATTGCAGCTGGTTTTCCCGCTCCAATTTCCTGAAATGCATTTTCCACATTTAGTGTTCCTCTTGTATAGTAAGATGTGGAACGAATAGGGATATTGAGATAGTTGACTAGGGAACGTTGGACTCCGCTCAATCCAGCAAGTCCAAAACTGTCATTTTGGTAGAATACAGAGATTCTTCTAATTAGTTTTTCGTTAATGAGATAGTCAATCATGGCAGCTGTCTCATCATCATAGGAAGCTCTAAGATTAATGACATTTGAATAGAATGGAGAATATCTCAACCAACCAACTCCTGTAAAAGAAGCTACAAGTGGTACATTCTTTGCCACAACATCAGAATAAACTGCTTGGACAGTTGGCGTGCCGACATATCCTAACAATCCAAAAACTTTCACATCATTGACATTTCTATCTTCATATTTACCACTTGAAAACACATTTGCATAATTCAGTGAAGTATTTGGTGGAGTAATATTGTAAAGAAAGTAATTTGTATTTTGTAAAGTGCTCACTGGATCATAATTATCATCGAGTGAGAGCAATTTGAGTTTCTTTGAGCCCCAAACACCCCCAATAGAGTTGATTTCATGGAATGCAGCAAGGATGCCATTTCTCATTTCAATTCCAAGACTATTTCCATTAGTCAGGAAAGAAAATATATTCGAAACTTACCGACTGTTGGATCCAGTGAGAGGACACGATTGGGCAAACCATATTTCATCCTTATCATTCCAACTAATCATATCAAGCAGTGGATTCTGAGGTGTCACTTGCACAATATCTGCAACACAACCTGTCATTACTAGAAATAATGCCAGCACAACTGAAATAATCAGCAAGCGGCCATTAACGTGTAGCTGTTGTTTCATTTTCTTGATGTTTGTTTTTTGGTGATGTTGTTTCCTCTACAACCAACCATACCCATCATTTTGCATATTTGTTCGTTTTGAGAAATAAAAACGCCTGAATGAGTGGCAAGATAAAATTGATCAACGAGCCAGGTGTTCGATTATCCTAGTAGAGACTGAGCGTTTGTAGTGATGCTTTTTGACACTTCTTGACAATATCCTTAAATTCTAGAGAGATGGCTCAGTACTGCGTTCCTATTAAGTTGTCAATGAAACATTAGGTTAGATTCGGTTACAAAGGGTAAACAAAAACAACATTTATGGAGGAGATGATTTGTTACACTTTTTATGACTTTAGGCATCATCAAATATTGTGAGTTTAAATTCTTAATAAATATATTGGGATTCTAATATTATTGTATTAATAGTATGGAATTAATTGTGGTGGTTGTATTATTTAATATAATTTACACATCTTGTTGACCGTTTTTGGCTGTTCCAGAAGATGATGAAGCATCAGCACCTTCCTTTGGTGGCTCTTCGTAGAAAAGGGCATAGGAATCGCTGCTTGCTTTCTTTTTGAATGATTGTCTATCTTCAGGAATTTCCTCAACAAGATTTTCCAAAAATGTGGATCCATTAGTGAGCTTGGTTGTTGCTATAATGTATTCACAATCGTTACTTCTTTCATTCAAGTAGGTAATGGCACTGATTTCAGCAAAAGTAACACCTCCAATAAAGTAAACCAAGACAACCTTCTTTCCGAGTTGAGTATCTTGGGAACCTGTTTGAGATAATTCTCCATAAAGGCCTGGAGCAAGCTTACTCAAAACAGGTTCAACTCTTCTCCATCCCTTTTCTTCAGTCATGGCATGTTCGACAAGAGCAACAGTTATTGGACAATAGACATTGTAAACCAAGTGAGGATCATATTGACCATCTTCCTCGTTGGTTCTTTCCATTGCAGCTTCATCTACAAGATTAAATGTCTTTTTCAGTAAATTCCAATTACTGACAGACTTGGAGTCTTGCTTTCTGAGCATGCCAATCTTTTCCAAATTGTTGAGAGTTGGCAATGCTTGAAGTCCATAACTTTGTATAATTTCTCTTCTCAATTTTTCAAAAACCTTATTCTTAATACCTCCATTAATTAGTGAATAGAGACAAATGACACGCAGAACGTTGGTAAGTGGTAATTGCTTGTCAATTGTTTCTTCAATATATTCGATAATTTCCTTTTCATCCTCACCATCAAGAACATTCTTCTGTGTTTGAATTAATCTTCTGAAAGGAACCTTTCCAATAATTGATCTAATTTCAAGCATCATTTTGGTGTCTTGGATGTGTGTTAGTAACGAATTGCATGAAATTTAAAACTTACGAAGTTCCAAATACTTTTTGTCTTCTTGAATTTGTGGTAACATTTTAGTAACTTCCTTGATCTTTTCAATGGAAACTTTAGAATCTGATGTTTTGATTTCTCTTGCCTTATCTTCTCTGGATTTAAATTCAATAGCCATTTCATTGATTGCAATACCAGCTCTATTGTGATTGAGATGTCTCAAACGATTAAAAACATTATCAGAAGAATTGAGGGCAATCTTTTTAGCAATAGTAGCAGCTTCAGGTACACGTTGAGTTGTAAACAAGGTATTTGTAATACCTCCCAAAAGTTCATCAATCATTCCTTCATAAGTAAATTGATTTAACATTGGAGTAATTAAATCTACATTTCTATCAATCAAAATTAATGTGTTAATTTCTGGAACAGAAGCAAAAGCTTGTGAACCAACTTCCTTTCTCATTCTCATGATCATTTCAGAGACATGTGTTGCACCCGATCCAATAAATTTAACATTTGGTATCAAACCAAAATAGGATTGTAACTTCATAATAGATCGTGCTACATAATACAGTGATGAAAAATCACCATCCAATTCGCATTCCTTGAATGATGAAGGAAGTTCCAAAGACATTAAATAATTATCAAAGACAATTAAATCCAAAGGATATTCGGAAATTCTTAAATGTGGATAAACACCCAAATCCTTCAAGATATCAACACAAATTAATGATGTTTTAGGTAATAAATAGAGGTGGAAATTGGTTGGTGGTGTATATGTTTCTTCATTGGTTTCTTCAGGTTGTTGCTTTTTGTTTTTTGTGTTCTTCTTTTCCTTCAGCTTTTCCGACATCATTCGATCTAAATCTTCTTTTTGTTTGACCCAGTAGGATACTTGATTAGCAACCCACTTCATCAAGTGCATCTTTGGTCTCACAATATAGACAATATTTGCAAAATTGGTATCAAATGTTCTATCATTCAATTTAAATAGTTTTTTAACTCCAAGTTCTTTTAAAAGTGCCAGAGGGGCAACTAATCCAAGAGGTCCAATTAATTGTTCATCAAGGACAAGAATCTTGTCTCCGTTTATCTATTATTTTGTTGTTAATGTTGATGAATTAATTAATAATAATATATTATTTAATTGAAGATGAGATGATTGATAAACAAATATTGTTCGATTGCTTGTGTTATTATAATAAATGTGATGATAACAAACCGAATCAAGAATATCGCAAAGCTCCGATCTTGCTGTCTCCTTCAGAGTCTCAAGGTTAGGCATTAAAAGATTTTTTTGTGAATTGATTAATAATTATTAATAATACTTCACACAAGCAAGATACAAACATATTGCCACATACTGGTAACAAGTACAATAACCAGTTAAATCAAAAGTGAGCGAATTTATAAATAATCATCATCAACACAATATTGAAATTCCATATGATTATATTTAAATGATAAATATATGAAGAATATATTATAACTAAAACATGAAGCTGGCGTAGCTCAGTCGGTAGAGCGTTGGTCTAATAAGCCATTGGTCGCCGGTTCGATCCCGTCCGTCAGCAGATAATTTTATCTTCAAATTTTTTAGCTTTGAAGTAATATTGAGAATACAGAATTCAAAACAGTTTAATTCCAATATCTTGTCTGTAACTAAATTGACATTTTATTGATCTTTGGAGATAGTAATAGTATCTACTACAGATCCAGTCTTGGATTCATGATAATTGAACTTTAGGGAGTAAACCTTGGTCTTTTCATCATAATTGGTATGTAAAATACCATATCCTTCATCCTTATAGAAAATGTCAGCACTCCAATCATGATTATGGAATGATTCAGCCTTAGTTTGTCCTTCAATGTTTCCTCCACCACCATTGACAATATGAATAGGTGATCTCAAATTATGATAATTTGATTTGGTTTCCACTTTGGTTTTATAAACTGGATATGTTCTTTCATAACTATGAACGTGACCAACCATGAAAATATCAGTCTTGTACTTGTACATAACTTCCTCAAAAGCATCTTGTAAAACTTTGGAATCTCCAATTGGATCACCATGTTCATTTGAGAATTCTTTAGTTGAGCTGTAAATTGGTCGATGGCCCACAACTACCAACCATGGGGTCTTCTTTCTATCAACTTGTGATAATGTTTCATCCAACCACTTTAATTGCTCTCCATGGAAATGATCATCATACTTTCCAAAGTGAGCTCCTGGGAAATTAGTTTCAGTATCAACAGCAACAAATGTAATTGGACCATATTCGAAAACGTGCCACATATTATGTCCAATTGCAGATTCATTTCTACCTGGCATGTAAAAACGAGAATTGTAAGCTTTGAATGGAATTTCAAATTCATCATATGGATGATTCTTTGGTCCCTTTTCATGATTACCAACACAAACCATATATGGAGCATATGGCATGAAATCAGACAACATTTTCATGTACTTGGTCCAAATAAATTGATATTGAGCTCCTGCAAAGTCGTTAGCGTAACCAATATCTCCCAAATGATAAACAAACATGTTCTTGTGTTTGCTATCAGATTTGTCATAGAATGAATTAACAAAATGCTTGCTTCTAGCAATGACATATGCACTGTTGGTTGTTCCTTGATCTCCATACATTAATACTGACACTTGCTTACTTTCAGATTGTTTTGGATCAGTTCTTGTGTGGAAATAATAAACTTCAGATTGAATATCGGTAGATTTGGTAAATCCACACTTGTAATAATACTTGGTCGAGTATTCCAAATCAACCAACAAGACATGATGTTCATAACCAGTCTTGGCAGATTCTCCATAAGTTGTACTGACACTTCCAAGATGAGCTACTTGATAATCTTGGAAATTTTCATTCGTACTATACATTACTTGAGCCTTTCCCAAAACATCCTTATCATAACCTTCAGTATGGAATGAAACAATCATTTCTCTACTATTTCTTGTCAATGCCAAGTGAACTTGTGATGGAACATTTGAAGCAGCAGCAGCATCAACTGTACTCACAAATACCAACATCATCATGACGATCATAATGATCTTTACTAGTCCGAGGTTCTTCATCATTAGAATTTTCAATAATTTAAAAAAAATCAATGAAGAGAGAGATGTGATGAGCGGAGACTTTTTTGCTTTTTTTTTTGAAATGTTGGATTTTAGGCTCATTGATTGGTTAGTTTCACATACTGTAATGTGTGATGTTGATGATTATGAAGTGTAACATCTCTGATTGGGGCTTTGCGACTATTGAATGTTTCATATTTCCAGGAAGAATGGAAAAAAAGTAAGCAAGGTGATGATTAAGGGTGATATTTGCAATTCGTTCAATTTTTAATGTATCCTGCTTGGGGTTCAGGCTGATAATTAACCACTCATTGAATTATTAATTAATACATTAGCAGAATTGATGACTTCTCAAGGGTTTGATTGTTTGATTGTGTAACCATTGATTTCCTCCTCTAATAATTACGATCATTATCATCGCACCCAAACTCAATATTTTTTCTTGGTTCCAAAGAACTTTGATTTTTGGCGCCAAAATCTCGATATTGGTTCATTGGCCTTTTTTGTGATCTGTTTTTCCTTTTGGTCAATTGAATAAAGCAATCAATAGAAAAACAATAGAATTGAGGAGGTGCGTAGCTGAAGTGGCTCACTATCTATTCTCTTCTTCCCATCCTTTTGTAAATTATTGCAAAATTATTGATATTACAGATGGTAATCAGTTTAGAATATCAATTCTGATACAACCACATCAACATTCTCATTCAACGTTAATAAACACTGAATGTGGAAGATATAACCGATAAATAATGAAAACAACCATGAATAGCATTCCTAACAATCCTATTCCTCTTTCCACAAAGCAACTGCCAAATGTCAAAAACTTTCCAAATATTGAACATCATCTCTTTCTTGAATGGAGAAGGTATAACTACATACAGGAGGGCCTTAGTACTCAAATTTGAGCAAGTCATGAAAATCATCTAGCTCGAGCTAATATGGTGTTGCTCCAAATTTGCAATTACCTTTTTTAATCAATCGCAGTTATGTTAAAAGAGAAGGGGCCAATTGCACACCTTCATGTTTTTGTTTTGTCGAATGAAAAATTGAAATCACAACACTGTGTGCTTGGCACCTTTGAAAAAAACATCTTCAAACCTATTCGAAACACAAGTGAATGAATTCGTCCAGTTTCCAACAGAATCAAGAACATTCAGTCACCGACTCAGAAGATTTGGCGAAGAGTCCAGCAATTAAACCTATCAAGAAAACCAGAAGGAAGAAAACTCTCATGGAACATTACAAGATTATTGAATCACCTCCAAAAGATTCTAATAACATTTCCAATAGTACTTCAACCTTTTCAACAATTAATCCTGTTCAGAGTGGACATACTCTTCCAACAAGCATTCATGGAGCAAGTATTGGAAACTCACCAACAAGAACAATCCTTCCTTCACTTTCGTCTGTTATCTTTTCAGATATTGATAGACTAAACTCTAAACATGCTTCTCAATTGCCGCCAATATTATTGAATCATGATTACAATCATGTGGAAAACACAAAGAAAATAATACATTCAAATAGTGAAAAGACATCTTTACTTTCGAATAATTCTTCAACACCTCTTTCTAATAACAATACCATCAAGAAGAGAAAGAGCCGAAATGAACCAAGCTCTCCTCTAATCAACAATACAAGAGATTTTCAATTGGAATATACAGGAAATAATTCAATTTTTGGAGTGATGAAAAAACCAAAACATGCGAATATGGCTTCATACGAAACTATTCTAAACCTTTCAGATACTTCTAGTAGCAATTCAAATCAACGTGTGAAAACGCCACCAACAACAACAACTCGTTCTTGGAGTCCACACCAAGAATCTCAAATCCAATCAACAAACAAGAAGAAACGAAAAAAGCCATAATTAGACCTTTTTCACATGTGCCTCTATTGGAAACTACCTCACAAGGTTGTTTTGAGGGTGGACACAGTCCGTTTTTAGTGGTCTCCTTGTTATCTTTCAATTTGCATTTTCAGAAAGACCTTCCTCTTTGTTTAGTTGCAAAATGATTATTAGAAAGGTTTAGAATATGATAATGCATTGTTTACTTGATATCATGTGTGTGTTGACATGCTTTCCAAAATTCTAATTTGGCAATATTATAACAAGAGCAAGTTTTGGTCTCTTAATTACCATATTCGAAAGCTCTCCTTGCATATTCTCAACGCACCACATTTCCCTCAATATTTATTTTGTTAGAAACTCTGAGAAATAAACAACAAGGATTTTGCCATCTTCAGATTTAAACAATATTTCGAATAAAAATTCAAAGTTTCGTCAAGATCTGTTAAAGTGATCTAATATTTCACAATTGTTGAAAGGATAGAGCTCATTCAACAATTGTGAAATATAAATGCGGTGGATAAGGACACTCCCTTCACATTGAGATGATTTTTATGAAAAAGTTTCGCTAGGCAACCGACCCCCAAAAACTAACCGGCTTTCTTTCACTTTAAATATTCCTTTTTCTTTGATAAAAGCTCAACCGTTTCCAATTCAAAAGTTTATCTATTCGAAACACTATCAATTCACGCCACTTGTCATAGTATTCCAACACAATCAGCAATTCCTCTTTCCATTAAAAAAATATTCAACAATCTCACATGCATAATAGATTGTGTCAGCCATTCTTGGAGGAAACAACATGTGAGCTTGGGCATTCGGGATAACATGTGAATAAAGGGAAGTTTAAATAGAAATTCCAAATAATTTAATAAGGAATTAATTGTTGTTTCTTAATATTCTTGTTGATGATGTGTTTCTAATGGATGATTAGAAATGTAAATTTCCAAAGAATGGTATTTCCTTAACAACATTTGAAGGTTTGGAAGAAATCAATTGATTCTCCAAGCAATAACAAATAAATTCAACATTTCTGAACTTTTCACCAATGTACTTTAAGGAGGCAACTGAGGATTTCACTGCACTTGAGACTATAGTTATGTCATTCTTCAATCTATCAGAAACATATTGAAGAGTTTTACCATTTTGAGAAATAGCTGCCTTTACAACCTCTTCATCGTCTCTTAATTGTTCGGAAGCTGAATCAATTGCCCAACAATTGAGCTTAATTGCCTCAAGCATAAATTGCTTGTTATCTGAAAGTCCATGTGCGATTCCACCTCTCCACTTGCTTGCCAATACTTTTAACATGAATTGTGAATCGTTTTTCAATCTTTCAGAACAATATTCATTAAATAAATCAGAACGTACTTCACTGCCTGAGGAATGAAACTCATATTCATCAATTTCCAGATTATGTACATGTTTCATGGTAGAATCCTTAACCAATTCCAATATAATCGTTTCAGTATCTTTCAATCTTGCAGAAGTGATATTTTCTATTGATGATCGTTCCTGTTTAATTGCTTCCAAAACAATTTGTTCATGATATTTCAATCGATCAGATGCATATCCAAGCATAGACCCATTCTTCTTGACAGATTCCAAAACAATCAATTCGTTATCTTGCAATCTTTCAGAAGCATACGAAAGAGCCTTGCACAAACGACCATGACAAATGGCTGCCATCAGAACTAGTTCACTATCTTTCAATCTATTGGATGCATAAGTAAGGGCTTCACTAGTATTTCGAACCGCTTCCAAAACAATCTTTTCATTATCCTTCAATCTCTCGGAAGCACAATAAAGTGACATTCCATTTTGGTTGACTGCTTTCATTACAATTTCTTCATTGTCTTGCAACCTTTCAGATGCAAAAAAGAGTGGTGATTGGTCTCTCTTGATTTCTTCTATAATAATTTGCTCATCATCTTGCAATAGTTTCGATAAATACTGAACCAAAGAAAGATCATACGAGTATCCCAATGATTTCATGATCTTCAACACAAACTGCTTATTATCTTTCAATCTATTGGAAGCATACTTCATCATTTGAGGTTCTTGTGTAACTGCTTCCATCACAACCATCTCAGTATCTCTCAATCTGTCAGATGCATAACACAACGACATGGCATTTCTCCTGATAGCTTCCAACACAATTGTTTGATTATCCCTCAATCGATCGGATGCCTTTCTGAGAGACCTTGTATTTAACTTGACAAATTCTAACATGAGCAGTTCATTGTCAAACCCTTCGTTGAAGAATAAATCAGACGAATCTTTTTCAAATCTTTCTAATTGGAGTAGCTCACTATCAGAAAGTAATTCGCCAAAGTAATCTTTGAATCTCTTTGAGGCATACATAATTGCTGATGTATTCTTCTTGATGGCTTTTAGAATAATCTGGTTATTGTCTTTCAATCTTTCAGATGCAAATTTGAGATTGCTGCCACAGTTTCTAACAGCTTCGAAAACTATTCTCTCATCATCTTTAAATCTATCAGAAACCAATTCAAAAGCTTTAGTATCATATTTTACAGCTTGTAAAACAACTTGATAATCTTCCTTAAATCTATCCGAAATATGCCTAAACTTAAAATTACTACCAAGTGCTATCCAAGCAATATCCCTATCTTCCAACAACCCTGCCAAGAACATTTTAACACGTTGCTTTCTAGCTTGCTCTTCAAACTCTTCCAAATTACAATCCACATTAAAATCTGGCATTTTCAGGATGGAAGTGAATGAATTGTACTTGTCGTCACAATCACACAAACCAATAATGTTGGATATAAGTTGGTGGTTCTGTTCAATTCTATGTTTGATAATGGCTGTGAATTGGGAACGATCAAGGCCAGGTTTGGTGTTTGTTCCTATCATTTGTAGAGGAAACCAATCGAGAATAGGATAATGTATTAGAAAGAGCTGTAATTCTGTGGTTTGGTATTTTAACTTTTTGATTAATAAATCTGATTGAATTGTTTCGTCTAGAATGATATTAACATAATTGTATTTAGGTGTTGGTATTTTACTCTTCTGTTCGAATGGTACAGACGTAACAGCCGAAACTTGACTAATCATTTTTTATAGTAAATTAATGAATGTCAAGTAATTTCTATTTAAATTATTTTGAAGACTTTCCATAAATGTAAATTTTACTTTTCAAAACAAATGCCACTATTATACAATATAAAGAGTCGCTAGGTTCACACAACTTGTCAACATCCATTCGAATAGTTTGAGTTTTGGTAGAAAGTGCTCTTTCCTCTAAACAATAACAAATAAATTCAGCATTTCTTAATGAAATTCCAACATACTCCAATGCCTCAATTGAGGATTTTACAGCTTTCAAGGCAATATTCCTGTCCTTCTTCAATCTATCAGAAGCATATTGAAGAGTTTTACCATTCTAATATTCGAAACAATTTCAAGAAATAAATCAAAAGGATTTGCTTTAACTCGTGATGGAATGATTAATAATTGAAATGTTCGATCAAAATTTCACTCAATGGTTGACAATCTCTTTCAAGTGTGTATCTCATGATGGCTGTCAATTGGGATGCATAAAGATAGGGTTTATCACTCCATCCGGCAAGCATGTCCAAAGGAAACCACTCAATAATCGGAATATACATCAGACAGAGTTTATTTCTGTTGTGTGGATTTGTAATTATCTGGACAGAAGAGTGGATAATATCGTGATCGAGAAGAAGTGTAACCCGATGATCATCATCATCATATTTTAAAAATACTGCTAACTGACCTTAGAAATTGTTCCAATGAAAATTCGAACTTCCTATTGTGAAGGTCAGTCAACAGAATTTTTAAAGTTCGAATTTTCATTGGAACAATTTCTAGAAAAAAATATTGGAAAATGCTCTGTGTTGATTCTTGGAGTAATTTCACATCTATAAACCCAAGAATTTCACCACATCATTTTAAATAATAGTAATTTTTGGAATTTAATTCTTCACATATGATTTGGAAAAATTCAAGTTGGTAATACACCATCATCGGAACAACTACTATCATCATTGTTATTTATCATCATTATAACAGTAATATTTGTGGAAATAAATTTGATAATAGTGAAATTTAATATATTTTAGTGTTGTTCAGCACTAAACTAGAATCCACTTGAATCTTCACTTTTCGATTGTTGAACTACTCTTCAAATCATTCTTAATATTTAAATGATAGACGAAATGTGGTGAAACATTTCAGTGAAGGATGAATTTGTTTGAGAATTATCAAAGTTTCTCAAATAATAGAATACATCATATTGTACTTGAGAGCACTCTCAGTAAGACTGTGAATTATTATAGAGAATTAATAGTTTGTCAACAAACTTGTAATCATTCAAACTTCTCTAAATGCTTCCCAATTACTCAAAAGTTTATCTATTCGAAACTCTGTCAATTCACGCCACTTGTCACATTGAAAGAGCCAATCCAACACTATCAACAATCCCATCTCTTTCCATTAAAAAAATAATATTCGTAAGCAATCCCGCATCAACATAATTTAGGGTTTCAAACTTTCCAAAAATCGCCTCTCAAAAAAAATGTCAGAAAAACTCCCGCCACCTTTACTACACCAACAAACAAAGGCTATACGTGATGGCCATCAAAATAATCAACATGTTGGTCATTCCAATTCTCATCATCAGCATCATCAACAACAATATCAAGGAACGCATCAAAATAATCAACAAGCGAATTTGAGAAAGAAGAAAAAGGAGGTTGCCGCTCAAATGAACTTGACTCAGAATGATGACAATAATGGGATGATAGTGGCGATGAATAATGAAATGAGAATAGGAAGTAGTAATATAAATAGTGCGAGTGTTGTGGTGGTGAATGATCAGCAACAAGTTAGAAATTATTCGAATCATCATTTCATTAATTATGAACAACAGGTTAGCAAAAATCAATCGAGAGTAACAACCACAGTGCTGGTTGACAATCATTTTCAACAGCAGCAGCAGCAACAACAACATGCTATTCTTCCAATGGTTGATAATGGAAATACGTTAACTTTTCATACAGCAGTTATTAATAAGGAAAAGAGAAAGAGAAAGAAGAAGGAAGTTTTCGAGGGATGCAATCATTTCAAAATTACAAATAATCAATCATCTTCTTCTGTGGATCAATATCAGGATAATGAGGAAATACATGTGGAGAAAAATTCTAAAAAACGAAAGAGTGGAAAACAAGTTCAGGTTTCGAGTTTTGATCTACTCTCAATGACTGATAATAATGCAATGTTTGGAGTTTTCAAGAAGAAACCTACTCAACAAGCTTACGAAACAGTGCTCAATTTCAATCCTGGTTCAGCATCATCATCGAATAGTACGAATAATGGTGGTGATCAATTTAAAACTCCACAAGCATCAAGCAGCAATTCACAAACTGAAACGCAAACTCTCACCACTCCATCACCCATTCATAATCCATCTTCCAATTCCTCTAGCACTGGTGCTAATATTTCCCAACAAGGCACATTTCCAAATCCAATAGTGTCGAACAACTATCCCGTTGCTTCCAATATTGGATTTAACAACATTCTTTCACACAATTCACACAATGTAAACCAATCAACAACTAATCCAAAGGAGAGTATACAACAGCAATACTTCTCATCTTCGAATCATGTAATTGCAGATCCAAGTCACACAACTTTACAACCCATTATTGGACCTTCTTTTGGTAGTCAACCAAAACGAGATTTAGCAAACCTGAATTATGGTACGATTTCAAGATCGGTCAGTTTCACATCAGCCACGGATCTGCTTTTTTCTGAAAAGCAAATTGCAAAACAAGACTCAACAACTGGAACTGTCAATAACAACCAAACAACAGATCTTGTATCATATCCCAATAATAATAGTAATTCAATTGAATCTTCTGAATTGATGACTCAATCTAAACATCCCATAATTCCAACACCAACACCAGTTCAGAATTTAGATAAGAAAAATAATTCTCTTGCATCTCATTCATTACCAAGAACAATCATTCCTTCAATAAAGGAATTGTTCAAATGAAGTTTCTGCTTGTTATCTAAATCTCAGTTTGGGTTGAGTTTCCAACAGAGGTAGGTCGCTCAATTCTCACATATTTGAACAATTCGCACCAATTTATTCCAAGATTGTGCTCGCATGCATGCATGGATTGTAATGTGGAATACCGAAAATACACACAGGACATAAAGTTTTAACGCTTCCTCTCCAAATGCTATCTTGTTCACATGTTGTGTGTGATTTTGAAGGATGCTGTTTTATTGATATTCGAATCAATAAACAAAAACAAATGCCAACAACAAGATTTGGAGAAAGATCACAAGAAAACATGATTAAAAGAGCATGTCACCAAGGGTCTCCTCCATCATCAAACGTTGCCATGCTGCCAACAAGAATTGGAAAGAGAAAACAAGACAAGACTTCATTCCAATTTATTGGAAATGCCAATTTGAAAGTATTAGAAACTACATGCAACAATTCAATGTTTGCTGTTTTTCAATACTCTGAAAAGATAAATACCACTCCAATGGAAGGAGTTTTACTAATGAAAGGCATGGACATGGAAGGGTCTTCAACTCATAGACGAAAGGTTTCGAAACAAACTCCAACAAGAAAATCAAAAAAGACAGAATCTGTAGTACAGGATAGTACCACATCTACGAATGGCAAGTCATCAACACTCACAACAATACCCTCACCACCAGCCATTGAAGAACATGCCAATTGTCACAACTTTAACCATTCCACAACAACAACATCTTCCTCTTACTCAAAACCTCCATCAAGATTTAGCATTTCAATCAAGGAAATTCTCAATTGATTGAATACAAATACCTCTCATGCGAAATACTCAATTAATTGATACTACGATAGTATCTTTGGTCCAACAAAGGTGTACAAAACCAAAAAAAATGTCTCTACGTGATTACCCACTCACTGCTCTCTCTTCATCTCTCGTCATCTTGGCACAATCGAAAGCAACTTTCATGGTCGGAAGGGCAAGAAAAGAATTTCATGTTAAACCACCACTCACAGAAGGTCCTCCAGGATTTTTGAATGCACTCCGAGTTCAATTGAATGGAGTGGAGAATATTGCAAGTTTTTTGGGAGCTTTGTGGTTGTGCACTGGAATGTTGGAGAATGATTATTTGGGAGGAGGAGTTGGATTACTGTATGCAATTGGAAGAGTTTGGTATGGTTATGGATATCCAGAGAAGAGATTGCCTGGATTTATATTGTGCCAGATTTGTACTAATTCTTGTTTGCTTGCTTGTGTTGGATTGAGTGTAACGAGAGTTGTGGAAAAGTATTTGAAAAAATAATTACTAATTTTGGAAATTGAAAATCTTTAAAAATGTAAAATTATTTCATTTTTGTTTTCATGATTTGAACAATTCGAGAATAATAAATTGTTCCTCTTCTACAAAGACGTTGTAAAATGAAAATTATTGAGTTCATTGAAATTTTGGATGACACTTGAACGTCAAACTTGAAGTCAATGAATATCTGAAAATGATTGTCATATCAAAATCAACACATTATCCATAACCCAACTTTGAAATATCAACGGGATGCTAACATCCAAACGGAGTGATGGATCGCCATATTACCAAAGTTGGTCCCACCACGCCATTCCGCCATTTTCAAAATTGTGAAGCTTTTAATTAAAAAACAATGCAAATTTGAAACATTTCAACTCAGAAAAAAAACCAACACGACTCGTGTGCACAATATTTCAACTTACTTTGATAACAAGAACGAAGAACAGCCACCTTGAGAGCAAATAGATATTTATTGTATTATTATAGTTGTTTGACCACGAAAGAATAGATGACTAAAAAGGAAGATACTAAGGGAGGAGCTTCTAATGCTGCTACTTCTCTCGATAAGGAGCAAGTAAATTCCACCTCTACAACACATCTAGTTGTTGATGAACAGAACACAAAATCTCCTCAAGAAACAGCAACCCGACCAAGTAGAAATCCCTTCAAACGATTCAAAAAGAAGAAGGCTGATGAGAAATCAAATGTTGATGAAATCAAAGATGAACAAGAGCCGAATATTACTGGAAAGGATAACATGATCATTTTCAAGATTTTTGGATGGAATTGGTTGCTGGTAGTGATTGGAGCAATTGGTAGTTTGGGTAATGGTGTCATTCCATTGTGTTTTCAATTTGTCATGGGTGATTTGGTGGATGTTTTCCAGCCAAAGAATGGTGTCGTTCCAACTGTTGACTCTATGAAAGCAAGTGTTTCAGATATTGCTATCAAGTTTGCAATTATTGCTGCAGGATCTGCTGTGGCCAGTTTGCTCTCTCAATTCTTTTTAAATTTGGCAAGTGAAAGAATTGGTGTTGCTTTGAGAAAGGCCTATTTCAATGCATTGACAACTCAAGAGATGGGTTTCTTTGATATTAAGAAGACTGGTGCATTGACAGTTGCATTGAGTGAAGACGTGTCCAAAATTCAAGAAGTCTACTCTAACAAATTGGCTCTCCTTTTACAAAACACTGCCCAATTCATTATTGGTATTGTCCTTGCCTTTGTTTCATCTTGGCAAATGTCCCTTGGCATGATTTCAACCTCTCCATTGTTGGTGTTTGGTGTTGGTGTCTTGTCTAAGGTTGTTGAATATTTAACTAAAAAGACAAATGGAGCTACGGAACATTCTGCATCGATTGCAACTGAAGTTGTTTCAAGTTTTAGAACTGTTAAATCAATGGGTTGTGAACAAAAGGAACAAGATAGATTTGCCAAAGATTTAAAGAATATTAGTACTTATGGCTTGTTCAAAGCCATCTTGCAAGGAACTACTTTTGCCTCAGTATCATTCATTCTCTGGGGAACTATTGCCTTAGCCTTCTGGGTAAGTAGTATTAATTCATCATATCGTTTTAAATATTTTACAATCGTCATGTAATGGAATAATTATTGTGGAATGATAATATAGTATGGAGGTGGCTTGGTTGCAGAAAATACCATAACAGTTGGTCAAATGATGAAAGTTTTCGGTATGATGCTATTTGGTGTTATTGGTCTTTCTCAAGCTGGTACTCAAATTCCAGAATTTTCCAAAGCTCAAATGTCTCAAAGAACCATTCTCAAAGTTTTAAAGAGAAGTCCAGCAATTCCATTTGCAGGAGGAAAAGCTCCAGAAGAAAAGTTGAAAGGTTCCATTCAAGTTAAGAATGTCAAGTTTATTTACCCATCCCGTCCAAATGCAGTTGTCTTGTCTGATTTCTCAATTGATATCAAGCCAGGAACTTCTGTTGCTTTGGTTGGTCCATCAGGATCAGGAAAGTCAACCATTGTTGGTCTATTGGAACGTTTCTATGATCCACAAGAAGGTGAAATTATAATTGATGGATATAATATTAAGGAAATTGATCCTCAATGGCTCCATAGAAATATTGGTATTGTCACTCAAGGTATGTTTAAAAATGTTTCATTTCTAATAATTAATTTGAAAATTATAGAACCTGTATTGTTTGCCACTTCAATTAGAGAAAATATTGCCTATGCTGTTGGTGCTGAAAATGTCTCTCAAGAACAAATTGAACACGCTGCCAAAGCTGCCAATTGTCATACCTTTATTATGGAGTTACCAGATGGTTATGAAACTAAACTGGGTGAAAAGGGTGTTTCCTTATCAGGTGGTCAAAAACAACGTGTTGCCATTGCAAGAGCCATTCTCCAAGATCCACAAGTCCTCCTTTTGGACGAAGCCACCTCAGCCCTCGACACTGAAAGTGAAGGTCTCGTTCAAGCAGCTCTTGACAATCTCATGAAGGGAAGAACCTCCATCTGTATTGCTCACAGATTGAGTACTATTCAAAACTGTGATACCATTTATGTACTCGTTAAGGGAGAATTGAAAGAATCAGGAACTCACCACGAATTAATCAAGAAGGAAGATGGTGTCTATAGAAAATTAGCTGAAAAGCAAATGATGTTTGGAAAGAGTGAAATTGACTTGATCAGAAACGAATCTGCAGTAGTCATCTCCCCTCAAAATGAAGTTAAGACTGAAAGCTCCTTTGAGGATATTTCAATTTTGTAAATAGTGTAAATAGCGAAAAGAAATAAATTTTTGAATTTTTAATTTAAAAAAAATGAATCAATTACCAGGTAGGCAATTTTTATGTTTTGGAAATTTTGCAATCTTTGATGGAATAATATTAGGTGATTGTATTCAAGTATTTTGTAGTTTTTTACACTTGGAAGAATATATTCCATTACAATTAGTCAATCAAATGTTTTTCCGAGGAGTGAAACAATATTGTGCATTGCAGAAGAGTTTGCACGTTACCAGGAATTTACAAGTCATGATTGAAAGTGCTGGAAAAGATAGAGAAGAAAATTTGGAAAGATATTGGACTGGCATGGCGATGGAAAGAGCTTCAAAAGCATTGATTACAAAACAATTGAGGAATTTGCTGTGTGGATTGTTTGTGAATGCGAGTAGTATTTATTTCTCTGATGTGAAATTGTCAGTTGACTTTATTTCGGCCATGTTTTGTGATGTGAAGAAACCAACGAAAAAGAAGAAGGTGGAAAATGATGACGATGAGGAATTGTCATTCAAGCATCGAAGTGTTTTTGAAGTTATTGAGAAATTATCCTTCCTTTCATGTGAATTTGAGGAAGGGGTCATGGAGTGGATTACAAAGAAATTCAAAGCTATTGATACATTAGTATTCAAGAGATGTAAATTGAAATATTTTCCATCTAGTTGCTATTTACCTGTTGCCTTTCTTTCTCAACCACTCAATGCAAAGAAGTGTAAATTTTATGATAGTATGAGATTTTTAGTAGTTGAGAATTTTGAGACATTTGTTTCAGTCAATTTGGAAAGATACAAGACAGAAGAGGAAAAACAATTTATTGAAAAATATATTAATTTGACACCTGAATTGTTATCTAGTGGTACTTCAATTAATGATGGAGAGCAAACTGCCTATTTCCATTATCCGCCACCTGAAAAAATTAATGAAACTTTATCATTGATTCCAGAACATGTAATTTTAATTTGCTTTCAAGCAGAAAAAACCAGTATATTCGCCAGTACAATCTTGAGAAGGATTCATTGGAGAGATTCGGCAAAAGATTTAAAATTATTTAGAATGGTGGACAGCTCATTTTCACTTACTCCAATTTTGGGATTCGATCTCACCAATGGTAAATTGGAGAACAAGAAAACAACAGCTGAAATTATGGACATTTTCTATATGGGATTTAATTTTTGGAATTGTTCGAAATCAGATCATATTCAATATTTGGTAGTTATTATACTCCACTACTATGAAGATGATGAGCTTATCAAATTTTTGAGATTTAAAGGATTGAATGTTGACATGGAATATTTTGAAGAACCTGATGACAAATATTACGAATTCTCAAGAATTGGAGTCATTTTTGCAATTTTAGAAATTTCTAAAAGAATGAACGTTCTCACTGATAGCTTGAAGAAATATTTTGAAAAGAATAGTGCTAACTTTGCTCAATCAGTTAGAAACAACTTTGTGAATATGAATTCCTGGACTCTCAGTAATTACTCAGAGGATCAAATTGAGTTTATTCAATATCTAGTAGAGAAGAAGATTCTTTCAGATTCCTACACGAAACAAATCAATGAATACAAGAGTAAGGATACAACTCTGGAACCAGCGTTGAAGAAACGAAAGAACTAGTTCAAATTTTTCCTAAATTTCCAATAAGAATTAGATTTTAATAACAAGTGTTTTTTGAGAAGTAATATTTGAGTAACAATATTTTGGAGTATTGGTAATAGCCATTTCGAAAATATTCATTTAATTCCAAAAATAGAAAATTACATTTTAAAATTGAAAATTAAATATAATTTAAATTTTATGTATTATACCACAAAGCAAATTGGCGCAGTGGAAGCGCGATGGGCTCATAACCCATAGGTCCTAGGATCGAAACCTAGATTTGCTATCCCTTTTGCCTTATCGTCTTTTAATTATAAATTATTTCCAAAATTCAGCTCTCCTCAATCTCATTCAATACTCATCTCTCCTACACAATATTAAGTTCAGCAAGATCCACAGTTATATTATCAAATTTCAATAATATTAACTTGCCTTAAACAAGTTCAAATCTTGTTTTGAATTGATGAAGCTTACATTTCCAATCGTTCCGATCAAAAATAAATTAATTTTTCATATCAATTATTTCGCTTGCTGATGAACCAAGCAATCAAAAGCAGGTTCTTAAAAAAATCCCAAAATTCACTAACAAGAAATTTGTTTTTCATTTGTTGGAGAAAAAGGCTTTTTTGATCATCATCATCTTTATCAAACTCTTGTTGGATTGTTTTTAAACTCCTATATTGAATATTTATTTATTAATACAACACTTTGAGTGAGCAATCATCATATAATATAGAAAATAACAAAATGCGTTTGTTGGATACTAATTCACCATCGAGTAATGATCCACTCGTTTTGAAGTATGGACAAGTATTTACTTTAAAGTCAATTCATGGTCGTATGTTAACAATGAATACTCACGAATATTCGTCCAAAACATTCTTGAATGCTTTTGCTCAAATTTCTGGTGAAGGACATACACCATCAGTGGTTGCTGCTAATACTAGTAATCAATTGGCTGCATCATCAGTTCAAGATTTCCTTCAAACATTATCTGAACATTCATCACCATCTCATTATGGTAGATTTGTAATGCAAACTTGTACATCAAAGATCAAGAAGGATACACCAGTTTGTTATGGACACATTGTTCATATTTACTTTGTGAGAGATCAAGATCAAAAGATGGAAAGTTGTGGAAAGTATTTGATTATGAATGGTAACTTCCCTCAACTCGGATTTGTCAATGATTCTGATCATCAAAATCCTGAACCAATTACTGTTTCTGCTATCAAGACTCTTCCATTGGAAGAATTATCTAATTTCCCTGTTAGAATTGGTGAAGATATTGGTTTGAAACGTATTGTTTGTAATCAATTGGATCAATTCTACTTGTCTGCCAGAAAGACTTCTAACGTTGTCCAAAGAAACAAGTCCACTAACTTGTAAGTTTTTTTTACAATTTTAATCCTAATTATTTCCATCCTTTATTATTCAATATTTTGAATAATTTCATTTACAATTAATTTAATTATAGAGCCTCATGGGAAAAGTTCACAATTTGTCAAAAGGATGGTAAATCAGTAACTACTGATGAACGTAATCGTCTTTTGAATGATTTGTACTCCCAAACTAACTATCAAAGAGATAGAACTGTTATGGTCAGTTTTAGAAATCAATTCAAGAAGGCTGTCCCTAAGGAAAACATCCCTACTGAAACTGAATTGAAAGCTGTCATTGAAAAGCAAATTGGGTTCCCAGTTGAAGAAGTTACCTACCTTGATAACCTCAACGATTGGTCCAATGAAGAAGTTGATGAAGAAGAACTTGAAGAAGTACCAATTTCATCTCTAGGTGAAGCACAAAAGGAATTTGAAACTCCAAAGGTTCTCCAAACTGATAATAAGGATAAGAAGATTTTCACCAAGTATGCCAAGATTTTGCTTAGCAAAAAGTTAGACAGAGACCTCTTGGGTCACTTCTTCTATTATGAGCTCACTAAGAGTTTGTACTTGAAGTTTATGATTCCAAAAGATTTCACACCAAACACCAGAAAATAATTACGCATCAAGATTGCATGCTGATCAGGATTTATTGATTCAATGGGATTCTAATTTTTGATCAAAAGAGTCAGTTGCTTTTTGATTCAATGCTCTTAACTTCAATTAGTCCACGCTAAAAAAACTGTACAAAATTCCACGTGCTTCAAATTATACAAATTATAGAAATACAATACCAAATTATTTATTTAAATAGAATCGTCGTCGATTTTCGAATCTAAGGTTTTAATCTGGCAGTCCAATTTCGCAACATTACATCTCGCATAATTATTCAAGTTTAGTGAATTTGTTCAATTCAAGAGCTCCCTTAATGTTGGCATTTGGATTCTTCCTTTTTTGAAATATTGCCCTGGTGATGAAGGCGAGAGAGATTCTGTTGTCATTTCAACAATGGATGGTTGCATGATTGGAGTTATATTCAAGGAGCTAATGTTGACTTGTTGTGGAGAGGATTGTGAATGAGGCAATATTGGATGGCATCCTTGCATTGAGGGTATGATATTAATTGGAGCTGCAATTATTGTGTTTTCTGAAGATGAGGAATCACACATACTCGACAAGGAAGATGAAGACATGACTCTCTTCTTTCTACTGGCAGTACAAGGAGTGGTATTAGTAGGTGATTGTTGTTGCGTATGATTATTGGATGGAGAGGAAGTAAGAGTGACTATTATTGGAGGACAATTTGAATGTACACATGGCTGTTGTGGCATAGAGTTCTGTATCATGGTATTGTTCATATTCCAAACAGATTCGTATGAAGCCAAACTGCACATACTTCTCGTCTTTTTGAATACTCCCATCATGGAATTCTCTGTGCTCTGCAGTACTTTGAAACTTGTGGATTGGATATTGTGATTGGAGAAGAGAGAGAAGGTTTTCTGTCTTCTTGGTGCCTTCTTTTGAATGCGTCCTCTGGTTTTGGATTTGGAGGAAGAACCAGTGGAAGAAGTGATAGTGGTGTTCATGTTAAAAACAGAGGCGGATTAATAAAATGTCTAAGTTCTTTGGTGGTATTAGGGATAATTGCTGGTAGTTTGTGTGAAAAATATTAGTCTAAGCCAGTCGGGTGGTTTTTTTTCTCAATTTACACTTAATTGATTCTTCTAAGAGTATGATGACCTTCCCAATACCACACAATCCCACAATCCTCAATGGAGAATAATGCGTCCAAGGGTGACGATGATTATTTACAAAACGACAAAACTTTATTGGTTATCTAATATACAGCTGACTACCACAGGTAAAGGACCATTTGACTTCAGTATACCGGATGTGATTAGTGAATATGGTGAAGAGGAATTATATTAAGGCAATCAATGGAAATAAGGAAGATTCGATTAAGGAATTTTAACCTCTCCATTCAAAGTCAACCATCTCAAATGAACTGGGGACAATGCCACACACGACCACTTGTTGTGAAACAATCTTTGTGGCATTTTTATTCTCCGTCTCTGTAAGTTCATTTCATGAGTAGGATTGCCTATTTCACATGTGAAGTATAGACCTTAACAACGTTAAGATGCTGCTAATCATCATATTCAAATTTGGATGAGTGTATAAAACAATGAACCAATGAACCATGGTCTCGATGGTCATAATTGGAGAATACCATCCTTTTTGAAATAATTCCAATATCAGGTAATATTTAAATATTGCTTAATTGGCATGCCTTAGGGACCAAGAGAGTTGTTTATTCTTTGTTCTCAAACTCTCTCCCAGGTAGATACCTTTCCAAGCAGAAACAACGATTACAATGAAAATTATTACCACATTTCACAATACAGCTAACTGAAATGGAAAGAGCTGGAGGAGGTGATAAATGAGTCAACGTGTATGGCTCCCAGTCCATTCTTCATCAATCCACACTCACATGTTTATTTAACACGAGCATGAATTCAACACATTTGCAATGATTTTCTCAGTAGTGAACTCTTCAATCTTTTCACACACAATAAAAAAACAAATGAGAGGGAATTAATGTTAAGAGGGAGATGTATGCTTAATAAAAACAAGAAGAATGAATTCCAATCTTAATTCTTGATAACAACAATTCATCATTTATGATTGTTCATCTTGACTTTGAAAGAGTTAGTGCTCACGAGGAGGTAGTTTTGGAGTTTTAAAAGAATATCTACAGCGAAATACGGCTTCTTCAATTTTGAAGACAATTTATATAAATTGAATCAGTACCAAGTCAGGAGGTTAAACTTGATTGGAGAATCCGAAGCATCACCAACTTTTGTTGAACAACAAACACAACAAGAATGAAAGAGTTTCAACAACAAAAAAAGAAAATTATAATTGCATAGAAGAAGATGGTAAAGAGGAAGAATAGTGAATCGGTATCAATTAATTCATCAATTAATTCTGATCGTGATGATGAGCGAGAAGAAGAAGCAGAGGAAACAAAAACATATGAATTGAAAAAGAATTTAAAAAGGCTTGTACAAGATGAAGGATCAGATGGAGAGGAAAATTCTATAGCAATTAGTCATCATCTGATGAGCAGTAGAGCCTTGGAAGAATTGGATGAAGATGAAGTAAAACAAAAAGCTTCCGAAGAAGAAGAAGAAAAAGAAGAAGAAACAGAAAAGAAAAAACAACAACCACAAAAAGTTACTCCATTGCCCTGGGGTAAATTATTTGTCGTCTTTTTCCTGTATTTGTGTGATAGTTTGACTTTCACATCCCTAATGCCCTATATTACATTCATGATTGCTGATTTTAACTTGACTGATAATCCAACAGAGTATGGTTATTATGTTGGATTGGTTGCTGCTGCATACTTTCTTTCTCAATTTATTAGTTCCTTCTTTTGGGGAACTATTTCGGATAGTATTGGAAGAAGGCCTGTTTTACTGTTTGGAACGTTTTTTGGTGGCCTTTGTGGATTAATGTTTGGATTTTCGAGATGGTTATGGTGGGCATGTATTTGTAGATTCATGTTTGGTTTATTGAATGGGTATGTTTGAGTTATTTACATTCTAATATTGAATGAACTTCTTTAAAACCAATGGAAACATTGAACAACATTGAATGAACAATCTTTAATGGAAACAATGGAATTTATTGGAAACAATACAGTAATTTGGGAGTTGTTAAAAGTTATTTAGGAGAAATTACTGATAGTACCAATCAGGCAAGAGCATTCTCATTGACTAGTATTACATTTGGTCTATCATCTGTGTTAGGACCATTGCTTGGTGGTGTATTTTCGAGACCTTATCAACAATATCCAAGTTTTGTCATGCTCTTCCCAGAGTGGATACAAAACTTTGTTATTCAATTCCCTTACATTTTACCAAGTTTTTTCATTTCTAGCTTTTCCTTAGTTGGTTTCGTATTGGGCTATTTGAAACTGGAAGAGGCCAATAAGAACAGTTGGTATTATAGAAAATTTATTGCCAAGGAATCAGAAGAGATTGCTGATAAACACAAGAGTAAGGGAAGTACCATTTCCAAAACAAATTTATTGTCAACTCCAACCGACGACCTCGAAGAACAGGATCAAGAACCAATTGTTATTAAGGAAACCCTATTGCAAAAACTCAAGAATAAGTTCGATAGTTTTAGAAAGCATGAAATGGTGGCCTCTCCTGTTCCATTAACAACATGCTTACTCTATTTATTATTGGGATCGAAACAAATCATGTTTGATGAATGTTTACCTCTCTTTGCTGTCCTTCCTAAAGATAAGGGAGGATTGGGAATGTCCTCTTATCATCTTGGTTGTAAGTTTTCTTTTTATAATATTGTTAAATATTCACTTGTTATTCTCTACAAATATTTGTAAATTTGGAATTTGAAACACAAAGTAATGGGAGGATTTTTAGGATTTATCATTTTTGTGAATCAATTATTCATTACACCTGTTGTTATTGCCAAATTCAGTCCATTAACCTGTTATCGTTGGAGTATTTTGGTAGATACTATTTTCAATGTCATCTTCCCAGAAATTATTTGGTTAGTGGCTACTGAAGATGATCCAATGTGGAAACATGTGTTGTTTTGGAGTGTTCTTGGTCTTATTCTCCTAGTAAGACAAGTTTCTAATGGTTATAGCTTCTTGGGTACTTTCCTCATTACAAATAACAGTGTTTCAAGGAAGAATTATGGTAAATTGAATGGTACTGCTCAATCATTTGTTGCACTTTCGAGAATGGTGAGTCCAATAATTGGGGGATCCATATTCGCTGGCTCTGTTGCAGTGTCCAAATTTCCAATCGACCATCGTATGGTATTTTATGTTATTACTGTAATTAGTGCAGTCATGTTTTTCCTCTCATTGATTTTGAACAAGGCAATCAACAAACCAAAGGAAGAAGCAAAGGCAGATGAGGAAGCAAACAAAAAGTAATTTTCAATCATCACAAGCAAATATATTTAAACATTTGGAAACATTTATTGATTGGGGGTAATGAAAATCTCAGGTTGTGGATTGAGCAACTCTTTAATGGATATTTTTGTTCTTATTGGCCTAGATTGTACAGGTAAATAAGATGATTTGTGTTGTGCTTGTTGGATATTTAATTGAATTGGTTTCTTCTGCTGTTTTTGAATTCCAGAAGCTTTGGTTTCTTCCTTACGATTAAAATAAAGAACAGTTTCATAGCTCTGAACAGTCGTCTTTCTCTTTTTAATGACACCAAACATGGACTTGTGGACAGTGTATTCAACTCTAGTGTTCAAGACATCATTCAAAACAAATACTGGTACTGAACTCTTTGTCTTGTTGCATTGTTGTTGGCTGTTATGTGCTGATCTGCTATCGGTATGCTGTTGTGGCATATTTTTTAACTTTTTAACAGCACCATAAAACCATGACCTTCACATTAGAAAAACCAATCCCAAAAGAATAATGTTTGACAATTTTACGCTGTTGTGGTCAATTACTGATCTGGAATATCTGTTACTTTGTGGTTAGACACGTGTCGTTACAAATATGTTAGTTGACCATTTTTAGACCTAGCTTAATGAAACGGTCAATTTAACAATTCTCTGATTGAAATTGATGAGCGATGAATACGTGAAGAACTGGATGAAGATTTAGTGCTGGTATTAAGCTGCTGATTATTGTAACCGATCATAAACTGGTCAGGTGAAGAAGGTGTTTGCATTGATACATTCAATGATGAGGATGTAGAGCAGTTGCATGAAGATGCTATGCATGTAGTTGTGACTCTTGTTTGAGGTGGATGTAAATCTTCAGGTAGAGTAGTTTCAAAAATCTTGGACCCAGTCACTCGATGTTTCTTCTGCTTTTTTCTAGGCATTTCAAGCTCATGAGAACTAATGAGAGTTTGAGGTTGCAGAATAAGTACTTGTTCATAAGCTTGCACAGGTGCTTTTCTCTGTCTTGATGTGGCAAACATGCTGTGATTATTGGTGAAACTCACAACATCAAAATCAAAACTTGGAGCTTTCAGCATGTTATTGTTTTGTTTGCCAATCTTTTGTGGTGAACTAATTGACCCAATTAAATTCTTCTTGTTTGAATCTCTCACTTGCTTTTGTACCATCTTGTTTTTTTTCTTGTAATTGATATTTTGATGTCTTTCTATGTGTCATTAATAACGCCACAATTAAAAACGTAAAGCTTGTCCAACGAGAACCTCTAATCTCGCTAAATCTCGCAACACTTTATAATTTCCATAATCAATTGGAGATTACACAAATAGCAAAATGTGTGCTATTTTAGTCCTTTCCTCTGTCCTTAAACGTAAACGTAAGTTTAGGTCGCCACAAGCCAAAAATCATTTTGAGCTTATTCAGGAAAAATTTGTTGAGTGACCAATTTGTTGATGAACTAATTCGAAAGGAATATCAACATCCTATGGTGATCATAGTCAACCAGATAGAAACGATTTCCATGAATGAAACTTTGAAAAGGCATACACAGTTGAAATGGACTAGGTTCTCTCAGTCTGCTTCCTTTTGCATTTTCATCCAGAATTACATTGATTAACATACCAGCCCTGGTGTAAATTTGTACATTTTTGCTTGTACAAATATAAATAAGGTTCTTGTAGTCGTCATAGTAAATAGAACGGAACAGATGTTTTCCAATAAGGTTGAATTGATGGGTTATTTCAAGGGTACAATCTGAAAAAGTAACCACACTATTTTTGTAGCTATCCAACATGATGAATGATTTAAGTTTGGAAACATAGATAAGTTCACTTGGGATTAATGGATTTTTCGAGAATGGATCCAATATTTGAAAATCTCTTACAATCTGTCCATTATTGCTATCCAATTCGAATACTCTTCCAGACTCCAAAACCACATAGATTAGGGCATGTTGTTTGTTATTGTTTTGATTTGTAAATTTCTTCCTCAGACAAATACTAATAATACAACGTTCAAATAACACATTCCATTGCAAATCGTTTAGCTTGATTGTTGTGTTGGAATTGCTGAGCTTTGTCAAATCTAAAGAAAAGACTCTAAAGGTGGAGGAAATAATCAGAGAATTTCCACATGAGAGTAATCGCTCAGGAGCTTGTTTTGGAATGTTGAAAAATCCCAAATGATCTCTGGTTTCTACATTGAACATATTAATCCTCGAGTATCCATTATCTGCAATAATTAACATTGAATTGTGAATGATGGCACAAGTTGGCCAATACAAATTAATACCATTCTCATTGGTTGGAATGTATTTTTGTTCGTGACCAATTGTGGCCAAGTGATGAAAGTGATGATAGGAGAAGGAATGTTTTCCTCTTAGCTGATATTGCAACCAGATGTTTGTTTTTTCTTCCTCCTTTCCGATCCAATCAACAAGTTGAAATGTGATCATCTAATTTTTGAAAGATGAAAACGTTTCTTATTGTTAGATGTTGATGAATTTTTTTTAAATATTAATTATCAAAATTATTTAATTTAAAATGTGTAAGGTTAAAAACCCTACTACGATTAAAGTTGAATAATTATTCTTCCGATTGATCATCACATTGATTCTTTAAGAGTTGTTGACTTTCTCTGAATGGTCGCAAAAAGTTTTCAATATCTTGCTGATTATCAAAAATCCTCAATGAAGTCATCCTCTTTGAAAGGAGTGGAATTTCGAACAAGGTATATCGTTCAGTAGTTTCATCAAAGCTGTCAAACCAAATCTTTCCATAATAAAACCATCTTCTATTCCTATCATAGGCAACATCTCTCACTTTATAACCCAACACTTCAATGAGTGGTAAATCCAATTCCATCAAATAAATCTTCCTCTCTGGTAAATCCATATAATGTGAAGCAATGCAGGTAGTTGTCTCTGGATGATCGTGTAGAGAAAGAGAAGGATCATACTTGACCATTCTTTGTCCAATATACAATCTGGCATGACAAATCTTCCAAACACCATGCAAATCAACCATTCCTTCAACAATCTCCTTTGATATCTTCAATCTTCCTGTTGGATGAATAGAATCATCAGAGATTATCTTTTGATATTCACTCTCCTTCAACGCCAAAGCTCTGTAGGTTCTCACTCTTCCCAAATGATTAGCAAAGGCCTCAAAGGCTTCTTGATGAGTCCAAGCTTCCTTCTCTTCAAAAGAACAACACTCCAAAAAGTTGTAGAATTGCTCAAATCGTGTGCCAATTCCTGGTATGAAGAGACATTGCAAAAAGTGTTGATATCTAGGGTAGAAGAGGCTCATCATTTGTTTGCTGATCAATTCAGTGTAGTGGAAAGTGAGAGTTTGAACAATTTCATTCAGCCATTCTTCATGTTGTTCTTGTTCATCGGTTGTAGTTGTTGAATTGTTGTTATTAATGGAAGGAAAGTGTATTTGATGAGATTGAATATAATCCAATTCTTCTCTACTAATTAAATTAGTCTTTTGAATATACGTATTACTATTTAAATTGTTATTGTTGTTTGATGTGGTGGAAAACATTCTTTGTTAATTTTTTGTTACTTTTTTATCGCTTCTTCATGTTCAGTTATTCATAAAATCTCTTCAGAGTTCCGTTTGTTGTTGGGGCAAACAAAAGTTCTTACTTCATCTCTTATCAAGGTTCATCTCAAAAGCTTTGCTGACAAGGAAATTTTTTAAACAATAAAATTAAAAATTAAAAAATGAAAAAATATTTACTAATGTTAATCCTTGCAGACAAATAGAGTTTGATATTTGGATTGTGTTATCACAGCAGAGATGAGTGATGAAGAGTTGTGGAAATTGAAGAATGGCCATCAAGTTAATTTGGTAGAATATTGCGAAAATCGGGATGAAAGGCTAAAAGGATGACCATTGTAATAGGAATAATAGTAATTATCAAGTGTACATTTCAATTATAATATTATTATTTAAGCCAATTAGAACGGGATATATTGTTAAATTGATATTGATTTATAATTATAATTATTTAAGGTTTAAAAATTTGAATGTTATTGGACTATTAATAATGAAATTGATGCATGGATGACATTAATCGAACAGAATATAACTATAATGTTATTAAATGAATATTTATTTCACAAATCTACTATTAAGGGATTGAGAACATTAAGTTTACATCACCCCTAAAGGCAACAATTACAAGATAGAACTGTAGATGCATCATTCATAGGTCTATACCAGTGATTTACAGTTCCTCTACATTCCTCTTCTTCTAGCCTGAATTATTTCACTACAGAACATAAAAGAAACTGAAGAGGATCCTCTGACGCTATCCATTAGTGCACCTAGCACGATTTCCGTTTCTCCTAAAAAGAATTTTCACTGATCTTTTCTGGCAAACTGAGTTGTGAACGTAACCCAACATTGATTGTTTTTGCTAGTGAACGAGCTCAATTATTCTTTGATTTAAAGATGTCAACCCTCAACACCAAATCTACCTAAACAGCTCTATTAAGCATTTTCACTCCAGTGAAAGAATCACCAAAGAATCACCACATCGCATGATGACCTTATCAAGTCTTCGTTGGCTAGGTTAAATTTTCAAGTATTTGGGATTTTTTAATGTCATTACATTTGACAGCTAGCCAACCATTCAAAGAACAAACAAGACATAAGACACCAATTTTTGGTCTATCGAAACTTATGTGGTCCATAAAAAGCAAGGAAAAAAGCGGCAAGTCGCCAATAATGTGAATATTTTGGATGCCTGGCGCTCAACCAGGAGAATGTCAAATGAAAAATAACCTTTTTAAATCCGATATTATGTACCGATGGATAGAAAAGGTGTTAGGGTATGTTGTTGCTGCTATTTAATTTCCTCATTTCCTCTCTCTAGCGATGACAAGTATTAATAATCATACAAAAAAACAAGACAGCTGGCACTTGGCAGTTAAGCAAATAGATTGATAATTTGATTTGGTTGTGGTGATTAAAACCTCGGCACAGATTCATAAAAACTGCCGTTATTGAAAAATTTGCTTTTTAAATTGCCTAATTTGAACCTTGATTCTTTTAGTTTCGGCCACCAACATTTCCCTGCTATTTATTAATTGGCAGAAATTTTAAAAGAAAAACACCGAAACACACTGTTGTCCCAAAAGCTTTTCACACGACAAGGCTATTCTCACAAAGACATATTCGAAAGGAAACTCAACACACAATGATGACTCTTCCTCCTTCTAGTCTTCCCAAATTCGAAACATCTTCTCACACCACTTCCGACTCATCACAGCCCATAGACGACTTTTCGTCAATATTTTCACACATACTACTTTCTAATCATTTCATTCACTTTAGTCCACGTGAATGGTCAACTCTTTTATTCCAAGCAGTCACACAAAATGATTTCCAAGCTGTCAGTTCTTTGTTAGAATGGGCAGATGGTGAGAATTTAAACCATTTGGCTGTTCAACAATATTCTAGTAACAATTTATTCAATCCAATGATTCCAGACGAAACTTCACACGGATCAACAATCCTCCACAAGGCATGCTCACTCAATCACTCTGACATTGTCTCGCTGCTTCTGAAGAGAAAGGACGTCATTTTGAATGTTAAAGACAGAGGTCAAGCAACACCACTTCATTACGCAGCTTCGAATGGCTCCTTAGAATGTGTTTTATTACTTTTAGCTGGAAGAAAGGTGTTCAATAGAAAATCTGAAGAAGACATTGGCATTGATTCAAAAGATGCGTTTGGAAACACGCCAATTCATTTAGCAATTAAGAATCGACACCACAGAGTAGTTACTGCTATTTTAGATTTTAACCCAAATTTAGTCAATTGTAGAAGAAGTAATTCAAAAACTTGTTTGCATCTCGTGGTTGAGCAATACGATTTGGAAGGTTTAATTTTGATTACAAAGAATCATTTCGGCGCTTCTGATAAGCTACAGCTGTGTGCAAAGGATGAAAACGGTCTCACACCGTTAATGCAATTAATTAAGGATTTTGCTAGGACGAATGATTATTCAAATGTAAATAAGAATGTCAAGATGAGATTCCTCTCCATGTTCATTTCCCTGTATGATTTCAGCGAATTGAGTAATGTAAATAAGCACATGGACCATGAATCGAGAAATTTATTCCATCTTTCGTGTATCAATAATTCAGCGGATGTTGTTCGAATCCTTGCTCTATTCCTTAACAGAGAAATTTACTTGAAAATGCTTTGTCAATCAGACAAGAGCGGTCAAACACCCATTCACACAGCCTGTAGATATGGAGCCGATGAAGTGTTGAAAACCTTCCTCTTAATGCTCAATGAAGAGAATACTAACAAGTGTCTCAAGGTTTTGGAATACCAAGATAAGGAGGGAAATACTCCTCTCCATTGCGCAACAATCAAGTTGGCAATTTTGGATCCTTCCAATGATAGAGCAGCTGTAACATCATTCCATTCATCAGATTCGAATAGCAGCTTGATAGATGATCAGGGATTTAACAATTCTACACTTTTTATTGTAAATAAGGCAAATTCTGAACCAACGATTCTTCCAAGTCGAGTTCAACATTCGAGTAGAAATCAAACGATTTGTACAGATACCTATGTGAAATGTATTGAAATTTTATTTCCAATTGTGAGTTTAGACATTGAGAATTCTAAAAAGAGAACAGTTTTGGATCTGTTAAATGGAACCAAGTTTTTTGAGAATTCGAATATCTTCTCTGCCAAGTCGGGAGGTTCTTCCAGTAATTGTGGAAATTCTGTAAATATCAGCCAAACGACTAGAAAGAGAGGTCTATCTCGATAATTGAATAAATTTTAGTTTCTTCACATTGTTTGAGTTTATTGAAGAAAAGACAAGTTGAATCCATTCTGTTCTAAATTGATTCGAATGTTGAATAGAATGGACAACATAGATTCTTATGGGATAAATTGACAAAAATACTCAAGTTTCTTAATAATCCAATCAAGAATTGGATAAAGTACAGTAAATAATCAATGATGATCAATTTCTAGATAAAGAGCAAGAAATCCAAAGCTCAAACTTTGATCACCAATCTAACTAAATTTAGAAAATCAATATTTCAAGAAATATATTGAAATGGAATCACACCAAAGCAATCCTCCCTATTTATACAATTTCTCGAGTTCTTTCATTTACCATAAATTTCAATTTTCCTTTAAATGTAGTCTTTGCATTTCACATAAATATTCGAAACATTATCTCAATCTTTATTCAACAAGAAAAAAATGCAAACCAAGCAAATCATTGTAATCGGCCTTGTGCTCTTACTTTCCATTTTGGCAGTTCAAGCAACTGATTCCTATCAACCAAAACCTGATACTTACAAACCTCCTTGTGAGAAGAAATGTGTTTCTTACAAGACAGTTAAAGGTAAATGTTTGAAACACAAACTCGAAGGTCAAAAGAAGGTTTGCGATAAGTATGCTGTTGTTGGTGCTGGAAAATGTCTCAAATACAAGAATTATTCTAAATGCGACAAGTATAGTAAGCCAACCAAGAGATGTGTCAAATACGAAACTAAAAAGACAACCTGTGCCAAGCATAAGACATGGAAAACTTGTGATTCCTATGGAAATAAGAAGGTCTGTGCCAAGAAGGGAAGTAAGAAGTATTGTTCCAAATACACAAACGAAACTAAATGTGTAAAACATGCCACAAAGAAAGTTTGTGAAAAATACGAAAAGGTTCCAATCAAGAAGTGTGAAACTCACAAGGTTTGTGACAAGTACACTACTGATTCATATGCTCCTCCAAAATGCAGCAGTGTCAAGAAATGTCGTGTTGTGTCATATGCCAAGAAATGTTGCAAATTCAAGAATGTCAAATATTGTAAGGAAAAGAAGAATTTCAAGAAATGTTGTGAACACAAGACAAAACATTTCTGTGCCCAATACAAGAACGTCCAATTCTGTAAGAAACACAAGACTCATTCCAAATGTGTCAAGTACAACACCAAGAAGGTTTGTTGTAAACATGAAACTGTTCCTTCCAAATGTATCCACAAGAAGAATTACAAGAAATGCATTAAAAAGTCAAAGGGAAAGAAGGTCTGTAAGAAGCACAAGTTAGTTGGTGGAAAGAAGGTTTGTTGTGAATATGAAAATAAGAAGGTCTGTGCCAAATACGAATGTAAGAAGGTTGATTCTTATTTTTAAATGGAAAAGAAAAGAATTTTTGAAAATTTTGAGAGAATGATTTGAAATCAAGAAGTTTGTGAAGTTTTGCAATTTTGCTTAAATAAATTTAACTTGTGATAAAAATCAAAATTATCTGCTGACGGACGGGATCGAACCGGCGACCAATGGCTTATTAGACCAACGCTCTACCGACTGAGCTACGCCAGCTTCATGTTCATATATTTAATAGTCCAAAAATATTCTACTCTTACATGATATCTTGGTCAACTTCAAAAAGCTTTGTACTCGTATTATGAACTTGTTGTAACTGATGATGTTCTTTTTTGATATTGAAAGCAATGAACTCCACGACAGTAAAAAAAAAATGGCATCGTATGAATTAAACTTTTATCGTCTCTACAGACCCGAACTCTACACTCCCAACTGTAACTCCATCAACGAATCGATCGTCTATAGATCAGGCTCCCATGCTGTCCCTACCATACTTTTTCCCGATCATGATGATATTGTATTGAGTGTTACTAATAGTGATTCGATCGTAATCTTCCTGATGAAGAGTGGTAAGGTATTGCTGCTCGGAAGAGGATCTTTTGTAATTGGAAATCCAAATTATGATGATGGTGAGGATCCAGACAAATTACATGAATTGAATACTGAGAAATTGAGAGAGATGGATAAAAGTCCTTTCAAACAATTGTGTGCTACCAATTCAGTGTTATATGCTGTGATGGAGAGTGGAAGATTGTTTTCAATTAATGATGTGTGGAAGGAGGAAAAGTTTGGACAGGAAGAAGCATTGCATTTTGAGTATGTTGGAACTGGATTATCTCACATGATGGCAATTACTAATAATCATGAGGTTTATGGAACAGGATCTGATGCGTATGGATGTTTGGGTGGGTGTGGTGGAGGAAAAATTAAATTTGAGTATGTTCTGGATGAGGATGATCATATTCTTGATGTGTATCCTGCTTATTATAGAACTTTGGTAGTTACTGCTAATGGAAAACTACTCACAACAGGTTTGTAATTGCAAATTTTATTGAATAATTGACATGAATATTCATGTATTTGAAATCAAGGATGGGGAGTTTATTCTCAACAAGGATTGGGAAATAGTAGTGGAGATAATCCTCGATTCGTTCGACACCAACCAATGAATGATTTAGGAGAACATGTGATTAAGCTTGCTCTTGGAGCTCTTCACACCATTGTTTTGACTAGTAAGTTATTTCGCTTCTTTTGAAAATACAAAATAATGAAAATCAGAAAGTAGAAAGGTTTATGGCTTTGGATTCAATTCATATGGACAACTTTCACAAGGAGAAGTGACAAGTGATTTTGGATTTCCTGTATTAATTGAAACACCTCAACCAATTGTTGATATTTGGTGTGGATGGCATCACACCTTATTTGAATCATCAACTGGCTCATTCTATTGTTCTGGATCCAATGGTTCTAATGAAATGCTTGGTGTTGAAGATGACTTAAAAGGAAAAAACATTTATAACCTTACAAGTTTTTCAACACCAGAGAATGAAGAATATTTGAGATGGAAAATTGGAGTTTGTTCATTCTCTTCAAATACTTATTATCATGGCATTCGATTGACTGGAAAGAGAATTGAATGGATGTTAGCTAATTTGAAAGCAATGACAAGAGCAAGATGTGAATATTCGGATTTAACATTTGATTGGGAATGTTAAATGAATTTTATACAAACTATTTCTCTTTAATATTCGAATATTTTGTGATAATTGACGTGATATTTTATTTGATTGTCATCAATTAATCCTTCAATTCAATACAATTAACAAGCAAATAGGATTCTAGGAAAATAATTTAGTTTTTATTCGAATAGCAAAAAATTCACAACTTAATGTGAAAGCTACTACAATCTCTCTCTAATAGTATTTACATCATATTTACAAAGGGAAATATTTACAATATAATTGAGAATTGAACAACTCAATTCAACAATTCTCGAATACTAATGGAAGTTCTCACAATTCTTGGACTCGTTCTTTCATTTGACGTCGTTGTGGAAGAAGTGGACGAAACGCTTGAATAATTATCAAGAGATTGTCTCATCTTTCGTGGAATGACACTATTCTCACTGGAAGGAGGAGCAATACAACCAAAATTCAAAACTTGTTCATATTCGATTGGTTTACTCTTTCGTTTTCTAGTAACGCCAAACATTGATTGATTGGCAGTGAAAGAAACAGTGTCGAAACCTTCCAAATAGGTTGCCTTTTTAGTTTTGGATGGCTTTGTTATCTTGGATTGCTGTGTATGTGGTACTGCATTGTTTTTAATCACTTTGGTTATTGGAAAGGTATTATTCGAAAGTGTGGAAGGAGACGAATGCAGAATATTGTTAGTTGACATCATCATGATGGAATGAGGACTAGTGTGACGATATCTGTTAGCACTATTGTTGAGAGTATTGAATAGATGTGTTGTAGACATGTTTTTTTTGAATTATTGCTAGAATATTTAAGTTTCTTTTTGTTTAAATTAGATTCGGCTCCCTTATCGCAAAGAATCCGTTTTGTGTTAACATTGCCATTTGTATTTGCTAAATAGGTGTTGAGCATACTTTCACGGGGATGAAAAAATTCATTTCGTCTTCATTCGAATAACCTCTTCTCGCAAAGATAGTGGCGCCAAAATCTATAAGGGAACCAAGATCAGTTATTGGAAACTGTCATTCACTCCTAATTTCCTTCGATATCCACGAAACTTTTAATAGTTTTCCATAGAAGCTTTGTCTTCATTTATCTGAAACAGCAAAATTCCTTTTGAGAGAATAGAAAGTGATATCGAGAGTATAATTTCATGATGCCTTCATTATCGTAAGGGGAAGGTAGATGTCAAAAGTCCTGCCATCATTGAATTAAAAGAAGGCAAGCTGCAAAATAGGTAGGTTTCAATCCGTTTCGTAAAAATTATAGTCATTCCCATTTTTCACTATGGATATCATGACCAAGGAGATAAGAATAAAGGTTGCAACTGTTCATCATCTTGGACTATTTCAAACTAATCCGATCTATTAGAAACCATGTCCTTTTCATTTACAATTTCTTTTTCTTCTCAATTTAGCAAATTTGAGAGTTTCGTATTTTATTTTGTTAGTATATTGTTTTCTACTGTCATTAATTCTTCATGTTTATCTGCAGCCGAATCATTTTCATGTTCAAGTTCTCATTCGATAAGTTTCGAATAATTTTTAATACAACTCACTCCAAGATTCCTTCAATTTGTTTAAATCATTCACTTGGATTGAAAATCTATGGGATTTCAACCATTGACTCTTCCTCGACAAGTTATTCGAATCATTTCCCGCCAAATCTTCATTTCTATTTACACTCAACGAATACTGTTGATGTTGTTTATACGAATTCAATGAATCATTCGAATAGGAAATTGACTTGCTCTCATCAAACGAAAGTGCTTCAATAAAATCCTCAGCTGGCTTGAAAAAGTTCAAAGTTACCACAAATCGAATAGTTTTCTTGTTTACAATAATTTTGAATAAACCCATAATTGGCGCAATGGTAATATTTCGTGATTTTTTCATTTCCTTAATGAGAGATGGAATGATGGTGGATCTGATTTCTTTTGCTTCCATTTTGGTAACTGATTTGATGAAGAATTTGGAATCTTTCGTCATGCTTTGGACGAAACATTTCTTATTTTCTAAATCTTTGTGGAATTCGAAAGAAAAGGTGGATTCTTGAATGGACATGAAGAATTCTCTCTCTGTCATGCCACACATCTTTCTAATTTCATGACATTCGAATGGAAGAAAGTCTTTGTATTGGAAAGATTTGTGACTGAAAAAAGGTCAAGAAATTTAAACATGTTGTGATGATAAATGTTATTAGAAACGTGTTGTGGTGATGGTTGGCTTACTTACTCTCGTGATGATGGCATTCGTTGTAGAGTTTCGTCTTCCGTAAGTTTTTTATATTCCTCACAATTATTCGAAACTTGAGTCATACTGTGTTTAATAATAAGCTTTAGTCTAGTTTCCACATCTTGTGAGCGTTTCTGTACCAATTCGTGCAAGTAGGAACCTTTCATTTTGATATTAGTTTCGTTAAGTTTCTTGTTGATTTTTTTTTGTGTGGTTTGAAACAAGACAATTCTTGAGGTGAAAGCTTGACATCCCTCACAAAACGTGATAAACCCTCAAAAGGCAAGTTCTTGACGAGAATAACCACAAATAAACAATGTTTCGTATTTTAATTCTGATCTAGTTTTATACGAAAGAGAAAATGAAATATCGAAGTAGAATCATGAAAATGTTGATTTGTTGGTTATTTATGCATTAAGAATCTGTTCCACAACTTGAGAATATCACACTTTTCTTGACATCTAATTCGACAGGTGTTCCACCTTAATGTGAACGAATCATTGGTTAGTAACGAAGCGAATACAATGCATACACTCATGTTTAGTTACTGTTTGGCGCCAAAAGTATCTACAGCAAAATATTATTAACCAATTTTTAAATTAGAATGAGAAGGATTAACATTTTTATTCGAAACTTGCAATTAGATAAAAGCAAGAATACTTTCCAAAATCCATCACTCTTCCAAATGCATATCAGTGTGATTTACTTTCCGTCTCTGGAAGGTGAATCCCATTTTGTAAATTTGGTATTTTTATTCACATGTATCTGGTTTGCCACTTCTCCATTTAAAAGAAATTCCTCCTTCTTTTCCATTCTCTTTTGTTTCTGTTCTTTTTCTTGACAAGTTGTTTTTCCTTATCTTCATCTCTGAGGAAATTCTCTTCCAAAGACATGGTGTTTGAGATTTACAGGACCAACTCTCAACACGAATGAAATTCCACCTCTTTCAAGTTTTCTAAACTATTGATTAAGGTAATTTGCAACTTGCTTTTTTTCAGATGAGAAGAGACGATTGATATCATCTCTATTTTTTCTGATGGAATCCTTGAGACAATCTGGAATAATTCCTTAAACTTTTCATATGAAATATATCCACAGGGTAGTGAGACTGGATATGGATCGGGTGAGGATTCATAATTTTTATATTTAATTGTTTTAATTATTAGGAACTGTTGAGGAGATGGACCTTCATCTTCCGCACTTCAACAACATCTTCGATTAGCGTTGATTCTCCTCTCACAATATCTTCATATCATCAATTAGAAATAAATTTGAGCCATGGAACATTCATCAACCAACATCCCACTTAAAATAATAATTGCAATCTATTACTAACATTGGCCTCAAGGAAGGACCTCACACAAACATAAAGGAGTTGCCCAACACACTGTTCCACTCTAAGGACGGACTGGTCGAAGGAGGATACTTCATAGATTGTGCAAGTTTTCAGAGTTTCATCTCCATTAAAAAAAAACATAAAAAATCGCGCACCCGTTCCGATGATGAGAATTAATAATAATTCTGTGATGATGAAGGTGGCTTTTGCTGTTGTTGTTATCATGATGATGATTGTCTCTGAACTTCAAGGTATTGAATTGGACAAGATGATTCAAAATACTAGATCGGTTACTAAATTCCAAGGATTGGGTGATCGTTTGACACATACATTCTTCAGCAAAACTCCAATTCCATTGAACGAAAGTGCTGCTGTTGCCTCTAATGAATGGAAATTGTTGGATGGTGCTCGTGTATGTCATGAATATTTGGGCATTCCATATATTAATAATAGAGTTATTGTTTATTATACCAATAAGGGACAATTGAGTGGATTTGGAGTTCAATTACATGAGGAATTAAAGAATGGATCAACTGTTCCAGGATTTTGGACCAAGCTCTCCAAAGATAGATATCAAATTGATATTGCTACTCGTGATCCAAAGTTTGCATGCTCTTTAGATACTGACATTTATGGAGGACCAATTGGTGATCGTTTAATTGTCCAACCAGGAAAGCTTAATTTTGAAATTCCACTTACTGACAAGTTAGCTACTGCTCGTCAATTCATTAAAGGGGCATGTATCCAAGGGATGGGAACCCACTTTGGGTATGACGTTTACACTGCTCCACACTTGAGTGGTTGGAGTAAAACTTTGGTTCCAGTTATTCCAATGTATCATGAAGGTCAAGTTTCTGCTGTCTTATTCTATTCACACAGTGTTCAAGAATGTTATCCAATTGGTCAATGGGAAGGTCCATTCATTCCATGGTTATTCTGTAAGAACTTTTGTTCTGATGATTGTATGAAGCATGAAAGTAGTCTTACCATGTTCACAACAATGCACTTTTTATTCCACGATGCTGATTTAAATACTTGTCCAGAAAGATGTCCAGGTAGTGGAAAAACTAGATTACACTAATCTCAGTAAAATTATTATTATTGAACTGATCAATTCGTCAAACTCAATTAAGAAAGGTGTTTTTATTAAAGTTTACTGAGATAAAGTAGTGTAGAGTTGTGAGGAACGATGTAACATTAGTATTTAAACACAAATTGTAAACAATAAAATTGAGTTGATAAATAATTTTTATGCTCAACAAAAGAAAGTGTATTGAAATAATTCAAACACCAAGCAAAACGAATATCTCTAACATTCGTCAAAGAGTTTCAGCAAACAAATCTTCAACTTCTACCAACAAGTCAAGTTACATCCTAGTAACTGACAATAGTAGCTCAGTATCACTCTTCTCTATGGTTGACCTTAGATAACAACAAAGCTGGTTCTGAAAAGAACCTTGATGCTAATTTTCAACACCATCACTTCTTTGGGTGAGAGAAGAAAGCATCTTGAAACCGTTTCACCTGATCAACTTAATGAAGACCTAAAAATAAAGTCAATGACTTGATGATTCTTTGAGTGGTTTCATATCTGTAAGCTACCAAACTTTCACATCATCATCTCAACATCATTTAAATAGTAGTTACAGTAGTAATTTTTATTATACTTTCATCATACAGCAAACTCAATAAAGACGTATCTAGCATTCATAAAAAATATCAATTTTATGAGTAGTTTATTTTCAGAGTGGTTCTTCATCTTCCCACTCCAAGAATTGAACCTCATCATCTATACATCATCAATATAATAGTAATAATAGTAATTTTATGTGGAAGTTTATTGTTATGGAATTAGATAGTAATTTTGTTATTGGAAAAATTAAAGTTGGTGAATCATCATCAGAAATTCATATGTGGGATTATTTGTAATAGTATAAAGCAATACATATTCGAATTTCATAGATTGGAATTTTGTTTTCATCAAGATAGGTACATGCATATATTCAAAATATTACATGGACCATATTTCAACATGTACTTCATCATCAACCAAACTTTCTTCGAATAGTACCATTCAAATACATCATCAACAACACTCCGAATAATAGTTTTTGGATATTTGGAGTTTTCACCTTGTTGGTGGTGTATTCATCATTCACCATATATTTTCATCATGATGATTGAATTTCAACAACGTAGTATCATTAGTAGGGATGTCTAATATCACCATCAAGAGAGTTTGAATTTTCCACTTAGTATTCATCGAGTTGTGGAATTTTCACTTCATCATATCTTTTATCATCAATATCATCAGCAAGTCCGATCATTAAGGTAAATATCTTAATGGTCATCATCATCACACCATCAATAAAATTCACTAATGGTAAATTTTCCAACTAGGTAAATTTCAAGGTTGGAAATCTTTCCACATATTTCAATAATTAAATAAAATTATATTTTTATTATTAGCATTGTGTTTTCTTGTGTCTATTATGAACTGAGATCATGTGGAAAGATCACACAACTGGAATAGGCTTTGCTGTTTCTTTAGTTTCTGTTTGGACAGCTCCACGAATTTGTGCCCAATTGACAAATTCACTGGGTCATAAAAAGTTGATGTGATCGAACAGGTTTAGATTATTGTCTTTTTGGAGGTAGTTCTCTTCATCAGAGCACAAGATCTCCTTGCAATGATAAATTTCATCAGGAATTGAAAAGAACAATTTGATTTTTTGAGAAATTAAATTTATTTTTAAATAATATTTAAATTTTACAAAAATGGAAAGAGTTTGATCATTTTGGAAATTAAATCTTGAATTAATACCATTTTTTAATGTTTGTTGTGCGAACCTTGTTTTTTCAATGAAAATTAAATTTTAATTTAATAATTCTCGAATGGAAATTGAAGTTCGAATAACTTTCTTACTGACATTCGTATTTGCATTGGACGAAAGTGATGATTTTGGCAAATTTGAACTTGTTGTATTCGAAATTGATGGAGTTTGTTGTGGAGAAGCTATAAATTGAGTTTGTGGTTTGACATGTTGTGAAATGATTAGTGACATTGTCGAATCTTGTGAAATTTCACTTGTTGTGCAATCAGATAAATTTTCTAAAAGATTATTCTTGTTGGAAGTTTTCTTGTTGGTTCTTTTCTTGGTTTGCTTTTTGGTTGGCGTGAATTGTAAGTCAATGCCAGATGTCAAACAAAAAACTGATTCATGTTTTGACAGCTGTATTGTTTTCTGGCTTTTGAGAATGCCAAACATGTGATTTGGGGAAGTAGATTGGAAAGTGAATGTTGTATGATTGGTGGCAGATGGCATGTTGTTGTTTTTTTGTGTTTGAAAATTATCAGATTCTTGACGAAACTAATTCTAAACATGTTATAACAATCGCCATATTTAGACACCCTCTCCATAGAGAGAGAATACAAATTACAATTTGAGCGAATCATCACCAAATTTTAGTTTGGAAAAATTAGAAGACTTGCCACAATTCGAAACATAATTTCCAAAAAACGAAACTCCTGCCGAAGAGAAATCATTTTCTGATATTTTGATATTGATGATTATCATTGGCAAGTTGAATTGCCATCAATGTATTGGAATTGTCCAAATTATTCGAATCACGTCCTCCATCAAATATACTGCTTGAAACTGTTTCGTTTACTTTCGAATCAACAACCATAAAATAATACAAATTTGGACTTTATTAGGTTCATACAAAACCAGACGAAATAATTATCTTATTCCTCTCAAACAATACAATAACATTTTCATTTTGGAAACTACCATTCTAAATTTGAAAAATTCATATTTCCATTGTTGCATCACTGAAAATCATGTCAAACTAAACCAGACGAAATATTGTTCCTCTCAATTTTGTGTCTCAGACAACAAACATTTATTTTTACTTGCTACAACACTCTCTGAACATTTACAATAACCCTTCCTTCATAACCATCTCCTGTGTTGGATTTTCTCTTCCCTGTCCAAATGGATAGACGAAAGGTTGACTTGCAATTCCAACAACAGGCAATCTTGGAGCTAGCCATGTCCATCCAATAATCGTATCATTTGGTGTGGTAGAATCCACTTCAAACATACTCACAGAAAGATTTCCAGCATCGAGAATGGCATCTTTATATAATAGTAATTGGAGGGGTGGATTCAAATTTTGATTTACTGGAAGAGTGAATGGACCTGAGGATTTTGTCTTTCCACCAATGGTAATTGAGGTTGTAATTTCAGAGTCAGATTCAGTGGTGTCTCCTGGATCGGCTCCTACGTGGTCGAGAATGCACTCAATTGTGTAAATGTGAACTTCTGACATGTGTGGTTTTGTTTTTGAGTGGAAATTATGATAGGTCCCAAATGAGAATATTTATAGTGTGTTTCCAAAAACAAACAAAGATTATTTCCAAATTTGATAAAAAAATTTGAACTAGTTTACAATTATTGAGAGAGAATTTCATAAATTTTTCCATAAAATAGGAAATTTGACAAGATAGAGCACTTCCATATTTTGTGTTTTTAATGCAATCTGTACATTTTCCTAATATATACTTGAGAATTTTAAGCAATTTTCCAACCATATCAATCTCCCAGTATCTTTAAATACAGCGGTGATTTGATTGCTAGTCCAAATAAAAGAATGAATATGAACTTGTTGCACCTATTGTTGGTTCTAGTACTTATTGGAACAACTCTCGTTAGTTTCAGTGAAGCTGGTTGGTGTTGTGGAACGTGTGAGCTTAATTTTCGTATCGATGGTTGTAACTGTTGGTGTCTCCCTCTCTATATTGGTAATTATGTTTGCTGTTGGCAATAATGTGGCTAAAATACTTGGTGATTCTTTCTCTACCATGCTTTATTTTCATTGGTAGATTGAAATATTGTAATAACTATTTATACATATAGGGGCGAATAAAAATTCAGAATTTTCAAAATCTTCCAAATTGTAAAGTGTTTAGCACTTCTTTGCTCAATTGTTCTTGGGCCATTCTCAATTAAAATAGGTTTATTCTTCCATATTTCCCTTTTACATTTGGAACTCTGAGAAGGTATTCAACATGGGACACTTGTTTACTTTTTATTATGAATTTGTAATTCCTGGATTAGTTTCATTGTTCAAAATCAGATGAAATTCTCTCAAACAATTACTTTCATTTTGGAAACAACAACATGAAATTTGAAAAATTCATTTTCTTTTCCATTTGCAACATTTCATTGTAAATATTATTAATAACACGAATCTTTATTTCACAATTCTTTGATCAAATCACAATGACTTCTCACATTCCAACCGTATGTTGGCAATTCTTCAATTTACCAATACATACCTCCATATGGCATAGTTGACCAAGTATTGAAGGCAGCACTACTTGCTTGCATATTTGCAAGAATTGGAATTGTGCTTGTTGCAGCAGAGGTGGCCAAATAAGGAGTGAAAGAGTTGGCACCCATGTAGGCATTGCTGTAGAGAGCAGGATTGTAAGCTCCAGTTGTGGCCATCCATGGAGTGGTTGCAGCGTTGAAGGCAGCATTGTAGGCACCATACCATTGAGCAGTGACGGTTTGATAGCTAGCAATCAGGAAGAGAGCAATTAGGAGAAGGATTAGTTTTCTCATTGTTTTGTTTTGATTGGTTTCTAATAATTTGGATTGATTATATGGTTGTTGTAATAGTTTTTTGTGAATGATGAAAATGGAAATTATACAAGTGAAGATTACAGAACTTTTCATAAAAAGAAATTATTTGAAAGTGGAAAAGAAGGTATCTAGTTTACAGTATATAGTACTGCTTCAGTTAACGACTATATCTCGAAAGCATCAGATTTTTTCAGACATAATACCATAGATAGAAGTTCGTTTTTTAAAAAAAGTGTGTTTGCATCCCTAGGCTTCTTCAATATATCATTTAAAATGATAAAACCAACATGGTAGATGGAAAACATCCATTACTACCTGTTTTTTCATTATCTTGTTGTTTCACTAAGGTCATACCTAAGTATAAAATTGGAATTTCTAGGAAAAAACGGAGGGATTTTCTAGACAGATAATGTTTGGTTGCTTGTAACACAATTTCTATCTAATATGAAATCTATCTGATCTTTCAATTCATCAGATGCATATTGAAGTGCATGAACATTTTGTTTGACTGTTTCTAAACATATTTGAAATCACTATTCAATCTCTCCAACAGTTCATATCTTCCCTGAACAAGAAAAGATTTCTTCAACTGAGCTAGATGTTACTTTAAATTGGTTCATTAAGAGCCATCTGATATAGCATTGTAATTCTGTTGTACCATTTGTTTTAGAAAGATAGAATTGGCAAACTTTTACACGTACATTTTGTTCTGAAATTATAGACTTGAAGCAATAACACAAATATGATTGCGCCACCACAAAAATAGCTCTTATCTAGGTCTAGAGTTTGCTCATTTTGAAAATGTTGAAACAAAGGTTCAATCTCCACCTCCACATGCCTATCCAATAATTACATCCAGTCAACTTGATCATTTCTTAAAGAGAGTGTCTTGTTTCCCAATGTGTAAATAATTTGGGAAGATATTTCATGCTTCTCCTCTCCAATGATCATCTTGACAACTGTAACAGGCCATTCATCAAATTCATGTTGGATTCATCCTCTATTGTGCAACTTAATATTAAATTGATTTAAATAGAATTATTACTTACTCCACTAACAATTCTTGCTAAATACCATCAAGCAAACGTAATCTTTCTACACCTTGCAAAATACCAAATCATTACTACATTGCTACATTATGGTCATCATCTGAATACAATCCATCCACCCATCCATTAAATACTCCTTGAATAATATTTAAAAACTCACAACACTACTATTTTCCAATCACTTCTACGCTAAGAAAACATAAAATCGCTTCCGAGCCTAATCTTCATCATCAACATTCCTCAGCCATAAAGTTCGCATAACAACAACAACATGAAAACTCACGGTACCATACATGTATTTGAGGCTATTTTTTTTGATAAATTTTTATTTTTCAAATATTTTAATATTTAATAAGTATTTACTGTAATGTATTGAAAAGTAAATATCATATTTACAAAACATGTGAAATAATATAGCACAAATTAATGTACAAAGCGCGCTCACCTATTTACCAATACAATCAATTTAGAAATCCGCAACAATTCAAGAAACCCACTAAAATGAATAATTCATTGTAAAGTAGAAATATTCCGCTTGCTCAACTGCACTATTTGAGCTCAACCTACTAAATTAAAAACACTTCTAGATGCGATGTTATAGGTACGACAATACTACGAAGAAATCCAGATAACGAAAGTAAACGAAACTTTGATAGTGAAGAGATAGAACATCCTAGAAGGAAGGAAGGAGATATTATGCAACACACTGAATGTTTGCATCATTGGATTGAGGTAGAGGATGCGCCACATTGTCAGCACACTTAAAAAAAAACAAACGAAAGGTTTCGAATGGAATCGTCACATTATATTCTTGAATACGAAAGTATTCTTGACAATTCTTCATCATTATCGAATTCTACCAATTTAAATACGATTGGATACTATGGATTGTATAGTATTCTTGCTTGTTCATTCTCTGGACCTTTCATTATAGTTTTTGGAGTGTTTCTAATAGTTTCCATCGTTAGTTTAATTCTCCAGAGAAAACAAGTGAAACGAAACCAATTAACTTTATTCATTTTGTTGATTTTACTTTCAGCAAGTGCCATGATTTCGAATAGTTCAAGATTGGCGGGAGAATTTTCATTATTGGAACCAAATGGTAGTGTGAGATTTTATGCAAATAATGGAATTAAGGCATTTGACAGATTTACAGTTTCAGTTTTGATATTTTTGCAAATTTTAATATTGAGTTTGATTTGTAATGTTTTGTAAGTTTCAGAATTTCAGTTTCGAATAATGTCAATTGTCAAATTTCACAGTATTGACACAACCAAAGCAACTGGATTTGTCTCTCCAACAACCTACAAAATTTCACGAGTTGTTCTCATTTCGAATATCGTTTTAATATTCACCCTACTTTTATTGAATAATGTTGCAATTTGGATTTATCATGGATTGAGAGGAACGACAACTAATGTTTTGGATACTGCGGATAAGGTCAATGATTTTCAAAAATCGATATTTATTGTGCCATGCATTGTTTTCTTTATTGCATGTTTCATTATTACAGTCATGTTGAATGTAAGTTTATTTTACAATTTCGAATAATTGACACAAATTTCGAATAATTCTTATATCATTATTTTGAATAATGAAAATTAAATTTATTAGGTTTATGGAGCTAGATTATCAGCAGCTTTGAATAAGAGTAAGAAGAAACTCAAGGAAATATTCAAAAGACAACGATTGGCCATGAGTACAACAGCAACTGAAAGAAGCTCAGTTGCTTCGGTGGCCAGAGCAACCTCACCAACCAAAGATGTTGGAAATTCTCAAACTCAATTGGATTCTGATTTGATGGATGTTCTTTCTACGAATACTACAAGTTTAACCGAAACTCTCTCTACTCAACAAATTCCAACCATTGAATTCACCAAGGAACAAGCTAAAACCTATGCTCTGAAGAAGAGAGCTCTTAGACGTGCCTTAATGTTGCAGATTGGATTATCGGCAAGTTTATTCTTGGAAGCAATTGGTGTCTTGTTCATTTCGTTTGGCTTTTTCTGGAATTACATCTTGCTCTTGTACCATATCTTTTTCAATGTTGGAATGGTGCTATTTATTGTGCTCTTGTTGGTAATTTATCATCCATTGAAGGAAGTTCAGAGATTGTTTAGACTTCCAAGTGATCAAGTGTTAGCTCAACAAAAAAAGACAACATCTACACAGCCAGCCACTAATAGTCAAATTGAATTACAAAAGATTTAATGTTGTGATGTGAAATCTGGAATGTCAAAGTTTAGGAACTCGTCATTATTTGCTGAAGAGCCGAGAAGATTATCCAATGAATCCAAAAGGAGTTGTTGATCACTTTGAGAAATTGTTGGTGCTGATGTGTTCTTTTCAAATGATGAAAATGATGAAATAAATGAAGATGATGGTAAAGCTTGTTTGCTTAGAGCCGAGCCAATTACTTGTTCATTGTGCAATGTATTCTGGTAAGGATTGAATTGTTCAACTCCAATATGCTCTGAAATAAATCCAATTTTTTGAATAATTTCCACCATTCTATCCGATTTCCATTGTAAAATTGCTTTCAAATTGCTAATTAAAGTGCTATAGTACTTTTCCACACGTTTAAATCTGGTATTCATTCTAGTGAGGGCCTTCATGTCCTTCATAACCATTTCAAAGTAGTGTTTTTCATATTGGTCTTCAAATATTGACATTAAACTTCTTCCAGTATCCAATTTTTGTTGAATAATTGCTTGCACAAATTGGAATTGTTTCACTCTATAATTCATTGCAATGGCAAAGTAGTGAATGGCACTACAAGGCAACAGCATGAAAATATCACTATCAGTCAAAGCAGTAACACTATCTGCCAGATTATCCAACAAGGCGCCACCTTGAATTCCCAGAGTGAGCAAGACAGCAATCTTTGCTGAATAATTCATCATGGAAACATAGACAGCTGATGTTTTTCGTTGACTCTCTGTGAAAAGATGTAATTTTGATGCAGTATTCATTACTGAAATAATCAAATCAACAACTGCCAACAATTGAGGAGAAGGTTGTCGTCTAATAATATCTGTAATCACTTGAGGAGGATTTTCATGTGTCTTGGCAGTGTACATTGAAATGAAACCTTCCCAAATATTCAAATCTTGTGGATTGTTGTGATCGAGGCAAACTTTTTGTTTCAGCATAAAGGTATTGAAATGCTTTGCTTGTCTTTCTGGCTCGCTGATATCTCCAGTCTCTAGGAGGAGATAGGCATTGTTGGTGGCTGGACGTTCGAGAGCATGTTGGAGATTATTGAGATAATAGTGAGCAGTCACATCATCTCCCTCACCTGCCAAATAGCAAGACAATAATCCATAAGCAATTTTCACATAGGTATTATCAATATTATCAAATGATTGTGTCAATTGATGTCTCGATTCCATGTAGGCCTTGTGAGCAAGATCCAAATTTCCCATTCGTTGTTCTCCCATTGCTTGCATAGCAAAGAGCATTGCTTTTGCAGAGTGTCTCGTTGCAGAAACTTGAAATCCAACATTCTTTGCAAATATTCCATCCTCCTCAATATTATCATTCATATAATCAAATGCTAATTGTTCCAATTTTGGTCTACTAATGATATCATATCCCATTCCTACCACTTCAAAGAATATATCAACAGTTCTCTTTCTAATACTATCATTCAAAAAGTGTTGTTGCATTCTAACATAGGGTTGATAAATTCTTCTAATAAGTTGATGAGTTGATTGATTGGAAGATGGAGAATAATTATTAATTAAATTCAACAAATCTGTATAATCATCTTGTTGTTGAACACCCACTACATTATTTGAAGAGGATGAGGAGGCAGAGGATGAATTAGTTGCTTCTGGAGGAGAAGTTGCAGCATTAGTTTTTTGTTTCCTAGATTTTGTTGTTGTTCTATTAGCTTGTTGATTATCAGTTGTTGTTGTTGTTGCGAGAGTTTTCTGATTTCTACTTCCCTTCTTACGTCCCTTCTTCTTTGGACATTCATAGATACATTCCTGATTCCTTTCAAAACAATCAGAACATGTTGGAAATTGTTTATTGCAGGATCGATGGGATTTTCTACAATTTAAACAAGATATTGAATAGAATCCGTTTTGAATATTTTCATCGTGTTCTTGTTCTTTATTACCATCAGTATTATTATTATTATTATTATTTGTATTGGAGTTATTATTATTATTATTTGATGATGGTGTTGTTGCTTGTGGAGAGTTTGAAGATGTAGATGACGATGATGAGGAAGAACCTGTTGTCGACATTCTTTTTTCCATTTGGTTTGTTTTAATATCGCGAAACAGAAGAGATAATGGCACGACAATAAACCACGATAACCATCTATTGAAAGGTTCTCTTTCATCAACAACATATCTTTCATCATCAAATTGTGCGCCCGAGCTATGTTTTTCAACTATTAACAACTAGTAAGGTTAGAAATAGGATTAGCAGGCCTTTTCATAAGGAAAATCTACTTTCTTGGAAGGTGTTAATGGTAACTTGTTGGATGAACTGTGCAGAAAATTCTTCATCTTTATGAAGTAAATTCTAGAAGTGGTAGAGTCATTGAAGCAGAGAGTAAGTGATTGGATTATTTTTTTTTTAAATTTATTCATAACGAGTTTGAGCGGTAAATCAGAATGAATTTGGTAAGACCACTTTTTGGTATTTTGAAGAGCCAAATAGATTAAAAACGTGCAGAATTTTTTATTTTCGAATGGAATTCAATTATGAGGTCGACTTGATTGAAGAGCTCGTTAATAAACACCACATCATTTCAATAAATACCCCTTTTACAACATCACCTCAACATGTTTTACTACAGTTTGACCTATTAGATTTTGAAAATGGTAAAGTAAATGTGCCATAAATCAACGTGACTCAATCCATTTCCTTTTCACAACCATACTACAAAAAGTCTTGTCTTGACTCGTTTAGCACCTTACATGTTGGAAGGAAATTGATGTTTTGGGAGTTTTTTAAAAAGAAGCAAGGTGTCAATTTTCAACTTGGCATTAATGGAAAGTACACATTAAATTTGGTCAATGAAGAAACAATTTGGAATCCAATAACAATTTGAGTGTCTTCCTCATTCGAATAAAGTTACACAATAAGTGAAAAGCTGAAGAATTTTTGAACTGTTGGATATAGACAGCACAGTGTTACATCAACAGACAAAAAAACAACACTAAACAATATTCGAAACATAATGAAGCTTTCCATTGTTAATTTTCAAAGCAGCAGTCAGCAAGATAGGAAACTAGTTATGACTTTGCAAACAGAAGCTCAATCCTACAAGTGTTATGGTCAATCGACAGCACAACCAAATTATTTCTATTGGAATCAAAATGCTACAACTCCACAAATTTCGAATAAGATTAAAAAGTCACGTAAAATGTCTCCAACCACAACCAATTGCTGTCAGACTAATCTTTTACAGCATCCTTCGAATAACAATCAGATTGTTTATGAACTTTCTCCAATGACCAATTCATTATTTAATGTTTCCAAACGTAGACGAAAGCAATCTTTACATTCTCATGAGAAAGTTTTCTCAGTCAATGATAATACTTCCTGTAGCTCCTCATCAAGTGGTTCCATTCAATCTAGATCAGCATCACCTAAATTAAAAAAGCAAAACAAAATGTCAAATGCCAACAATTCACCAAGACAAGAATTCATTCAAAGTTATTCTAATCCAACCCAATTTATTCCTCCAACTCAACAGGTATCCACACCAATGACTGTGAATACAACCATGACTTGCATTCCTACCACCTGTCAACAAGAATTTGTTTCACCAACAAGTTTCGTCCAAACAACGCCTAAAGTTTCTTCACCTAGAATTGTGAGGTCTTCGATATCAATTCGGGAATTATTAAATTAACAATTTTGAGTTTATTTTGTTCAATGGTTTTTTGCATGTTGGCGTACTGTACTAAAGTAAATCAAAAGACAAGTGACATTATCCGTAACTTTCGTTTGAATTCGTTCAATTTTTCTTAATGATTATTGGCAATTTAATTGCTAATTGGAGTTTATGTTTGGTCATGCATTACAGTTTCATTTTGTAAATTGATTGGATGATAATCAACCATTTCGAATAACTGTAAATATTGAACTACTGTTGTCTATTAACAGTGTTTCCAAAAAAGAATCTGAAAAACTGTAAACACTTGAGAATCCTTGTGTTCTGTTTGTTAACATATTCAACCACCTCAAGATCTTTTTGGGATGTTGACCAAGCAGTTTTCGAATAGCAAAGACGAAAGGTTTGTTGGACAACTCTTAATTAACTACTAGAAAAAACAAATGAAATATAATATTGTGCAATCTCTTCCTGTTCTTCAACATGACAGGGTTGTGATGGTGGAGCAAGCAAATGTCAGCATGTTTTCAAAGAAGATTAAACCAGACGAAAGCTCACAGGTTTATTTTTCACACTGGAGAACTTTACCAACGTGTGAAGAAACAAAGATTGGAAAGGAGAGTTACTCTGTTCAGAAATCTCTTAAAAGAAGAGAAATCTCAAAGATTGGTTCAGTAAAATTCTACACTTATCAACCAACCAAAGATTCGAATAGAAAAACTTCTAGATCAGTAAAACAAAAGAAGAAAACTGAATCTAAATGTACATTATCAACTCCATGTTGCGTATCCACAACTTCAGCAACAGAATCAGCACCAACCAACAACTGCAATTCTTCATGTATTCTTGATACACTAAACCTTTCGAATACCACTCCACTAATACTGCTGAATAATACCACGCAACCACATGTAAAACGTTCAGCAGTTCTGTCAATAAAGGAATTGCTCAATTAAACCAACAACAGTATTTGATTCAATTTTCGAAACAAGGAATATATTGGAAAGATCCACATACAAATCTGTTATCGCTTTCTATATTCGAAACTTGAAAGGAAGAGAAATCAACCGGTTGGCTTTGCCTTTGAATATGATTTGAGGTGTTGGAAATTTAAATTTGTAAACCATGCGTCTTTATTTGGAAACTTAATTGACTTGCGCACTGAACAATTACAGTTTGACTGATTTCTTCTCGTTGATTTTATTGGCAAGATAATTAATTTTTCGATTTGTAAAAAAACAGAGAGAATGGTGTTGGTAAAGAAAGAAAGACGCCAAATGTCAAATGAGTATGTGCATGTGGAGAGACAGCTGCCAGGTGCCAACCAATCAAGGAAACAACAAGTTTCGAATGGATCCAATCAGCACAGAGTGTTTGAAATTGTTTCCTTCACCAAAATGGGTTGCATGTTTACAATCAAGAATAGAAAACCTGGAACGTTACATGCATACGAAAGTGTGATAAACTTTGGGACTAATCTCCATAACAATAATAATTGGAAACCTTACAATACAAAGAATACATCTGGGTTATCTTCTCTAAAGAAACACAAAATGGAAAGAAGAAACACAGGTGTTTCACTTTCGAATAATTGTAATTCATCAATTCCTGTAATTATACCAAAGAAAGAGGACCACCTAGTTTCGCCCAACTCAACAACTCTTTCTTCATCTCCAAACTCTACCTGTAATTTATCTTCAGAAACCAATCATCACAAGATTATTCGAACTTGTATTCCTTCCATTCATGAATTATTAAACTAAACTTTCGCCAACTTTAATTTCCTCAATTTCCTTTTCCAATTACCCACAATTATTGCATCTTTTAGAAAATTATCCTATTCATCTTACTCCAATTGTCCACAATTGAACATGCCACAATCCAACAACTCAATTGGTTCATTCTAAAACGATTCCAAGATGATTTTTGAGTTTTAATGTTATTAAGGTGCTTAACTTGTGAAATTTTACCACATTTGCTTATTTTCATCAACTGTTTCTTTCAATACTGTTGGTGGTCAATGCCAATAGGGTGAAGAAAGATTCCCACAGTTTCTTTTTGGAATTGCTAGCATCTCAGAATCAAAATTAGAAATAAATTCTTTGAATTGTTGTGGAGTGATTGTGGAAAATATATTCCAAATAACTTGATTATAAATTTATAAATTGGCGATCCAAAGACATGATATTCGATTCCAATAATTTAATAATGATTATTTATGTGGTTGGTGATTTGAAAATTAACTTTGGAAAAGATAATTTCATAATAACGATCCAACCAATTAGCAACCAGGATGAAAATTAACACACAATGATATCATGTTGAGATGATGATATATGAACATTTGATATAATTTCAAAAAGTGAAATCAACAATATTTGTTAATTCAAATTAGATAGGTCATGTTCTCGGAAGGAGTTCTTCTTCTTTTCCGTTGCTCATCATCACTGATACGTGTGTTTTAATTTCATCTTCATCAATTGTTCAATTCCAATTCTCTGTTCAACTATTACTTCAGTGATGATAAGAAACTTGAAATTACTGAAAACACTTTCAACTTGTCAACACCATCCTCCAATGAACCTTTTTCAAACCTTATAGTGCTATTGTGCACGAATCTTTATTGGAAACAAAGACTAAACATGGAATTTTCAACGTTCTCCATCAAGACAAACTTTCGAACCTTTTGTGATAATGGATAAATGCACAACAACAAACTAGCACCACTTCAACAATTCAAAAAATATGCAACAACAACATTCTTTGAAAGTTTCCATAATAAAATGTACTGACCTGCCTAAAGTTGACTTGTTGGGATCATGTGATGCGTATGTGCAGGTGTGGGTTGCTCACTCAGATCCAAACAAATTTAAACAAGCACAGACTGATAATGAGGAGGGAATTAAACAGACAAGAGTGATTACTAGTTTAAATCCAGAATTTAATGAACAATTTCAATTCAAATTTCCTCAAGTCAATTCTGGTATGGAGAAGAAGGATCCAATGGATAAATATTTGGTAGTGAGAGTGGTGGATAAGAATGCCATATTGAAGGATGAAGGTTCGTTTAAATTTATATTGGAAAGTATTGATTGACTTGTTTCTCAAGTTATTGGATTTGTAATGATACAATTTTTTGGATTGAATTTAAAGGTGGGAAAACCATTGAGAAGAACCTACCCATTGATTGATGCCAAATCTGGAAGTATTGAATTGTTTTTTGAAGCAGTTCCAAGTGTTGGATCCAATGATTTGGCTGTCACGAATCAGAATTTACCAATTTCTGAATTATATGACAATACTTTCATGACAGTTGGTCCTGTAATTGGTACAGTAACCAGTAATAGTGCAAGAGTTTTGGTTGAGTGCTCGAAAGCTATCAATTTGAATGTACAAGTTTTTGGAGTTTGTGAGAGAAGTCATTTCAATGTTGAGGAATCATTTTTCAAAAAGAAACGCTCTGGTTCTCATTCGAAAGTGTTGAATAATTCACTCATGACGATGAAGAAACAAGGTATTTGTTTTTCAAAAACAGTTTCCATTGAAAAATCGAATACTCCTTTCGTATTTCAATTGGATGGATTGAAACCTGACACTGTTTATCGAGTTGAATTTGGAAACATTTGTAATGGTGAAACTCGAGTAGGAATCATCAAGACAATGATTGATGAAGATAAATTATCTCAAATTCCAGATTCATCTCACAAGTTGACCATCAATTGTGTGAGTTGCAACTTTATTGAAAGAAGAGAACCTGGAAAGGATACTTGGGAACGAATGCTGGAACAAATTGACAATACTGATGTACTTCTTCATATGGGAGATCAAATTTATGCTGGTACGTATCTCTATTTCAATTATTATTAACAATTTAATGAATTGACCAATTATTAAGATTATGGACATAATGCTTTTGATGAAGCTGTCAAGATTTGCAATTCTAGAAACAAGGTCAGCAATGAGGAGGAGGAATTAATCAAAGAGGAATTTAGAAAGTATTATAGATTCAATTGGAATCATATCGCAACAAGGAAGGTATTATCTCAAGTGAGCAATTTAATGATTCTTGATGATCACGAGATTAGAGATGATTGGGGATCTAATCCATCTGACCAAACTCAAGGAAGTATCCCATATTATGTTGGTTCTTTGGCAAGAGAGGTCTATTGGGAATATCAAAGAAGTTTGAGAGGTGACGTTTCTAATAAGGAGGAAATTTTCAAAAAGCATGAAGCTTATTACAATATAATTGGAGATACTGGAATTGTAGTTTTAGATTTGAGAGCTTCTCGAAGCTTCCTTGAACACCAATCTGGAAATAACCTCAAATTCATGACAGAAGATCAATGGAAGGATATCAATAATTGGATTCTGGAAGAGGGAGGTCCACTTTCATCTCCAAAAGTGAAATCTTTAGTCATTGTTTGCTCGGTGCCACTCATATTCCTCAATAAGAAAATAACAGACAAACTTCCAACGCTGAATAGTGAACTAGATGATTTCAAAGATCACTTTGTTTTTGGAGATCACTTTCCAGAGCAATTGAAATTATTAGAATTGATGAAAAAGTGGAAGGAAGCTGATTCGAAACGAAATGGACTATTCCTTGGAGGTGATGTTCACATTGGAGGAAGTACCTCCATCTACAAAAATGGAGAAGTCTTATGTGAACAATTGACTTCCTCTGCAATTTGCAATTCCATCATTCCATTATTCGAATCCACTCTTCTCAAATTTCTAATAGGTGCAAGTGATGAGCTAGTTGATGGATGGTCGTTCAAACACGGAAGTTGGAATAAGGAACGTAATTATGGATTGGTTCAAATTGGAATGAATGAAAAGAGTAATGACAAGAAGTGTGTCATTAATTCATATCTAAATACTCACAAGGAAGCATTTATTAAATAACTTACAGCTGTCTGCCAATTTAATTGTTACATTCATGTAAAGAACAAATTTCAACACGGATCGGAATCGTTCAATTGTATCGATTTATATTACAAAATTACAAAAAGTACCAATTAATAGCTTGGTAAATTCTCTTCACATTATTGATGAGTGATAAGCTTGTTTTTTTAATGCAATGTTGTTGTGGCCCAAGCTGTACAGTGATTTACAGATGTTCAAAATAAGGAGGACAGTACAAATGCAGTACGGGTTGGGAATACAGAGATATGATTCACTCCAAAATCGTCATTTTAATTTCCTTAATATACAAGGATCTTCAATTAAGGGTTCAACAAGGATTATTCTTTGGCAGGTCGTGTCTTGTTGCATAATGATATTTGATCCAGAGAACCATCAACTCTGCAGTCCTATGAACACTAAAGCAATATCTGTCTCATGCCTTTCATCAGCATGGTTTTTCTGATTGTGTAAAAAGAACAATTTACTTCACAAGCATATCTCCTCCTTACTACTGCTCATAAGCGGTATTGTAGTTCTTCAAAATGTAATGCGCAGAACGGAACTCTTTATATCCAACAGTAAATAATTCGAACAATTCATTAAGGGCTGTGTTGGCCACACAACTCTACAAGAATGCACCTATCTCTTCCTTAGTTAATATAAGTTTAAATAACATTAAAAAAAGCATTCAATTACTGGCTTTATCTTTTACTAGGTATTATAGAGAGATTTGTTTGAAAATGATATTTTCAACACATCCGCCTCATTGTAAATTAAATTCTTCAACAACAATAAGAGGATTTTACACTCAATGTAATAATAATAATACTAATAATAATAATTATATTTCTATCCGATCAAAATCATCATTGCAAAATGGGAAAAAACCAACAAGACATGGCTTGAATATTTTCATCATGATGATGACAATGATGTTCCTTATTCAAGTCATTTGTACATTAGTATTTGCTCACACCTGTAGAAATTTAGAAGCCACAGATCCAAATGTTTGTAGTGGACATGGTACGTGTGTGAGCGATAATAGGTGTCAATGCCATGAAAATTATCATGGATACGTGTGTCAATATACTTCATGTTTTGGAGAAGGTGGTGAATATGATGCACAATGGTCCCCATTTGTATGTTCTGGACATGGTGCTTGCATGTCATTCAATAATTGTTCATGTGAAATTGGATGGTATGGAGATAAGTGTGAAAATTACAGACATGTTTACAATCCATTTCAAGGATATAGTATGATTTCACTCGAATCCTCACTTCCAGTTTCAGATGTTGTACTGCCTGGATATTTTTCAAGTTTCTATTCGGATAATCCACAGCCACCTCTTATGACATCTCTAAAACAGTCATTTGACAGCTACTCTACACATTCATATGTCATGCAAGTTACATCAATCAATGTCTTTGATTACTTTGCCACTGGAACTCCACCCTTTTTTAAACCACTAATTTGTGGTCAAGATTTCTATTTCCAAGGAGGTGAAAGGTACTATACCCCTGATGATTGTGTTTTTGATGGTGTAACATTAACATTTAATGGATCTGAACCAGTTTTTATTTCGATCAGTTATTTGAATGTAAAGGATGTCACTTTTAAATTTCTCAATTGTGCCAGTTACAATACAATTTATTGGTATCTTTCAACAATGAGGGTGAGTGGAGATTTTTATGGAATCATTCAGGTCAGAGACTTTGAGCCAAATCAAGCAATCATTCATGGAACTGTTATTCTTTGGTATGGTCGTACTTCACAACTTGATAGTTCAATGGTAACTTTTAGTAACTTTTCTATTTGGGATCCTTATCAATCGCATCTTTCTCCTTCATGTCCAAAACCTACAGTCAACATTTGTTATGGAAAATTGGCCACAGCCAAAACAGTTTGCAATGGACATGGCAAATGCATTGGACAAGATCAATGTCAATGCAACAATGGATACTCTGGTATTGAATGTAAGACTAAACATTTCGACTGCAATGGAGTTAATCCTGACCATCCAGATGCTTGCGGAGGTGGTGGACATTGTATTTCACAAGACACGTGTCTATGTGATAATGTAGTTCAGCAATATTTTTGTCGTTTAACTTGTTATGGATATGGAAAAGATGATAGTCAAGTTTGTTCTGGACATGGTGCTTGTCTATCTAACAATAATTGTTCATGTGAAATTGGATGGTATGGAGATAAGTGTCAAAATTACAAACATGTTTACAATCCATTTCAGGGTTACAATTTTATATCCTTTGATTCAGGACTTTATGTTTATTCTTCAATTTCATTTCCAGCTTACTTTTCTTATTATCCAGATATTTATTCAATGTTTGTAGTACCTTCCTTAAATAGTAATAGTTTATCTAAGGAAAAAAGTATTCAATTAATAGCAACTGCCAATAGTTTTTACAATCAATTCCTTTTAACTGATAAGATTGATTTTGTGTGTGGTCAAGATATAGAGTTTAAGGGAGGACTAAACTATCAAACACAGTCAAGTTGCACCTTTGATTCAATTACAATGACATTTGATGGTCCTGATTTGATTTCAATTTCAGCAACTTCTGATATTTCCATTTCCAATGTCAACTTTGTTTTCAAAAATTGTGCAAGTTACAATAATATTTATTGGCAAACAACACAAACAAGAATTACAGGAGATTTTTATGGAATTCTCTTCATTGCTGCTTCCTCTTTAGCCTTAGATAATGCCAATATTTATGGAACTATCATTGTTCGAAACGTATTGACTGGCTTCTCGAATGCAGTTGTCTTTAACAACTTTTCAAGCTTTGATCCTTATCAACCTTATCTTTCTCCATCCTGTCACAAAACTTTAAGTTCATGTTATGGAATTGTAAATACAAGTTCTGCAGTTTGTAGTGGAAATGGTAAATGCTTATCAGATGATCATTGTCAATGTAATTCTGGATATAGTGGTAATTATTGTGAAATTATTCCTCCAAATTGTTTTGGTAAGCTAGTAGGACAATCTGGAGTATGTTCAGATCATGGAACTTGTGTATCGAGTGATAATTGTGTTTGTGAATTGGGATATTATTTTGAAGACTGTAGCTCAAATGTTCCTCCAACTTGTAATTCCATTCCTGCGAATGATCCAAGTGTTTGTTATGGACATGGACGATGTGTAAATTGGGATACTTGTGTGTGTGATTCTCCCTATCAGAATTCTGCCTATTGTCAATATTCTGAATATTACAATTGTTTTGGATTGGATCGTTTGGATCCAAAAGTATGTTCTGGACATGGCCAATGCACAGATTCTGATCAATGTGTTTGTAATTCCAATTATGATGGTTCATCATGTGAACATACTCAATGTTTTGGAATTTCCAATACAGATACCAGTTTAGTTTGTAATGGACATGGTGTTTGTGGGTCCTTTAACACTTGTACCTGTTCAATTGGATGGACATCTTCCTATTGTAATCAAACAAGAAAGTTCTATAATCCTTTCCAAGGTTACAATATGATTGTTGCTGCAAGTAGCGTTTCTATTATGGACAGAATTTCACTTCCTGGAAAGTTGGCTTATTATCAGACTTATTTTTCAGGTAGAGTGACTGCTTCCACAGTGCAAGATGAACATGATGTCTATGGAAGAATGATGGTGTCCTTGTTTGATTCGATATTTAGTTCACTTTCGAATAGAGGATCAACTATTCAAATTGATTGTTCTTCTCATTCTTTGACTCTTAAAGGAGGAAGGAATTATCATTTCACGGATAGTAATTGTGTTCTAACTTCCAAAGTTATTATTGATGGATATGAAGATGTGTACATTTCTGGTGGTTATTTAATCTTACGTGGTGTCACTTTCGAATTTCGTAATTGTTCAAGTTATAATAATGTTTATTGGTCTGTTAGTTTATTGCAAATTGAGGAAGATTCTGAAATTCATGGAAATATTTTGGCCACTGAAGTGACAGCTACGAATTCAAAAATTTATGGAACTCTGATTATACCAGATTCGGCAACGATGGTAACTATATTCGAAACTACTCAGTTCATGAATTTTACTAATTGGGATCCTTATTCACCGTTTGTTGATTCGAAATGTATTTCTTCTCAATCAGTAGTTTCGTCTAATGTTTCTTCCAATTCAACTGTTGTTACAAACAGTTCAGTTTCAGTCAATCAAACTATTATTAATTCCAACTCGTCAATGATTAAGAACAATACTGTTTACAATAGCACAGTATTAAATAATTCCACATTGAATAATTATTCATCAATAGTTAATACTACTCAAGTTTCTAATAATATTACAGTTGGTAATTCTTCAAATTTATCAAATACTACGATTGTACTGAATAATTCCTCAATGGAAAGTAATTCTTCACAAACAATTTCCAATTCCACTGTTGCCAATACTACAAATATTCATGGAAATGACTCACTGTCGAATACAACGCAATCAGTTTCTAATAATAATACACTAGGTAATTCTACACAATTACTGAATATTTCAATGAACAGCAATAGTACAAGCAATTATTCCAGTATTACCAATTCTACTAATTATGGAAATGAATCATTTGTGAATTCAACAAATAATTCAGTGAACAGCACTACTAATTCTACTTTTATGGGAAATAGTTCAAATATTTCACAACAAGTGAATACAACCACAAATTCATCAATTGGAGTTGTTGATAACGAAACGACTATTCTTATGAATGAAACAAATGTTTCGAATAATAGCATTGTTGAAACTAATCAAACTCTGGATAATTCACAAATTGTTAACGAAACATCAACAGAATCCAATAATAATGGAAAAATTCAAAACAATTCTTCCCAAACTATTGTTTCCAATAATTCATCCATTGTTAACGAAACTTCCAATACTTCTAATACTACAGAACTAATTTCTAATAACACAATAAGTGATTCAAATAACACATTTATCAATCAGTCAACAGTAGAAAATATTTCACAACATCAAAATTCAACACTTATTCAAACTCTAATTAACAATCAAACTACTTTTGGAAATAGTTCAGTAATTGAAGTTCAAAACCAGGTCAATCAAACATCAAATATCACTAACAGCACAAACAACACTTTAATTATTAATTCAACAATTATTTCTAACAATACAAATTCCAATTATAGTAATTCAAGTAATGTCACAAATAATTCGACATTATCAGTCAATAATACAATTCTAAATAATCAAAGCACTGTAAATTCAACAACATCTAACCTGAATAATGAAACATTCAATAATCAGAATTCCAGTTTAAATAGTTGTGACAGACATATCAATTGCTCAAATCATGGCGATTGTAATTCAGAAGGACAATGCCTCTGTTCTTCAAATTATGAAGAAGGTTTCTGGTCTGGAACTAAGTGTGAATTTTGTGCAATTAACTTTTATGGTAAATTGTGTAATACTAAAATTGTTGGTCCAGCTTTGATTTCACCAGATTTTACAGGAGTTACATTTATATTACATTCTCCACAGATGAATGATTCAATTCCTTGTGAAAAGATTATCAATCCACTTGATTTATCTATTTTTGGAAGTAAGCAATCGAATGTTAAATGTCAGTACTCTGACAAAAAGAATGACATTTTCATGATTTCATTTGGTTCTTTGGATTTTAATTTCACACCTGGAACAACCACAATTCAAATCAATACTCAGGCTTTTGAAAATATAATGGTTCGTTCCACTCCTAAATACATTTCACTTGTCATTACGGTTCCAGAGATTACAGTTGACTTTTCACATGCAGTAATTACAATGCCAAATGTGAATCAATATAGTTCATGTGATGCCATTACAGCTGATGGTTCTTCCAGTTATTCATTTGATGGTAGATCTTTAACTTTCTATTGGTTCCTATTAGATTTAAATATGAACATACTATTCGAATCTTTCCCGAATCAACCAAAAATTACCCTTGATTCATCCGTTCCACCAAATTCATATAGAATTGGACTTAAAGTGAAGAGTAATTTCCTTAATACCAATAGCTCACTTTCAGTTTCATCCATTTTCAATAAGGTTGCTGCACCACTTCCAATGTTAACAATGTATAAGGGAGAAACAATTATTGAAAAGTATTCGAATGAGTTTCCAATAACTTTAAAGAAGATTGTTATTGATTCATCATGTAAATCTTCAACAGACAGTGTACAAATTGCATGGTCGAAAGTGAGTGGACCTGTCATTGAATATACAATTGACACTTTTAACAATTTATTCATTCCAAAATTGACAGTTTTTGGAAATAACACTTACATATTTAGAGTATCTGTATTTTACACAGCAAATCAGAAAGTTTCTCTAGATGTTACTTTGAGAACCAAATCTCCAGATTTACAACTGAATATTTTACAAGTTGCAGCTGTTAGTGAGTTGACCAGTTTACAAATAGATTTTGTTGATCCAGAGGCAATTTTCAATGAAGAATCGACTGAGGTGTGGAAATGGACATCTAATAATCAAAGTCCAGGTCTGTTGTCAACGTTACAAAGTTTATCAAGTTCAAAATCAGTTCAATTTTCAATTTCGTCTGATTTGTTAGAAAGTAGGATTGATTCTTTGGTCTTAAATCTGGAAATTACAAAGAGTGATGGAAGATCTATTCAAAAATCAACAACTATTCACTTTAATCATATTCCTCCATTGGTAAATATTGTTAGTATTGAACCTTCTTCACCTGTCATTGTTCCTGGTCAACTCATCACAATTCAAACATTGACAGTTTCAAATAGTTCAAATTCAACATGGGTATTGAATGGTAAGATTATCGACTCGTCATCCATTATTCAGCACTCAACTGTAGAATCTGAAACTAATACCATCTCAATTGAGAGCTCAGATCTTGAACAAGGTTCAGTCAACTCGCTCAGTATCTTTACCTATGATACCAGCACTGGTTTATCTACTCAAACAAGTTATACATTCCAAGTAGCATCTACTCCTAGAATTTGTTCTTGTGATGTTACTCCAAAAGAAGGAATAGCTCTTTCAACTGATTTTTTATTTTATTGTGAAAATTGCAAGACAAGTGACAATAATATTGATTATAGATATGGTTTTATAGACGATAGATCTCAATCCAAGATTGTAATGTATAATTTAGGAGAGGTATACTCCACCAAACTGCCAGCACCATTTACTGGAACATCTGTCACATGTTTCTTTGATATTGTTGACAAGACCACTGGTGCATTCTCAACAACCTTCTCAAATGTTACCATTTACAAGCCATTAGTTCAAAACATTGCTGAAATTCAAAATATTGTTCAACAATGGGAATCTCAATCCATTCAATACACCATAGATGGTGATTTCAGTAAGAGTGTTTATCAATCTGCTTCCACTTCAAGAACTGACTCAGTATTCTTGAAAGAAGCATTTAGTTCGTATGCAAATACTAGACGTGATTCCATTACTTGTCAGAATGGAGTGGATGTTGCAGGTGAATGTAAATGTAGAGATGGTTGGATTGGAAAGCATTGTGAATTGTCAATTTCAGATTTTTCAAACATTCAAGGAACCAAGTTAAATATTCTGAAAGATATGATGTTTGTGGTAAATAACACTGCTGGAATGAGTGATGAATACTTATCCTTGTTATCGTTTGCTATTGATTCATTACTTGTTAATTATCCTTATTTAGATACAAACACTATTTCAGAATCATTATCAACTTTGAATTTATTCTTGAATTATGCACTTTCTGATCAGGAGGTGAGAATTTCAGGAGGAGTTGATGTTTTAATTTATAATTGTTTAGAATTTGCTTACAAGTACATTACCAATCGTCAATATGTCATTGACCAAACCTCAAACTCTGACAATTTGCACACTGCACTCAAGAAATCATCCTCCCTTCAAGCAAGAAGCTCCTCCATTGGAAGTGCAGGAAAAAGTAAGAAGGGTCCTTTCTTTTCTGCTGTATTGAACAGAAATACTCTTTACGATTTTCCAAAATCAATTTTTGATCCAATTTCCAAAACAAAAGTTATTTTTGAATCAAAATTCTTTACCACTCCAAATTCAGCATCTCTTGTGAGAAAACCCTTCATATCAGTATTGACAGTCTCGCATGATATCTTTTCTCTCAATTCAAGATTACAAAATGGTAAGAAAATTGGAAACAGAGCTACTTTTGCAAAACTCATTTCACCAATTGTATCTGTTGACTTTAGTGAATTACCAGTCCAAGCAGATGGCAGTAAGATTTCCTATATAATTCCGTATAACATCACTGAAGATACTACTGATGGAATTGCCTTAACCAATTTGGAATTTGCAGAGAAGGAAAAGATCATTAGTTGTGGAGATTTCAGAAATGGATCACCAAACACTATTAGAACTGATTGTACTATACAAAATAGAAATGCCACTCATATAATGTGTACCTGCGTTAGATTGACCAATGTCTTTGCTATGGAGACAACTGTAGTAACTTATCACTCGTATCTCTATGTAGAAGCTATTGTAATTTCCATTGTAGCTTCTGGAATAATCCTATTGATAATTATTGGTCTTATATTTGCATGTATTAAGCTTAGAAAGAATCGTAAAAAGGAAATGACAATAGTTGCAGATACTCATTCAAGTTTCTCATTAAGAGTTCAAGAAGTGGAGATGGAATCATTCTATGGCCACACACCTGTGGGTCTACTTCATGATCCTGTGCCTTCTCCAAAAGAAAAATCAAGGAATTTGCCAATTCAGTCTGTCTATCATGCAAAACGTAAGACATCACAGGTCATTCCTCTTCGTGTCGATTTGATGGATGAAAGACATTGTGACAATTTGTCTAGCAATGGTTCTGATTGTGAATATTCGCAATAAACATTTATTTTACAGATACATAATTAATGAGCTGATTGTGAAATACATTCTATCTCAATTAATTGAAAAGATTTAGAAATAATAAATTCTACTTTTAATATTTGTAATACTTTACTATTAAATTCAATAAGAGATTAGAAACATTCGTTAGAAGAAGTTAGCTTGTCAGTGATATATTCTCACTCTATTCAATTTATTATTTCTAAATCTTTCATGTTGAATTACAGCTAGAGATAATTTTCTAAAATATCGGATATCCATGATTTCCACAAATTATACATTTAATATATAATAAACAATATGAATTGTTGTTTTATTATTGTTTGATTTGTAATTAGGCCATGAATCAACTCTGGTAGTATCAAATATCGGAACTTGGTAAATTGACAACATGATGATAACCTGAATCTGATAATAAATATGATGTTTATTATCTATTTAAATGTAGTACTAAAAGACATGATTCAAGTTGGTGAAGTACATGTTGAGTTATGGTCCATGTACTTTTTCAAAATTAACATGTAGCTAACCCTATCATAACTTGACCAAAATTGATTAGAGAAAGTTCTCCTACCTACTATTGACCATTCCGAACAATACTACATTGACAGTTTTCCAACTTGTCCAGTAGATTCAGCAGTGATGATGAATTTAGTGAAAATTTTGACATTTCACCAAAGTTACATTACTAAAAATTGATTTCCACAAATAATATTATTATTTTGATGGAAAACAATAATGATGATGATTGTGAATGATTCGATGATGGAACCACCAACTTGTGATTTTCCATGATGAAAAATAATTTCCAATTTCATGATGAAAATTCACCAATACAAATTACTATTATTACTACTATTTAGATGATGATGAGATGATGCTGTGAAATTCTTGGGGTTTAATCATGGAAAACCACTCCGAAAATCAGCATGGCAATCACCGAGACATTTTGTTGAATATTTTTTCGAAAATTTAAAATTAGTAAAAAATGGTTTCTCTAATTTGGCCATGATGCTCGGAGTGGTTTTACCTCATGAAAGCACCAAACTTTTACATCATCTTCTAAATAGTAATTTTTATTATCATCAAATAGAATTTATTTTTCAAGTGGGTGGTGGACATGAATCATCTGAGCACTCACCATCTTTTCATCATATTGGTCATATTGTTTTCCATAATACACTAATTTTGTCAGAAATTTCGGATTGAAAACCTGAAGCAAAACTAGCCTCTCACCAGTAATCAACAAAGTTGCAGTGATACTATTTTAATTTTGAAAAGTTAATTCATCATCACTGCTGATAGGATCCATTTGATGATAATAATTAGGAAAGATTCATTTTAGTTGTGATGTTTGAGTATTTAATGGAATTTTACTTGTTTGAAATACTTTATGGAACTGTTACTGTCAGTTTACATTAAATAGAATATGTATTTTAATCCAAAAACTAAAATACATAAGGAATTACCTTGTATGGAACTCGTCTGCAATATTCTTCCCAATATTTACCATACTTCTTGCTACATCTCTTCTGGTCTCTTTCTGCTCTATGGAACAACAATATTGTTAAGAAAAATAAATAAAAGTATGGCAAGAAGTTATTGAACAGTGCTGGAACAGTCCAGAAAAATGTTCCCAGCAATTCCATAACATAATGAAAATGTCTGGTGATACCCCAAAAACCACATATTAACAAGATGAACTTTTTCTTATCTCCATTTTCAGCAATGATTTCACCCTCAATGAGTGCTGGTTTCTTTCCCCAAACAAGGCATTTTCCGTTTGCCTTACGTACATTTTGACGTTGGATATCTGCCAAATAGTTAAGGATGACTGCTGAAGCACCTCCAATCAAGATGAATGCAGTCCAATAAGGGCCCAAATTGTTTGGATACTTGGAAATGTACAAGGATGTGGAAGTGTAAACAGATGGTACCCACACTAAACATCCCCAACAAATGTAATAACCAGCTCTATCATGCATAATATCAATTGAGCACAAGTAGCCACTTTCCCACATGTAAAACTTGGTAAGGTAGATGAATTGAATAACCAAATTAATGATCATAGAGTCGCTAAGTTGACCAGTGACTTCGTATTGTTTGGCAGCAAATGATAAAATAAGTAAAGGCCAGCTCATCATTCCGAATCTACAATTCGTAAAGACCTTAACATCAAAACCAAAAACAACTGGATGCAATTCAGTTCCCCAATAGTAATCCATAATGAAATTTCCTTCATTTGAGCCACAATCTGTGCTGCTTGGGAAATACATGCCTTTGATTTGAAGGAAGAGACAAAAAACCAAACTGAAAATGTTCAAGGCTCCAATCAAGTATGGAAAATGGTTATAAAGAATTGAGGAAGGGAATAAATTAAGACCAGTGCTTGAGCAAAGGAAGAATAGCATAATGGTAATTAAATAAGCTAATAATCCATTGTCTGTGTAGACTGGTAGATTTCCTTTAGGAGTCATCGGGCCATTAAACTTTTTTCCTGGCAAAACTTTCATCAATGTTAATTGCAAAATAGAGAACACCACAATAATTGCCCAAGCAACCTTAGATCCTAAAATATAAGGCTGAACAATGGAGACGATAGAGTTAATGATACCTTCCTTTCCGAACATATTAAAAAGAGCAATGACAGAGCCACCAAGGTGTTCGCAAGTGTACCAATATAAAAAAGCACAAGGTGGAGTGACGAGCATTAAAAACAATGGTGCAACGTGAGTGTGCAGCCAAGAGAGCTTCGGCTCATCTTTCTTTAAGCTTCGTTCAGGAGATAATTGTGAGTTCATCATGACCTTACTTGTTATTTTTGTTTTTTTTTTGAAGTTGCATCTTCAATCGTATTGTGATGCAGTGTGTTTGTTTCAATTGTTTGAGGCATTGAGGCCACTGAAGCAATGAACAATGATGTGAAAAATATCATCACACAACGGTTCAGAGATATTTGTGATCGTCTTCACAAACAACGATTGGTTCATATATTCTGCCTTACCAAAATTTACAGTAGCTCTTTATTTGAACGTCACGACCCAACTTGGATGCACAAGTACACTCAGTTTGTAATGTTTTTTAATATAAAGGGAACTGTAGTCATGTGCAAGCAGCATTAATTTATCTAAAATGAGAACATTTACAGCGAATTTACAAAATGTATCATAATAAATAGAGATATTATTGCACAAATTAGCTAGTGCACTATGTGACATAAGTAACCAGGTGCACGGCAATAATTCATACTTTTATTACTTCCACCAATGAGAGGTTTCAGAATGGAGAAATGAAACAATTGAATGAACTTTTCTTTTAATCTATTAGACAAGAGGGAGCAATCAATCTAATGATTCAATGAAGGATGCAAATACAATTTCATATTAAATGATTTAATAAATGAAATTGATATAGAACGATCATCTATAATTTGAGTCAACTTCTGAGTTTTCACATATTTATAAAAGGATATCAAAAATAAATTGTAATTTTATTATAGTCTCTTTTATCAATAAAAGGATATCAAAGAATCACAAATTGAAAAATCTAGTAAAGTTTCGGATCAAAAAAAATGACGAAACATTCACCCGCTTTGCTCTCTCTCTTCATCACCACTCTGTTCAATCTATTTATTATCACAAATTCACATTCAATTCTTTTTAACATTTCCAATTTACAATTTAACACTGACCAATTAGTAGTTTCGTCCAACAACAAAATTACATTCGAACAATTTAACCTTTCCGAACATTTTCAAAACTGCAGTGGTATTTCCAAGGAAGAAATTCTCTTTAGCAATGGTGGAGTGATGTTTGGTGCGATGGAATCATTTACTCCACAATTTTCATGTCAAAAGGTTCATCTCTATAGACAATATGAGATTCCTCGATTCTTTAATAATTGGTGGATTACTTCTGTTTCTCAAAGTGTATTCGAAACGAGTGAACGGTATGAATTGTGTGAAAAAGTTCATAATTGGGAAGTCAAGTTGAATTTCACAAGTAATCATGCCATGTCAGAGTTGATGGAATATTATAGTGTTGTTCAACAATTTATATTGGAAAATAGTAGCATTTCGTATAATGATTGGTTAAATCAGAAGAATATTACCTTCCAAATTAATAATATTAGTAATTTTACAAATAAGGAAACAACATTACATGATTGGATTAATTATTGGAGATTATGTAAATCAGCAAATAAGAATTTACAATTATTGAACAATGATACGAGTGGATATTTGCAACAAAAAAGTTTATTATATTGTGGATCAATTGAATTTGGAATTCCAATTTTAATGAGCAGAGGATTTATTTGTCACTGTGTTGTAAATGATTATTTTTCTGGAAAATGTAATGGAAACTTGAGTTTTTATAGAAGTGTAATAGGATTTGTATATTCAACACTCTCCATAGGAGGAATTGGAATTATCATTTCCTTTTTTATTGTCTTCCTTCCAAAATTAGTATCATCAATCAAAACAAGGAAACTGATCACTTTAAATTCGATAATTATTAATATCATAGCCATGACCATTGGATTTTCAAATTTACTTTCCATTTACCTGACTGGCTACAACCCTGCAAACTCAATGGTAGAATCAGCTATTCTCATCTTGTGCGCCTTGGCATTATTTCTTTGGTTATTGAAAAATTTGAGAATGGTGCTATATATCAAGAATAGACAATATCCATCCTATATCAAATGGATCTATATTGCTACATACTGCTGTTGTTTCATATTGATTGCTGTGTTTCTTCCATTGTTAGAACGTTATTACCAGGCTCAACTTCCAGTTTATTTATCATTGGCTGTAGTGTTGATTGTTTCATTCTTGGTGTTCAGTTTGATTGTATATATAGTGATGAGAAGGAGTACGGATGTGAATATTATCAAATCGTCTGTAAGTTTAGTTTAATAATTTTGAAATATTTTTAATAGTTTGTGAAATATTTATTATTTATTATTGGATTCATAATTGTCTTGTCAGCAGTATGGTATTCAGGTACTGGATGGGGTGCTTACTTGTGTGCAAATTATCTCTTAGTATTTTCATTGTGTTTTAGTATTTCGTATATGGAATTTGAAAAGGAAGAATTTGATTTTTTATTCAATATCAAAAGATGTGGAAAGTCAAAAACAAAACAACAAACAAAATCAAATGAAATGTTACAAAGTTTCTTAACAATATCAGAAAAAGAATCAAACTCTTCCTCAACGAGTACTTTAGAATAAAGATTTGTAATTAAGTACTGTTGGAATTGACAAAATTAGAGTTAGTAAGGAGAAGCTTTGTAAAACTGAAATGAAGGTAGTTCATCCGAAGTTGGTAAAACAACAAAATGATGAAAAACTGGTAATAAATATATTGTTTATTATGTATTTGAATATAGTAGTGATGAAAGACATTTTCCAAGTTGGCGAAGTACATGTTGAGATATGGTCCATGTATGTTGAAAATATACATGTACCTATCATCATGATAACCAATAGAATCGACCATGCTGAACAATACTAGATTGAAAGTTTTCCAAATTATCATATGAACCTGGCAGTGAAAATACAATATTTATTACTTTTATATATGATGATGGTTGGCGATAAATTTGGACCTTCTGAGTTCCAAATTTCTTCCTTTGTGGTAATAATTAATCAAAACTCAAACAAAATACCTTTAATTCTCCTTCATCATCATTGCAAAATAATTCCACAATCATGATGGATCAATTAAATATTGATATTCTCGGGTATGTGTTTGAATTTCTTCCGAGAGGAACAGACAGGAAGAGAATTGCATTGGTCAACAAGACTTTTCACCATTCTAGATATTTGTTGGAGAAACGTGAAATGACTCGGATGTGGCATGATGAGAATAATTGTCTACAATATCACCCTCTCATGGAAGAAGTGGTGAGTGAAGAAGAATTGGAGAAGAAACAAGAAGAATTACAAATTGCCATACCTTTCCATTTGAAATTGTTTGTAACTGTCTTGACGAATGGTAGACAGCCATGGTCTAATACTGTTGTGCATGTTAGTAATTTGTTGGGACCTGTCGAATCTTGGTTTTTGGACACACATAATGGTTTGGACACACAGAATGGTTATGCAATCTTGGGAGTTGATACCCAATTATCTAACATATTAACATTGAGCAGAGATGGGAGGATTAGAGTGAATGGAGACACGGTTGACTTTTTTGAGTTTGTAACGATGGTAAATCGTCCATTTAATCCAGAATTTTACAATTTTGAAAAGTTTAAAGAAAGAGTGTACTTCCCCTTCTCAATGACCAAGGAATATTATAGTACGTTGCCAGACAAGTACAAATTTGTGGACAAGTTGACCATGCATGCTATTGAATTGGATCCAAAATGTTATGCATATGTTCCTGATTATATCAAGATGATGAGACATATTGCCAAGAAGGTATTCATTAGAAATCCATCCTTGGGCACATTAATTCCAAAAGAACTTTTGGAAGATACAGATTTTGTTATGGATGTTTACAAATCATCACAATCAATTCTGTTTTATGCTTCTCCAATAGGAAAATGGTGGAGTGATAGGGTTTTTATGATTGAGGCATTGAAGAGTGATGTATGTTTAATAAGAAACTGTTCTGAGGAAATACGGACTGATAGAGAAATTATTGACATGATTATTGACATAGATGCAGCAAGTTCTTTTCAATATATTGGAAAATTCAAGGAAGATGAAGATATTGTGAAAAAGGCACTATTTAAATCAAACTTCACGATTCTACATTATATCAATAGTGATTTTCTGCTTAATAATAGAGAACTAGTTCTCACAATATTGAAAAGTAACGGAAAGTATATTAACGAAATGCCAGAGGCAATCCAAAAGGATAGAGAATGCTTTTTCCTAGCTGCAAGAACGCCTTATTTTACATCCAAAGTTCAATCTCTTTACAAAATAATAGAGAGTGACAGAGAGGATTTCAAATCAATTCTGCAATTTAATCCGGACCTTTTGGAGAAGACCATTTTCAAAGACGACAGAGAGCTTCTTAAAGAGGCTCTTTCACACTGTGGATTTTGTCTCAGATTTGCAAGTGAAGAATTCAAGGCAGATAAGGAACTTGTTTTGACAGCCGTAACAAAAAATGGATCTGCCCTTATGTATGCCTCTCCAAAACTCAAAGATTGTGAAGAGATTGTCTTGGCAGCTGTAACGAATGATGGAAAAGCAATTCGATTTGCTTCAAAGAGATTCTCGAATCAGAAAACTCTAAATTGTAATATTTATTAACGTCTCTGGTCTACAATGAGTATACACATTTTGGCGATCGACTATTGGCGAAAATTGCCACTTGAATTTTACGAATAGTTTCATTCGCTTAATGAAATTGGAGATCTCCAGATGAAAATTGCGATTGCTTTTTTGAAAAAGAAACAAATAAACCAAAATTCCAACATTTGTGGGATATTTGTTATTAAAATTATAGACCGTGGGAGGTGAGAAGGATTGACAAATATTTTTTTTAAAAATTTAGAAGTAATTCCCTAATGATTGGCTGAGGTCTGTGTTTGTAAAAAATCAAGGTGTTGAGTTTTGAGCATCGGTTTTGAACAAATCAGGTCCTCGATTTTTCGATTATCAGGACCTGTTTTTTCAATAAATTAGGTATCAAGTTTTCAAAAATTTACTTTATTAAAATTTTACAAGTCGAAAAATGCAAAGTCGACTTGTACGTATGGAAGAATGGTAATAATCTTACCTTCCAACTGGGTTTGGGTTTGGGAACCTCGGATACCTCTTACTCCAATCTCTTATTGATTTAAGATTTTGAAATTGTTTATTATTGAATTTTTATAAAGAGTGTTGATACGAATCAGAAGCTTCTTATTGTGACAACACTTGATAGAAGAATGGGAAAGTGGCTGCATTAATTCAACATATTGAAAGTGAACAAGGTTCTCATCTCAAGATTTAGAACTCTTCTTCATGAAGAGGAGGTTATTGGGTGGTGACTAGAGAGAAACATTTCCTTGTAGCTTTTCTACTAGTAAATGATTAATTGACCAAGATGTTGACCTATAATATGGAAACACAATAAAATTCAATAATACTGATAAATACAGTAGTGGATCCATTTTGAGACTTTTGGAAGTCAACTTGGATGGCAATAGGGGAGCTTTCCATGTGGTTAACACTTTTAAAGGGATCTGAATATTTTATTGGATAATATATGTCATCGCTGTACTCTATCAATAAATATTGAATATCATGATGTTATAATCTATATTTCCAATTTGGGAAATGTTGCAATGTCAATGTTTAATTGAAATATTGCCATCATACCAATAATTGATTTTATACTATAAAAATGGTATTATACACTATAACTGATATATATATGAATATATGATTGAAATATTTCAATTTTAACATTTATTAATGACGTGGGTTGTTCACTAAGGTAGTAACTTTGTCATATGATAACTATCTAAGATGATATTTAAATCATTCCAAAATTGATTCGATGAGAGTATTTGATGATTATAACATGATAATATTGAATTAGTATTGATTCTTACCATTCATGACATGTAAGAATGGTACCTTTTTGTCAATTGGGACAGTAGCTTGACAGATATTCCAATTATATAGTTATTGATATCTATCACTCAAATACGTTATGAATATCAATTATAAGAGTAGTTGTATGATATTCTATCTTGTTGAACATCTTGATATTGACTTGTCATATAATCATGAGTAGTTGGTGACATGGTTGAATGACATGAATACTGAATGATGTCCAAATGATGTGAAAATGATAGAAACCTCATTATATGATGTTAATAACATATTGTATCAATTTGGTATTGAATCTCATTGTCCTTAGGGTACTTTCCTATTGAGGAACCTTAATTGACCATCTCTATATTTAATATGAGATGTGATATTTATTTCAATTGTATCATCATTTTGTAACTGATGGATAAGTAGCCAAGTTGTGTATGGTGCAGAATTGGTATAACATTATTTTCAACATTTACAAGTGCCATTTCTCATCATCTGTTGGACCAAAACAAAAATTTTTGTTATAGTGGTGGTTTTTTTACTAATATCCACATGTACAATATCGGAACAAGGAGATGCTCTATAGTTGTGCAGAATCATTCCACCAACAATAAGTTTTTGAAATATTCTTTTCTTAGTGAACTTTGCTTGCATCATAATTATTAAGGAATTGTTTCAAGTAGATGGAAAGTGTTCTAAAATTGCTGTAGATGGTAACATTCCGTTACAGCATAGTTAAATTCTAAGAAATGATTGAGATTTGTGATTTTTTCACAACTGTTATCTTTTAAACAATGGTTGTCATCCAACCCGATGTAAAAACTTTTTGAAATTGTTTCAAATGAACGTGGAGTGGCTCAAACCCGTTGCTTCTTTTCAAAAAAGAGACTTATCCAACCTTTTGAATGAGAATGTATTAACTATACAACAAACTGAAATTTATTTTTTCTTACTGAACTTTTCTTACTTCACAATTATTAAGGAATTTTTTCAAGTAGATGGAAAATGTTCCAAACTCGATGGAAATGGTGGCAGTCCTTTAAAGTGTACTTAAATTCTCAATAATGATTGAGATCAGTCCATTTTTCACAACTGTAATCTTTAAAACAGTGGTGTCATCCAACCCGATG